TAAATTCATTACGTACCAACCTTCTTAATTGCCAAGTGTTATGCTGGTTGTTTACAATGAGTTTGCAATGAGTACAATGAGACTAGGTAGAGTTGAGGTAATTGGTAAAAATTAATGAGAAAAACAAGGCAACGTACTGAGGACTCAAGAATAGATTTCTTTGTAAACAATGTTATGAAGAGTGTGGCTGTGGAGTGCTATTTTGACAGTATTCCCCGGTCTGTTTAGTGTAGCTATCTTATCACTATGCAAATCGTTACAGTGAGTTTTATTGCTTATTATATTTTACTGAACAAATGACAAAATGGAGCTGCAAAAATGGTTTACAACTCGGCGAGAATAAGAGAAAGCGTTCATCTCGAGACGCACTGTAAAAGAAAACCTAATGATGCATCTCAGGACACAAACATTTCAAATTAGCCATTGTCTCAACAGAATGCTTCTTTTCCAACGGGAATGCACTTATTTCATGTGTAATGTGTTCTTGCAGAGCAGCTAGTTTTATTGGAGTGAAATCTGACTTTTTCAGTTGTAATTTTGCAGAGATGAAGACCCAGAGGCGTATGCAGAGTTACAAAGGTTATCCGACATGAGACGTCTCAGGTACAAGGCGAGTCCCGCAGAGAAATCAATTAGCATCCTGCTTTATTCGGCTTCCAGAAAAAAAGAAGAAAACCCGGCTTGAGGATTTTTTATGTCTGTACTTGGGCTGGGTGATCTGCTCGGTTTACTGTGCAGAGACACATGTAGTATAATAATTCATAATCTACAATACAACGTTTCATTGTCCTGTTTTGTTTTAGTCCAAGCAGCGGGACTCATTCTGTTCATAGAAATGTATATTCTAAGGTGTATATCAAACTCATATTCAATAAAAGTAATTTATTTGGTAAAAATACCTTCATGATTAGTCACATATACAAACAATGAACTATAGAACTCTCCACAAACGTTTATTCTTGGTTTTCCTGTTTATGTCTCCATTCTGCAAGCACAAACATTTACGTTCTCTACTGTCAATGTTAAAGAATGAGAAGATGGCACAGTTTGTAATGTAGCGGTATATTAGTGGCTCCCAGATGAATTGAGACCCCTTCTTTAAAACAAACATTTCAAGAATTGGGAGTCAGTCAGCCAAAGTTAGAAAGAGGGGCACCTATTTTTGTGTGTGGAAAGTTAATTGGAGCCAGACTAATCCATGCTCATGCCCATTTGCTCTTTAGAACTCAATGGCTTATCTGTCTATACAGTGTATGGCTCTGAGAGAGTGTCACACCAATTAAACCAATCAAAGTGGATTATTCACTCTTCAGAAGATTTTGGTGTACATGAATTATGATTTATAAACATGATCTCTGCTCCAAATTTCTTTTCACTCACCGATCGTCTGTACTATTTGCCTTTGCGTTTGGAAACTGCAATCCATCGTCCAATTCACAACACCATTATCTCTGACTAGTAAATGCCAACACATTTCAGGACGGCCTCCTGTTGACGCAGCCATTGTTTGCCTTGTCTCGGTAATGAAGACTAAAGAGTGTCTAATAGCCCACACAACAGAAGGCTTCACCAGTTCTGTGTTAAGCCCATATTGTTAATAGCAACTTGATTAATTCCCCTCATCAAAGTGAGCGCTATCCTTTAAGAGCGGCCTGTTTTAATTAGGATAAACGCCACAAAAACAGCAGTGTGAGCGTGGCAAAGAAGTCCTTCAGAGAGATCAGGCGTGTCATAATGAGTAGATAATAAAATGTAATGAGACTTTAGGAGTAGAGGGGGTCTGGGTAAATATCTATCGTTTCTGTCAAGCTTTTACCAGGACAGCTGGGGATGGCAACCTTTCCTCTTGCTCTGCTGACTTTTATTGACATATTTACCTCTGTCAGACATGTTCTGCTCCCGTCCTGGTAGTTTTTCTGACACTCCGCGGGGCTGCCTCGAAATCTTCACTTTTTATCATTTCCAATGATTTTGACAGATAAATCTAGAGCCGAACTGCAGTGGTTCAGGTTTATGCCTGTTTGCCTTAACTTTACTCTCTATTGCCTTAACCCAAAGACGTAGGATCATATTTGACAAGTGAAACTGCAGGGGAAAAAAATGAAATGTAACAGTCTTTTTTAAATAGTTGATTGCATTATTCATTCACTCACCACAGCCTGCCTGCCCTGGGGCTGACTGGCTTATGGATACCAAGCACTCCCACAGCGAAGAGTGGCTGGTTCGGACTGCTGCCCCCTTGACCTGGGCCTGAATACGCAAAAGAAAATGGAAATACAGACATGGTGATTTGACATTTTATTAATAGTTTTGATTCAAATTACAAATTGTAAATGCCCAGGGGCAGGAGGGAGTAGTGAATGTTTGTAGGAGTACAATGAACTGTTGAACAATGAATATTCTGGGGCTAGTTTAACACTTTTTTTTTTAACAACGGGCTCTTGTTGTTTATTATTGAATTATTATTTATTATTAAGAACTTTTAACATTTGTAACTTGTGATTTAATTTGACAATCGATTGATTTAGCAATTCTCTTGATTCATGATGTTGTTGTGTAGGACATAAACAGGGTTTTTTTTTTTCAAATGAAGCTGAAGTGAATCCATTCAGATTTTTATTCAGAAAAGGATATGTACACAATTACTGATGCATTTTTGTGTAGTCCTTTCTGTGTGGTAGTTTTAAAATATCCATCAGCAATTAATTTCTTTCTCCTGTGTTCCAAACCTCTCAGCTGTCAAATTTCTGGTTGTTGATCTCAGAATTGGTTTTAGTGGTCATTGGGTGTCATAAAAGAAAAAAGAAGCATTTACAATTTGCCTATTGTGACAAATTGCCTTTATGTGTGATTGTGATAATTCTTGCTACCCTATCTTACCATTGGAGTTTCTGTCTTGAATAGAAATGGTGATTGTTTTGAAGACTTACAGTAAGGCTTTTATGCTGGAGCTCCATCCGAACAAATTGCTCCTCCTGCACGCTCCTTGTTATCAACCAAACTGTTTCTGGTAATTGCCATAAGAATGTAATATCCCAGCTCAAGAACTCTCCTTTTGTTATGCACAAATTGCTGCCTTTGATTTGACTATGCACAGTCAAAATAAACCTGCCCTTTTTGAGGCTCAGTGCTCAGCCTTGATGCACAACCCTGCTGCCCAGCTAATGCAGCTTTAGTCCGTAAATCTAATGTTAAATTCATCTGAGTGAAACGCAATGTCAGCGCAGTTGTGATGGCGTATGTAGGTCATTTCTTCTCCACAGCTTGGCCTTGTGAGCTGGTGTTCCATTAGGTACAGTATTTTCACAAACCTAAAAGTCCCTGTTTATTTCACACTGAGCAACACGCGCAGGGTGTGTCTTAACAAATTGGCAATTGACCCTCCAAGGATCGAACACTTTTTGCTCTGGCCAACCAAAGCGGAAATATACATATGGGTCAAAAGGGTTTTAAATTGCACATCAAGGATACATGAAGAACAATGCAGACTAGAGTTGTGTTAGGAGAAAGTGAACCTCTTACCCTCTAAGTTTGAGTTTTTGCACACACTGCTATTTCCGTTCATAATATCACTCCATGTGGATGATGAACTTGCCCTCCGATCTTGGGTGCTTGTTCTGTTCTGTGACTTTAGAAGACTCATTTTGAAAGTCACAAGTTTGTTTTTACTCTTTATTTTGACCCATTCTTTAATTACTGGGGCTGCAGTATGCAAACATCTTATTTGTTTTATTATTTGTTTTGGTGCCCTTAGGCGCGACGTCCTCGGCAAACACGCAAACGACGTGTTTGCGTTTGTTGAGATTATTGCTTTGAAGACCCCACACTATTGTCTTCTACCACCTCAATGCTTGTGCGTTATAGTTGGAGCAGTTTCTCTCTTCAGATTCTATGCAAACATCTGAGTTTTAGTTGCCTCCCTTCAGATGGATCTCTGCAGCAATGTGATTTTTCTCAGACGTAGTAAGAGAACACGCCGGGCACGCAGCGTGAAATTGACCTCCCCAAAGCAGCGGGGTCCGTGAGTGCTGCTGAAAAGGCTGCTCGTGGAGAAGATCAAGCCAAATGGATTCTTCTTTGTGCAGCCCATGTTACAGCTCTAATGCCAGCACAAATACGACTGTGGTGGGTGGCTGCACCTTTACTTGGCTGCTGTTGCTGCACTGTTTATTCAGCTGATACAACTACAACTTTCCTGTGTGCACTAAACTTTACATTTCTCTGCACCAAAGCAGCATGAGGTCCCATATATCTCTGCGACTGTCTCCTCTGTTGATCTAATTGGATGCTCTCTGTTGCTCGCAATGAATCATAGCTCCAACTCTTCTCTGCCCTGTATAGTACTTATTTTTATTGAATGGTGAGTTTCCCCAAATCAAACGACACAACCTTAAAACTCTTGGCGCTGTGTATTGATTTGATATTTTTTTTCTTAGCAGCCCTATCACCATCAGTTTTACTCTTGTACAAGATTATGGGCTTGCTTTTATGAGTCGTACAGTTTTGGAGAAGGGGCACTGGTTCAGTCCATTTTCCCCACTCCACTAATTGCTCCCTAATTTGGAAAGTGGTTTTTTGATGTAATATAAAAGCCAGCCTTTTCAGGCCCTTACATGAAACTAAAACACTCTTGGGCATGTGTAATTGTACTTATCCTTCTTCCACCCTTGACCATTGACCTTGATCGTTGCGGCCTGGTGGGGAGGCAGCAGCACATATCAAATAGAAGTCGGTGTGTAAGAAAATCGGGTCTTCTGGGAATCCTCACACATCCTGTGGGCCGCCGCTCCAAAACACCTCCAGCTTAGTGGCTCTCGGTGAAATGATCGAAGTCAAAGATTTTTTAATTACTTTGCGCTGAAAGGAATAGCAGGATTGGATTTTAGCCTGTGGGTTTATCCACCAAGTGTATGATGTTTTAATGAACGCGGCGTGTAAATAAATTGTTGTTGTAGTTGTTACCTGAGAGACTAATTTTGTTGTTTGTGGGTTTTTTTCAGTTGATGGATTCACAACTGGTTTGAGGTTAAACAACCAGAATGTCTAAAATCTCCAAGGCAGCGAAGACGGTGAAGAAGCTGGATACAGGTGGTATAATCCGGGCCATTGTCAGGTCAGGACAGGCTGCCCCAGGACCCCCCCTTGGACCAATCTTGGGACAGGTAAAACTACTTAATTTAACTTTCTCTTATGTTTGATCTGTTGGTCCCAAGTTTTTTTTGTGTTTCTCGTCATAACCGAGTCATTAGGCTTTTCCCACTATAGCCACATGTCGACCCAGGACACCAATGAGAAAAGGTCAGCATGACGTTTAGACCCGTGACGGAAGCGTGTCAAAAGTGTCAAAGCAAATTTCAAGCTAACCATCCATGTGGAACAATAGAGACCTTCTCAAACATATTTTACAAGGACAACAATATAAATGTAGCAGCCCGAACTTTGAGCTTCACTCTTGTTACATTGTCATTTTGCTAAATATTGTATCTCATGTACAACTGACCCACTTGTAGGCAACAGGCTATGAAACGGTTTAGCTTTATTTCTGTCTAAATCACCCATAGGTCTCAAGGCGGGCTAAATGTTGAGTTGTTTTGACATGGCAGCCCATGTTGCCCTGTATGTAAGGAAGAGGTGCCCCTTGGTTTAAAGTTGAAAGTCCAGTGTTTTTGCACTATGGAACTAAGGATAATAACCACCGCTTCCCAATCTCTTGATCTGCCCGTCGACATCACCCTTGTCCCGACTATTTGTATTCTCACCACAGAGGCTCCTTTGGCCAGACGGAGAGCACACTCCACCCTTCGCACAATTTCTAGGCCACACGTGCTCATCCATAGCAATGTAGCACTTGTGAATAATCCTTCAACCAATCAACGTTTTACTGCGCACCATGGCATTGCTTTCCCTATTGAGCATATCAGCTGTTTCCCTGCTTGCCATTGCATCAATATTTAAATTACTATATTTCCAGTACATTAGCCAAGCACATGATGTAGAGACAATTCTACATCCTTCTGCTTACCCCTCCCACCGCCGTACCTGGAGCCAAAGTAAATCAGAGCCGTATATAATTGCATTAACGAATATGGAACAAAACTCAAATCCCTGACCTGGTGATTTGTTTTTCTCCCCCATTTCTCCCCCTGTAAGCAGCCATATTTGTATGCTATACTTGATAAGACAGTAGACGCCATGTGTGTCACCCCGATTAGCTAATCCACCTGCCAATCACGGCCATACAAACCCAGGGAGAATAAACCGACCAGACTAATATTGAGCTATATATAGAATACAGAGAGAGCTCTTTATTGCACATTCTTCATAGAGAAAAGCATGTCGCAGACTCATGAGTTTGAGTTCATATCAATTTTTCTATTAACTTGCTTTTTTAATTTTTAATTGAATTACTTTCACATCAGTTTCCAAATCTCCATGTGTGCAAGTCAAGTACACGTCTTCCACAGTTGACTTAAAGATTAAACAATGTTTTTTATTTCAACACTGGGATGAGATTATAGCTAAAAGTTTAGGCAGTTACCGTTTTACACCTCTAACTATTGTTTAAAACCCCTGTCGAATGTATATTGTCCACCATAAAGACACAATCTGCTTGCACTTAAACGAGTGTTCATCTATTAAAGTTTGATTGTCCTCCACAAATTGAACCAAAGCAGACCCACGGCTCGTCCGGCACATACAAATGATCTTGTTAGCCCCCTTTTAATGGACAGTGCTCATCAGCCCTGGATGCCTTTCCCTGCAGGAAACCCGATCAATTCTCACGCCTAATCCATCTCCGTGACTTAATGACGACACTCGTGGTAGAGAATGAGAAGTGAACAGGGCAGCGGTGGGGCTGAGCAGGGAGGAGGTGTCTGTTAAAGAATACTATCACAAAGAAATAACCGCTCTGGAACATTTATTATCAGGTTGTCTAACGGAGTAAAATTCTATTACCTTTATTGTTTGCTGCAAAATGATGTACGCTGTCAGCAGTTGCTAGATGTAAAATCAAACTCCAATATCTTGTTACTGGGAACCTGTTCTCTCTACGAAGTCTGGCCTGAGATTAGGTTTGATATTACACAGCAGACTCATGTTGGAGTTGGTACATCTTGTTAATTTTGGGTACATTGACAAGAACAGGAAGAAAAGAAAAAGGGAGATACATACCTTGTGGAAATATGGAGTTGCTGTTGCTGGTTATCTTCAAAAAATCCTACTCTGCAGTGGAGACACGGCCATTGAGGGGGCCGAGTGAGAGGGGGCCGAGTGAGAGGGGGCCGAGTGAGAGGACGATTCCTGTAGATCAGGTGTCTCCAACCTCATTCACCCAGAGAGCTACTTTCTTGGGACGATAAAGGCAGAGAGCTACTCCTTTAAAGCAACCTTGAAAAAATGTGGTGATATATTGGTGTCAGTGCATTTACAATAATAAATAATGAAAATGAATTATAGAATCTGATATATTAAGTATTTTCTTTCATTTGTTCATTTCAAAATCCTTTGGCGAGCTACCTGGAAGGGGGTGGTGAGCTACTGGTGGCTCCCGAGCTACAGATTGGAGACCCCTGCTGTAGATGCCCCAACACGCTCCTAACAGTAACTTTTGCGGTGGAAACATGACTAATATTTCCCTACAGGGATATATAATGTGTACCTTAATCTTAGATAGTGCGCTTGGACCATCTTGAAATGTTAATAGGGTCTTCCTACCATCACATCTTATCTGCACTGACTTTTATGCCAATGTGTCCAGTGTATGCACAATCCTGCCTACCGCTAATTTAAATGTTTCAATTGTGGGCTAGTGTATTTTTCCGGATTTTTCCGCAATGAGTTCACTTTTAAGATGCAGTCTGAATGACATATCCTTTAACGTAGAATGTGTCTCCTGTATTACTCATGAATTGTTTTTATCTCCATTTGTTTTTTCCTTCACAGAAGCCTGGAATTATTCCAAGCGTCTTTGATTTAATTTTTAAACTGGCTGTTGCATAGTTACGGTGTGGGCACTTATTTTTTAAAACATATTATGCTTCTTTTATGAAAGGCCCACCTCATGTTAATTTCCTTGGACCAAAGAAGAATATGCCGTTTATTATATTGCTTCTGTCGTCATAGGTGGCTGCCTCATTAATGTTGCTCCATGATTCTTTTGTACATGCTGGAGCTTAGACTTGAAATAATAGAATGTGTGGCGGTAGAGCTGGAGATCTGCAGGTGGTCAATGACCCAGTTGCAAACGAAAGCACTCGTCCAGAAATCCTCATTGAGCCAAAGACAATGAGCCTGGACTCTGAGCTCCAGTTGGTGGAGGATGATGTAAAGAAAGGTAAGGTTTGCTGTAGTTGGACCTTCCTTTCAAAACTAAATATTTAGACATGATTTAAATCAAAGTATTCACAAGTGATGAAAGGGGCTTAATCAGATGGTTTTATGGAAAACACCTGGCCCGGACTGGCCATCGGGAGCATCGGGAGATCTCCCGGTGGCCTGCGTGTCAAAGTGGCCTGGGCCTGCCCTATCATCACGGTCTTTTTTTTTTTTTTCTTTTAATTTAATTTCATCCTCACGGTCTTTGCAAACTCCTACCCTGCCTGGTGGCCTGGTCCAATGAGCAAGGCCCAGGCCAAATTCAGTGTTGTGCGTGAACGAGTTCAAAAGAACGCGTTCATTGAACACGCTCATTTTTTCGTGAACGTTGAACTGAACGCAACACATTTTTTAATAAAGAACTTGAACGTGAATTAGTTCATATTATGTGTCATGAACGGCAGACAATTTGTTTTCCATTTAAAACTGAGTGAAATCTGTTTTCTCTTTTGAAACGCAACGAGAGAAAGTTCCTCCCTCCTGTATTCTCCGCACTGTTTCCGCCGAAAACTAAAAATTCCTACGGTTTCCACCGTCTGTGAACGCACCCCGACTCAGTGTACTTGCGGTGCGGCGCTATATGCTAGTGCTATTCATTGGTTGTTGGACTCACATGTGCCGTGATGAAAACACAGGGGTAAGTCAGTGACACAGGGCCGTTTACATTTGACATAAAGTATAGACACACGTTCTGCAGCGCATTACAGTTTGTACTTATGAGCAGAGATGGGACAACTCAGTTCCCATTGAAACCCATGTAAATCTCGTCTGCATTGGACGAGATATAGTTCAGAATCAAAATTGAGAACTTCGAACGTGAACTGTTCACTTTGAGCATGTATGAACTGAACTTGAACTAGTTCAGAAAAGCTGTGAACTGGCACAACACTGGCCAAAGCTTTACTGTCATTGGGCCAGAGCAAAATTAAACAAATGTGACGTCACACGTCGGCTACACAGCCAGGCCAGCCTAGCAGTGCACCCAGTGTAGCTTCCCCAGCCTAGCAGTGCACCCAGTGTAGCTTCCCCGGTTGAAATGAGTGGTCTCTCCAACTGATGGTTCATACACGTTTTTATTTTTCCTTTTATATGAGCTGTAACGATGTGATTTTACCTTACTACTTTTTTAACAATAATTGATTAGCTTGTTATAGTTATACACTAATGAACACTTAGTTCATTGTGTGTGTGTGTGTGTGTGTCTTTATTCTCACTAAACTCCATAAACGTTACGTTGCTAAGCAACGTACAACAATCCTTAAACGTCCGAGATTATATAAACCGTCAATATGAAAAAAAAATAAAGAAAACAAAAGTTTTGACAGTCAATCTTAAAACTATTAAAAGAACATCAAAATACAATGACAAAAACCCAAATTTAGAACCTTGTTTGGCCTGAATGGATGAAAAGCTCCCGGCCTGAAATGTTGTCCCACTCCGGCCCTGGAAAACACACTCAAGCAGTGTTGTCAAACATTGTTGTGGGAGCTTTTGTTCTGCTGTGCTTATGTACCATTCCTTTTTATATTCTTTGTATGTGTATCATTTTTTGAGTGTTATTTTTTGTTATTTGCAAAAAAACATTCTCAGCCCAAGAAAACATACATCCAGCCATTCACAAACTGTTTGAGGCCATGCTGTCTGATCAGTTAAACGTGTGAATAGATGCATTTCTAACAGTGTTATAGATTCATAAATTATTATAATATTAATATTTTATTGGCCCTGGTTATTGCTCCATCTGACCTGACAGGACTGTAATAATTAATTATCATAGGCCAAGTGCATGACATATATTTCTCTGTAGCAGTTTAGCTCCTAGTTGCCTCGAGTTGAAGCATCCTCATGTGTAGCTGTTTGATGTCATCCCAACGAAATTTCAAATATAAAACTTCTCTTACCTCCTGTTGCATAATAAAATAAATTCTGACACTATGTTAAAACATGTTATTACAGCCAACCTCCATCACTCACTGCTCACTTCTATCACAAAAGGATTGAATTTCTGAACAATACATCAGTCTGTAGACCAAGAGTCAGGCCTGTCAACTGGTTATAGGATTCTCTCGTTTGAAGTTTTGAAAATTGTGGTCGCTGTGATGTCCTGGTAGTTGTCATGGAGCTGTGCTTTTCTCGTCTTTTAGTTCCTGCTGTGTCTAGTTGTGCAAAAGTTATTAAAAAATCCATGAGCATAAGAAATGGCATGTTCTGTATTAAAACTTGATTCATTCTTTTGCATTTCTTTTTCAGTGTTCTTTTTCAGTGAACATAGACTTTGAGACCTGTCCAGAAGCTGTAGTGTTGATGTGCGCTATGATGAATGATTTAGCCATGGCAGTTAAACACTGCATATGCTCAGGCTAGTGGGCATCCTGTACTGATGGCCACGTCAAGGGTAATGAGGTGAAATGAGTGTCAGCCGGAACAGAGTACAAGCTCCAGTCGCCTTTAGGTGTCATTATTGTCAGGAGATAGTGCGTTTTGTGATTGTCCTTTTTACACCGGCTCCAGTGCAAGTGCTGTGTGGACAACTGTAAAAAATGGTAACTTGCGTCACTTTGCTGTTTGCGATTACTCCTCATCCTTGTCTCTACTCTTCATTTTGTTTTCCCCCCCTCGCTGCGACTAACCACCCTTGACGGGGGAAGTGCACAAGGGTAGACTGCCTGACGGCTCAGGGGCAAATTTGAACAAATGAGAGAAATAAAAGAAGCAAAGGGTGATGGATAAAAAGGGTGTGACAGCTTTGGTCCAGGAGAATAATTACAGGCCACCGTGAGATTAGCAGCAGTGAACACTGAATAGACGGTGGGCACAGAAACAGAAAATGGTGGCACAAGTGCTCTTTTCTTCTGGAGCAGCTTCTGAGTCAGTGGGTGCAGAGAGAAAATGCTGAGCATTGTATTGAAGCCCTAACAGGTGTAACAAATTTAAGAAGGTGGTCATTTGTGGAGGCTACATCCTTTGCAGTCACTGCTCTTAGTGTAATATAAATGTCTGGAGTTTCCCATCAGAGTGCATACAGAATGCATGTGTTTAAAATAAAGGGCGGACGAAAAGGCGGGAGATGAAAGACAGAATAGCGCTCAGTGGATGCTGTCTGCTTCACTATATATCCCGCTGCCAGTTCACTTTAAAATTGCAGAACCCAAAGAAACATTTCCTGCTCTGAAACTTGAGCAGATTTTGTGTGACTTAGACACTCATAATACATTCTGTAAACATCAGCTGTAAATGTAGTATAAAGCAGATAAATGTGCCATTCATTTGCCGTGACATTTCTTGACATTTCTTGACAGAAACAATAAGCCAGGCACATACAGTAATGATTTGCAGAACAACCCGCTCTCTCTGGATCATGATCTGGGAAAACTAGGCCTTAAGAGTAATTGTGATGAATTGCAGTCTTTTGTGGGAGAAATGGCTTGAGTATGTGGGGTTCAGAATCAAAACAAATGTGCTGCCTCTTACATTACACGACTTCAGAGGAAAAGCTGTATTTTCAGTTCAATGCCCTCTTCTTTGAGGGTGAATAATTTGGGCCAATTTGTTCTCATTGGGGCATTTGGGGAGTGACAGGCTGCCAGTCGACCCTTACACTACGGCCAATAAGCTGTCAAAGGCAGGCAAGTATAAGACACTTTATTAGTTCGCACTTAGCCCTGGAGGTGTAGCTGACAACAGTACATGTGGCGTATGTCCACACAGTACAAGCTTGAATAATACACATTGTACAAAAGCTGCTGTCATGGCTCAGAGCTCCATACTGTTCATTTAACAAGATCAAACAGAAACCTTTACACTGCGTAGCTTTAATTTGTACATCCAATTTCACATAGTAAAAGTGCAAATATTGCATGAAATATATATAAATTTGGAGTGAAGATGGCAATGACGCCCAGATTTAAGTCTCAATATCTTTCTGCTGAAAGCCTGTTCAGTGCTTTCTACAATCTTGCTTATTCCTATAGCTCACTGTGTTTTTTTTTACTTTGATTTAGATTTTTTCGAAAGACTGGGACAGTGTGAATAAAAGCCAAGAGATGCATTGCACAAGTGCTAATTTCCACCTATTGTCCCAGGTCAGGATGTTGCAGTGTAATTCGTAACATCACACATTCATGGAAAACTGCTTTATGTTGACCAGATTCATAGGAAAGATCAGATTTATGGATTCACTCCACTCAGCATTATATTGTGGGGACAGGTTTGGTTTCAGAAAGGCCCAGCGCCAACAGAGATTTGAACCCAGGACCTTCTACTTGAGAAGCGATAGTAACGACTCAACCATTATATCAACATAATATAAATTAATAATGTGGACATCAATGCCATTGTGTCTTTAAGAATAAATCAATTTACATTTTTTATCAGAAAATGACAAATGTGATACATATGTAAACATGAAATGAAAATATTACATAATACTTACAAAAAACATTTCTGTGTAGATCGATCATAATGTTATGAATGAAATAATAGGAGGAAGCAATCAATTTAAAAAGATCAAACCATTTACTTTGAATATTTGTTTTGTATAAAAAGTGAATGAAGATTCTTTCTTATTCATCTTTAATTTTAAATCTTGTGATTCCTCTGTGGAAAATTGTAATATGAAAAGTAGTAGTATAGAATCAAATCAATTTGGTATGAATGGATGTGTGGTGTGGTCAGTTACAAAATGAGACTTGCATTTTGACACAGTTCAATTTAAATGGACACACATAAACCACCAGTGCAAATTGAGTGAAAAAATCCAAGCTGACGATGATTTTTACCGCATGAGTGGGGGACTATGGCGCAGATATCTGTTTGAAATAGATACAAGCCGTGTGCTGTGCTCTCTATAGTTCGTGAGAAATGAAAGAAGGTCCTAAGGCCGTCTCTGAGGGCTCCAGGCTCACATGAGACAGTGTGTGGCTTTGAGAGCGCGTCAGAGAGTGGTAATGAGATGACAGCTCTTTAGCCTGGGCCTGTCCCTCTCGGAGCTCTGAGCTCTGACTTGGCCCCGTGGAGTCTCCCGTCTCCACCACAGTCCCAGAGCCTCCAGCACGCCGCTCGTGTCTGTGCCTTTCCCATGCTGAGCTCAGCTTCACTGCCAGAGCCAGCAGGTTTTTCCCCAGGAACACAGTGGAGATCCGAGGGTCCCGGTACCACAGCATGCCCGTGCCCCTCAGGGCTAGTGTGAAGATGTTGATAGTGACCAGACTGAGCCATGGATACAGAGCCTCCCTCCGAGGCCCTCTCTGTCCTGGCAGTCCAGTTGCCCCCAGTTCTGTGAGGGCAACACACGGCAAGAGCAGCAGCAGTGCATAGCAGTAAAAAAACACCAGACCCTCGGCCCAAATCGGTAGCTTCTGGTCCCCAGGGAAAATTGTGCTGGCTTGAGACTCCCATAGTCCGGCCTGTAGGTCCAGGACGTCCAGCAGATCCACTACCACCCACAGCAGCCGGCCACGCACCTCCTGCTTCCTCCGCTGCGGGCTCATGTGGTCAGCCCCCGTCAGAATGAGAAACAGGGAGGGTAGGCAGATGGACAGCAGCAGGGTCAGTGTCTTTCGGGCCAAAGGGTCAGGCGGGCGACGCTCCTGGCGGTAGTTGTGGCAAACGAAGAAAAGCTTCAGTTGCAGTAGAGACAAGAACATGAACCACAGAGCGTTTGCAAAGCCACGGCGTGGAGACCGAGCTTCTGAGACCACACCTGCTGATACAAAGCGCAGTGCGAGGAGAAAGCCTATATCACCTAGCAACACAGCCACACACTGCCACAGACTGGGTCCCTGAGCACCACGAGCTCCCAGCATGCTCTGCTCCAGCAGGTAGAGGTCCACCACAGCCATTGTGCTCACCGTCACCAGGGTTGAAACACACACCTGGGGCGTGGGCACAATACCTAAAAAGACCAACACATGTTAGTAAGATGCAGCGCTGCTTTGGGAAAACACACACACAGACGGATGGATGGGGTTATTTGTTTAAAGCTAATTACATGTAACCTAAGCAGCTTCTGATGGGATAATGGCAAAAGTAACTGCTGGGCTATCATACACGTATCCTTTTTATTTATGGATATACTTTCAGAGTTCGTTTTTATGTGTCATGTTTATTTTGACAATATTTATTAACAGACGTTGATTAAAAAATAAAAATCCTGCTTACTGTGGGTATAATGGCGCTTTGTATGCAATGGGTGCTCATCATCCTTGGCGAGAGCTAGATCTACCGTGCCTTCTCAGAGAAACCAGCTAATTGTATACATCTCACTCTGACATATCTTTTCAAAAAAATATCTAGACTTTTTCTTTTATGATTTCATCCCATTTAACATTTATTTATGTATTAGATTTTTGGTTACAGACACCTTGTCAAAGTGTTACTGTTATCCAATCGTCCTCCCTGCTGTATACAGTCCTTTTAATCATCTCAAATTCAGCTCCTTTTGCAGATGAATATTGATAATCTGCTATTTGTTTGGAGATGGCATGACTGTGTACACACACTGTGTACATCAGCGTGAGCGCTTGCAGCCAATGCTAATTTGGCTTGAAATGTGCTTTCCATTTTTTTCCCCTGCTGCTAATATTTCAGCCTGAGACAGTATAAACCTCAGTATTGATCTTGACTTGAGAAATGATCATTGACTTTACAGTGCGATCGAAAAAACATCTCTTTGTAGTATTTAGCTGAAAAGCAGGGCATAGACCACTGGACTGTGCGTTATCTGCCCAGTGTTGCTCGCTGTCAACCCCTTACCACAATCGATGGTATTGTAATATAAAATCATTACCAGCTCAAATGTGCCATAAAGGCAACAGTTGAGCCTGATTGAATAAGAGATATCAGCATGATTGCAACATTTCAAGTCTGTCTGCATTTCTCTCTGATAAATGCTTTATGTGGTTGATGGAAAACACTATTAGACTAACAAATGTGCTACTGCTATATTTTGTTTGTTATTAAATCATTGAAGAGGGCATACCCCTGGAGATATGGGTTGTATGTTAAAGAGGAATTGTCTGCTCAACTACACACCAAATAACATTATAAATGTTAAAGCATTACAAAAACCTTAGGTTGAGAGCCAACAAATACTCAAATTCACTTTATGAAGTGACTTATTCCTCTGCAGAAGCAGGCATGAACTTGGCCTGACTCATCCTGAGATACATGGTTTTGTTCTGCATCAGATGAATCAAAGACACAGAAGAAGAAGCGATCTCAAGTGATTAATCTGCCGTGAGGCACAGTGGGAGAACCAATGTGGATCATGGCAGCCTTCGTAATATCAGATTGTCTGTGAAGCCTTTGTCTCTGAGAGCAACTCGATTACATACCCCAGAATTGAATGAATTTTACCAACCAGCAGATTGAGAGGATATTGGAATTTAAATGTGTTATTTCTGTGCTTCACCAGACCTTTATAGGAGAAGTTGACAGCTGGCTTTCTTGAGGTTGAATGTCTTGGTTCATACCTGCAGCATAAATTGTGCAGTGGAAACCTCCCTGCCAATCCCCATTTGTGTTGTGAGTGGCCGTCAACGCTGAGTAATTTACTCTGCTCACAGTGAAGTAGTAGCAGCTTATGTGTCCACTCAGCTCGTCAATAATGACCAAATTGATAATACAAATATTCTGTCACAGAAAATGACTTTTCTGGTGACATGGTGAGGCAAAACATGTCAGCTTGAGTAATGGCATGTAATGGTGCATAGGTTCAAACAAGTATTCAAATTCTATAGATTATAGACGCTATAATACATATCATGGAGACAAGGAGTTCTGACTTTTGTATTTACTGTTATTGGAAGGTAGTCGAAACCAAATCGTATCACTATAATAAACATGTAGAACTTATCTCTTAATCTGCCATTTACAACCCAGAAGTTTACACAAGTGCAGCCTGCCTCAAGGGTAATTGGACAGCGCTGTGCCAGTGTTTAATGAATTAATAGATGAGGCTGTGTGCCTCATCTATTGCATTATCCCAGGTAATGCATTGTTAAATTAATCCAGTGCCCAGACTTACAGCCACATGACTGAAGCATCTGTTGATTTATCAGGTGGCAACTCCAAGTGAAGCCTCCGGGGCTTGTTTGTGCCACTCTGTTCCCCTCAGACGTGTAGTAAGCGTTCACTTGCTGTCTGCGATAGAAGATGCCTTCGAGGCGAGTCTTGCATCGCTTTGCCAGTTTCCAAACCTGAGTCAAAGCACCTGTTTCATAACATCCCCATTACCGGCAGGTGTCGGTTTTCGGTGTCTCCGTGCGTTGCTTTGATCATCTTCAAAGTAAAAATAGTTCTCAACACGATGTGCACTATGTCCTTTGCGGTGATCTATCTACTCGCTGACATTTCATTCACACGTTAAAAGCGTGACCAATAAAGTCCTTTTTCATAGCCGATGATCCTTGCAGAAGTCCGATTGTTTGGATTTACTCATCCGCTATAGGTGAAGAAAGTCCTTGTGCGTCCGAGTCGAGCCGAGTCCGTAGTTGTTGGACGCTACTGGAGCCCGAAGTGCTGGTGTCGGGCTGTGTGCGTGTGTGTCCGCCCCGGTGGTCTCTGCGGTGTGGGTCCCTGCTCTGTCCGCCTCAGAGTAGATGCATTTGTGCAGAGGAGCAGTGCCGCGGGAGAAAGGCGAGGTGGGAACTCGGGCTGCTCGAGTTTTGGTCGTGCTGGTAATTTGTACGCAGGTTACGTACGCGCTCCAGACCCCCCCCCCTGTCCCCCCCTGTCCCCCATCCCTCCTCCATCAGCTGTTGAAACGGTGCTGCGAGAAATCCTGCTCCGCGCTACAATATGCTATTATGTTGATGCCTCTGCCAGGAGATTAGTGCTTTGTTTGGAAGCGGATCCGTCCTATTTTAGCATCCCTCTCTTGAAGGAAGTGGAGCGAGCGATGCCCATAGACACGTTTAGAGCTCAAAAAAAGCAGATGTTAGAACTTTAATTAGCGCACTCTGTGTTTGCTCACACATACAACAAGAAAAGCACTTCTTTTGGCTCGCCCTTACTGATTATTTGTGCTGAAGCTAATCATAGAATAAATAACTGCATTTTATGTATTCATTGATGATAGCAGGAACATGCCTGTAAGGTTCTCCAAAATGATAAAGGAAATTTAACGATTTACAGTGCCTTGCGAAAGTATTCGGCCCCCTTGAACCTTTCAACATTTCGCCCCATTTCAGGCTTCAAACATAAAGATATAAAATTTTAATTTTTTGTCATGAATCAACAACAAGTGGGACACAATCGGGAAGTGGAACGAAATGTATTGGATAATTTTAACTTTTTTAACAAATAAACTGAAAAGTGGGGCGTGCAATATTATTCGGCTCCTTTTACTTTCAGTGCAGCAAACTCACTCCAGAAGTTCAGTGAGGATCTTTGAATGATCCAATGTTGTCCTAAATGACTGATGATGATAAATAGAATGCACCTGTGTGTAATCAAGTCTCCGTATAAATGCACCTGCTCTTTGATAGTCTCAGGGTTCTGTTTAAAGCGCAGAGAGAACCATGAAGACAAAGGAACACACCAGGCAGGTCCGAGATACTGTTGTGGAGAAGTTTAAAGCCGGATTTGGATACAAAAAGATTTCCCAAGCTTTAAACATCTCAAGGAGCACTGTGCAAGCAATCATATTGAAATGGAAGGAGTATCAGACCACTGCAAATCTACCAAGACCCGGCCGTCCCTCCAAACTTTCATCTCAAACAAGGAGAAGATTGATCAGAGATGCTGTCAAGAGGCCCATGATCACTCTGGATGAACTGCAGCTAACTACAGCTGAAGTGGGAGAGTCTGTCCATTGGACAACAATCAGTTGTGCACTGCACAAATCTGGCCTTTATGGAAGAGTGGCAAGAAGAAAGCCATTTCTCAAAGATGTCCATAAAAAGTCTTGTTTAAAGTTTGCCACAAGCCACCTGGGAGACACACCAAACATGTGGAAGAAGGTGCTCTGGTCAGATGAAACCAAAATCGAACTTTTTGGCCACAATGCAAAACGATATGTTTGGCGTAAAAGCAACACAGCTCATCACCCTGAACACACCATCCCCACTGTCAAACATGGTGATGGCAGCATCATGGTTTGGGCCTGCTTTTCTTCAGCAGGGACAGGGAAGATGGCTAAAATTGATGGGAAGATGGATGGAGCCAAATACAGGACCATTCTGGAAGAAAACCTGTTGGAGTCTGCAAAAGACCTGAGACTGGGACGGAGATTTATCTTCCAACAGGACAATGATCCAAAACATAAAGCCAAATCTACAATGGAATGGTTCACAAATAGACGTATCCAGGTGTTAGAATGGCCAAGTCAAAGTCCAGACCTGAATCCAATCGAGAATCTGTGGAAAGAGCTGAAGACTGCTGTTCACAAACGCTCTCCATCCAACCTCACTGAGCTCGAGCTGTTTTGCAAGGAAGAATGGGCAAGAAAGTATTAGCGCAAGGGGGCCGAATAATATTGCACGCCCCACTTTTCAGTTTTTTATTTGTTAAAAAAGATTAAATTATCCAATAAATTTCTTCCACTTCACGATTGTGTCCCACTTGTTGATTCTTGACAAAAAAAATAATTTTTATATGTTTTATGTTTGAAGCCTGAAATGTTGAAAGGTTCAAGGGGGACCGAATACTTTCGCAGGGCACTGTACTTTGGAATAGATAGATAGACAGATACTTTATTGATCCCCGTTGGAGAAATTCAGGTCTCCAGTAGCAGCAGAAACACATGCATCCAAACAAAACAAATAAATAGATCATTCTAAAAATAGCTAGCGCTTGTAGTAAATTGCCACAGCACTTTAGGTCACAGCAGCAGAGGTGGTGTAGCTGCTGGACTGTAGCATTGTTGGAATTCAGAATTGTTACTTTATTCTGAAAACCAACAAGAGCAGTTTATTATATATTTTTTTATCTCTGAACTAATTTGTGCATACAGTAGATACATGAGGCCCGGTAGTGCAGTGGTTAGCGCTTGTGCTTCGCAGCAAGAAGGTCCTGGGTTCGATTCCACCTTCAGACCTTTTCTACGTGGAGTTTACATGTTCTCTCTGTGTTGGTGTAGTTTTCCTCCGGGTGCTCCGGCTTCCCCTACTACTAAAAATAAGTCTGGCATGCACCTTCTGTTTGGAGACCCCGCTCCCATCTCTGTGTGGAGTGAGAGACAAATGCCAACAACAATTGTAAATCGCTTTGTGACTCTGGTCTGTGAAAGGCACTTTATAATGAAAGATTACTTACTTATTAACAGAACATGTTACTATGTATTACTTTTGTTACTGTCATTAGTCTGAATAGAAAATTTGCTCCCTGCTCTTTTGTTGGTAGTTCTGCCTGACTTGGGATTTATCTTTACCTTGGTGTGAAGGTCTTAGTCTTCTCGAGTATCGGTAGCATTTCAGTGCATGTCTTTGGCACCATTGCACTGGGGCTCCCATGGTGTCTGCTTCATTTTGGAATGGGAGTTTTAATCAGACTGGCGGGAAAGAGGATGGAGACTCATCTTTCTTGTCAGATTCAGCTCTGCGCTCTGCTGGTTTCAAAGTTTTTCCATTTTCCACACTCCAGGTGTTTTTCCCTGTTTTCCACCCTCCCTGTCTGCATGTTTGTCCCCATCTCTCCTACCGCTGGATACCGCCTCCAGTGTTGTTTGTGTTTCCCCCGGGTATGGTTGAAGGTCACTGATACCAGCTCATTCTCAGACTGACCCGAGGAGCAGAGAGTGGCCACTGTATTGTGTACTTATCACTTCTCTACCCTGATAGGAGGAGGCTTACTGAGGGTTATGGTCTTTCCAAGAATGTAAAAGACATCAGCATGATCTATGGTCCACTTTAGGGCCGATGCTCCGCTCCAGGAATTTGATACACATCTAGAAACGTCTACGTATCTGATAATAACATTCATCATCTTTCCTTTAACTCTTGCAATGAAACAGTTTTGAATAGATGATGTTTTGTGAATCAAGGCATACAATAATCCATTAAAACAATTTACAATCTACAAATCAACCAAAACAACATTTTAAATAATGAAAGTCTATCCAAAGCAGTGCTCCAGAGATTAATAGTAGCCTTTTTGGTATTGTGCTGTGGACATCTCCAAATAAGCAAGTGAAGGGGACAAAGATAATTTTATGAAATTATGACCTATATATAATTTTCAATGCACATGCAGATATAACTACACAAACATTGCCGAATGTATTTTATTTTGCATCTACAGTTTAGTAACTTACAGTATATTCCTAGTTATGTTTGTGTTATAATGGTACGCTGCATGTTTTAATTCATCAAACTGAATTTCTTCATTGTGAGATCAATATATCATAATATTTTCTTATTTACTCATTTTTACTTATTTGTTGTACGTTTTGAAAAACACATACAACAGATGTCTCGCCCACATTCACTTTTCCAAAGGTCGTTACTGTAACTATTGTTTATGAATGAATATACTCTTCTGCCACCCACTGTTTTCACTGGCCTTTTGTTTCCCATCCACTCAACTATGTCTTCCACTGCTCAGGTCCAATCTGACACTTTGAAAGAAATCACAAATGACAAATCTAAATGAAGCATGAAATGTTGACCGTTACCTATGGCTTCTTTATGCATGATTCATATTTTACAGCGTGTCCTGGTATTAATCAGTCTGACGCTTCTGCCTCAGAGCTGCTATTCCCTCCTGCATCATGCTTTGTAGATCTGTCACCATCTATTGTTTCATTGAGACTTTGTTGTTGCAAACGCTCTCTCTCCCTGTCAGAGCACCTTTGATTTCTCCTGTGTGGATGGAGAAGGACTGTTGTTTTCTGCCGCTCAGTCCTCGTGTGATTAATCACGGGACGTGGCAAAAGGCACGACTGTGTCAAGTCTGTGAGAGGTGCCTAATGGAGTTGAAAATGGGGATGTTTTGTGCAAATATGATCCATTTTGTCCTGCTGTAGCTTGCTCACTTTTCACTATTGGAAAACCTTATTCTTGATTTACATGTAGTATTTACAAGTGAATACAATTATTACTAAACATAATAATTGTATTTAACGTCTCACTTCCTCTAAAACAGGTTATTTTAGACTGGTCTTTGAACGTTTAAGTGATTTAGATTCTCTTGCAGCCAAGTTGACATAACTTTGACTTACCTATTGATACTGCTACTGATGTAGCACCACTGTACTCGACTCGCTCAATAGCATTCAATTATTTCATGGATTGCTTTTGAAGAATTGAGATTACAAATATATCAAAATGGTTCACACATAGCAAAGCACAATACAGGTGAAACTCTGCAAATTACAGTAAATTTACTTCTGTAATTCAACTTAAAATGTGACTCTATAATGACACACACATTACAAACAAAGTGAGATATAGATATAGATATAGATATAGAAAAATGGACTAAGTCATAATCATCAAATATATTACAAACAAAGGCTTGGCATATGTGACTTTGCATGAGTAAAATATTGGTTTCACATTTAAAGTTGAATTACAGAAATCAATGACTTTTGAACAATATTCTATTTTCCCGTATTTTCAATTTGTTTTCAAAATGTGTTTTTATTATTAGGTTTCTCCTGATTTCGCTTCACTTGCACCATTCTAATGCCTGGTCAAAACAGTTCTAAAAGCAGCAGTAATGAATCACATATCCTAAGTGGAATATCAAGAGTAAAGTTTATCACCAACCAAAGAATTATGACATACATTTGGCTTGATTCAGGATCCAATCAAATGAGTAGTAATGTTGCTCCCTGACGACTCCCCTTCCCCCTCCGCAGAGTGGGTGGACCCCGACATGAAACCTAACCACCTGCCTGGCACTGTAAGGGGCAGTGTATGATAAAATGCCGACAGCAAAGCAGATTAAATGAACAGAGTAATGACGGTAATGAATGAGAGTGTTTCCTGTTGAAGAGTTTAATTAACCTCGCCTCCCACCAGCCTCTCCCTGCGCAACACCTTCATCACTGTGTCGCCGGCCGCCCGCTGCCCACTGCTCATGGCCATTTATCCTGTGGCCTTGTGTGCCAACGACAATTAATCCAGTCTGCTGCCCCAGGGCCATGTCCTATGTCCGTGTCCTTTGTAGCAATGTTTTCCACGCTCCCTTAAACACAGCAGTGACCCTCGCAGACCTCCTCATCATCACCCCCATCCTCAAGCTTCATATTTTCTCCCGCAAAGACACCTGCGGCCACACTCAAAGGGCTTCTCAGTCTACTGCACGCACACATCCACTCGTCAGATGATCCTGTCAGATTAAAGTGTGGAGCAGGTGTTCATAAATAAACATCTGCACAGAAACAAAATGTTCTTGTGTGCATTTTTATCCAAAGTACATGATTAAGATGGATGAACTGGAAACACATATTCCCCCATAACTATTTCCTAGTAAATGATGTGCACTTTGACATAAAATGGTGCTTAAAAAATATATCGTGCCAAAATGTATATATTTCTCTCCCAAGCATTGCATTTTGCGCTTAACTTGTTATTGCCATTGTTCCGTTAAATTTGCAGTCAAAATAAAATATTCCAAATTAAATTTTCTTCTTGAATCTTTTTTTGTTTTTAGATCTATATATATTGGCCATCACGTTCTGACAACTTTCATGCACTTATAGTCTCCTCTGTCTCAGTTCTTCTCCTCTTTTGTGCCCATCAACTTGGTTTCCTCTTCTGTCACGCCAGGGCTACATCTTGTTAAAATGAGTTGGTGAAGCTGAAAGGCCAATCACATTAACACAAAACGAACGTCAAAACGGCTGCAGAGAATGTGGTGAAGATTCAGACACACAGGCCACATTTTAATTGTAATTGTTTTAATAATTTCAACTGATATGATTCTGTTCACGTCTTGGATGATATCACAATCACTCATCACACTTACTCTGGTCTTAAAGATTAGCATTTAATCCCAATGGTCAGCATCTGAAATGTCTTTGATTTATACCCGGCCCCTGTGTGTTCGCTGGCTCCGCCTTTAGACTTGGCTGCAGCCATTTTATACTGAACAGCACACGGCTCTAATCAGTCCTGGTGCACAAGAGGGATTTATCTAGTGACTAGGGCTCTGAGATGATTAGATGCTCAGATGCAGTGAATGTGGAAAGTGATTTGACTTTGGCATAAATGGTGCTGTTCTAGTTCCCACTCTGATAGATGAGTCATGAGGTTGGAAAGGCAAATCTGAACCCTGGTTTTATGGACCCAGACATCATTTAAAAAGTCTGATTGCCACACCATAATCACATTACTGCATTTTGAAGGAATAGCCTGAGGAAAAAATATAGTATAAACGACATCTTCTTTTGTCTTCAGAGGAGTTGACTTTCATTGAATGGCCTAATTAAAGCTGCTAACCGTTTCAGCCTAAAAGAGACTAAACCAAAGGCAGTATATCACTGTAGCTGTTGGTATTGTTCAAAATACTGAAAGGGCTTGTCTCTCCACAGACCTGATTTGTAATCGAGAATGCTTAATCACCACCAAATGGTATTCAACTTTTCATTTGTCATGGGTATTCTTCTAAAGTGTGGTTCAAACTTGGTCTCAAACAGGAAGCATTTGTCTTGATGACATCACTGATATGTTTCAAAAGAAACTGACTGAGGTAACTGTAGTGGACTAGAGAGCTTGTTTGTGCTTTCACTTGTCCGCTAATCAAGCCGTCCCAAGTGTACAAAGGTTCACTTCAATTGCACCAAGTGTACTTTGTTATCTTCACTAAGTTAATAATGTCTCAACCCAAAGCGCACCCTGTGTTCATGTTGCTCTCTCTTCTCCTCAAGCTACACTTTTGTGTTCATGGACATCTAGTTGAATGTGAAGGTCTGAGAACGTTTATTTTGTGTTGTTCATGTGTAAGTACATTTTTGAACTGGGCTTTGTCTGCTGATGGTTTGAAGACCCCTTTATGGCTTTGTGTGGCATGAAAGAGTCGTCTGAGTTGGAGAGATCATTATCACCAGTGGCTACAAAGGCAAAGTAAAAGGAGCTGAATGTGCACTGTTAAGCCAGAGGCTGTATTTCGACTCATATGTAAGATCACAGTCTTTTAAATCCATATTTAATTATGCTCTGGCCCCCGCACACCCCTGCTTGTTTACTTTACAGTGCTGTTTGTGTTAAAGAGAGAATGGAAGAGAAGGTGAGGCTGACATGGGATTACTATTAATAAGCACGAGAGGAGAGAGGAGGTAGAGGGCGGTGGAACTCTTGGGATTAAAAACTGCTTTTCATTCTTATTAACAAGAGATTGTTCTACAAGTATCACCCAAATAAGTGGAAAAATGTTCAATGGCTGAAATATTGCATTGAAATATCAATCGGTTTATGTTATGCTTAGAATTATATGCGTTGGACTCTGGTGTCTTTATGATGCGATAGAATTACTGCCGGTACTTTGGAGGCCTTTGGGAGAATTTGTTCTGAAGTTCTGCTCTGTTAGTTTCAAATGTCTTCTGTAAGTAGAAAAGATCTCTGCATCAGATCTATGCACTTTTTGACTCCATCAATGTAATATCAGCATTGGTGATTTGGATCACTATGTGTAATTTGTCTATGTCAATAAGTTGATACTTTATTAGTCGATTCTGCTGCTCCTCAAAATGCCATGGTGAAGGGGACCGTTCTGGCCGGGTGTTGACTTAATGTCACCCATCCATTTTGTTTTCGCTCTGGTTGGCCTCACTGGAGCTGGAAAATGGGAGGCTCATTCATCACTAGGTTTCTGTGGCTGTAGGCACCAACATGCATTCAGTCATATAAAGAATGACAGGCACACAAACAAACTCTGCTCTACACACACACGTCTGTGCACAAAAGCATTATAGTGTGAATATAATGAGAAAACTGGCATAGAGTACAAGAAATATTTCCCTCAAAATGTTGCGGTGCAGAAAATAGGCTGTCTGTAGGGCTCCTCTCAGCCATACATGTGTGCCAAATAAATAATGCAGTCAAAACGCTCTAACTTTTGTGACAGTTTGAGTGACAGCACCAGGGCATCTGCATTCTGACGACCGCAGCAGCACTGTGAGCCCAGACAGCTGCTCACTTTGGAATTAATGTCTCTTCTCTTTCTAGAAAGGAATCCCCATTGGACAATTCTGTAAAGACTTCAATGAGAAGACCAAAGAGCTAAAGGAGGGTATCCCCCTTCCAGTCAAAATACATGTGAAGGTACGTCTGCTCCAACACACCACTGACCCGCGACCACTCTCAACCGCTCCATTGTGGTTTTTCCACTGGCTGCATACATTACTAGCACACTTTTATTATTCATACCTCCTCACTGAAGTAAGCCTTTCCATTTGCATTCATTAATGAAGCAAAGCCCAAAGGAACCTGCCGTCAAGAAGCATTAAATGCATTCTGGGGATGGGAATTACGCAGAAAAGAGCTGTTGCATTTCCTTTGTCCCAATCTGCAGCAGAGTCCTTTGAGGTGAGCGTGCACCGTATGAGCTTTGTTGAACCGGTGATGTGAGGTCTGAGGCTAAGCGCTACAAAAGCACCTGTTTTCACACTGTCACATAGCGCCATCTGCTGGAGATCACACAGGTCTACCCTAATACGTAGAACCTGCTTGTTGGGACCAACGCATTTTTGCGGTGTGTTGGGTAAGGACACTTTGGAGAAGTATTTAGTTACTTACACATTCTCAAAAATGTGACCGAGGTGCCTTACTTTGATAAAGTATTTGATGTCAAATATCTACATTAATCAGATAGAAAGTTGCTCATGAGACTGAATCTATTTAAGGAGTATTATCTGCAAACTTATCTGTAGTAGTTACTCAAAAAAGAAAAAAAGAAATCTGATTACTGAAAACAATTAGTTATAACTGACACCCAACACTGCAAATAGCCAGAAGTCTTTAAAGTGTGTTCTTTCTGTGTTTTTACTGAAAATAGCCTTCTCCGAATGTGTGAAGAAAATGAATGTCGCTGCTCAGGCTCCAAACAAAGCTCACTTTGCATTCACCAATACATTATGCCTTTTGTCACAACTATGAGGCAATAATTGTAATGTTGTGCAAGACAGACTTGCTAATTACAATTTTTTCATTTGTAATATGAAACTAGATGTTAATCTACTACCCAAATATATAAATAAATATTTGTATTGTTTAGGATACCACAATGAATTTACTTTTTGTTATTGTGTCATGCTTATGCTTGAAATGAAATATATGAATTCATTCATTCATTTGTAATAATATCCAAATCAAATATAGCAGTAGTGATTTTAATTTCAATCATATTAAATTCACATTCATACAACCTCCCACAAATGTTGAAGGGCAACTTTCCATCAAAACTATTGTCTAAAATAGAATTTTCAATTGTCAATTCATTCAGTGTGTGTGTCCAACCCTAAATAAGAAAGAAAGGAGAGTGAGTCGCAAACAAAAGCAAAGTAACGAGATGCACGTCATATGACTTCCACCACTATATGTGAATACCTTTTACATACATGATACGACAATATTGATTCCAAAAATATGCATCATTTTAGTGTTTATAATCAAAACTAAAAGTGGGCATATCATGAGAACCAGTGGTAGTGTATCTGCGTAATCTATCCCTTCACTATAATAATTCAACAATATTGAAATTGTGTTTTATTTTTTTGTCTTCAGCCTGACCGAACATATGACCTGAAGATTGGGCAGCCCACTGTGTCCTACTTCCTCAAACAAGCAGCGGGCATTTCAAAAGGAGCCACAAAAACAGGCGAGTCCACTGCTCCTGCTGAGCCTGTCATGTAACGCTGCACATTCTTGGCCTCCGTTTGAGCTTTGAGTGATTGATGTAATATTCATTGTGTCGGGAGCGCTGGCTGCAAAGGATGAATGTGGCAACGGTGCTTTTATTGGCGCCAAAAAAAAGAGAATAATGTATTTTTCTCTTTAAAACTCCACGTCTGTGTCCAGTCTCTTTGAGGGCACTACTCTTTTTGTCTAAACAGTTGCTGACCATCATCTGTGTTTCCTTACAGGCCATGAGACAGCAGGGATGGTGTCTGTGAGGGCCATCTATGAGATCGCACAAGTCAAAGCCCAAGATGAATGCTTCAAAATGAGAAATTCTTCACTGGAGAATGTGGTCAAATCAATTGTAGGCTCGGCACGCTCTCTCGGCATCAAAGTTGTTAACGAGTAAGTTTGTGTGTGCTCCGGGCAAAGTGAGACACATGCCGGAGCTTCCTAAAAGACTTAATCAAATAATTATAATCTAACCTGAATTATACATCTCAAGCAGATTGTAAACTGTGGAGTTTACCTGCAGCAATTTTATACATTATACTCTTATACATTAAAAAACTATCTCGAATGTTGGAATCTAAAGCTGATATTTTCATCTTTTGACATAATTCCATCATTTTTACGATTGAACAAATATGTTCCATATGTAGGACATGTATTTTTGAGTACTCTTAATTACCTCACCAACAGAGGGGGTATTGTAATGTTTCTGGGTCTGACTTTGTGTCTTTGTTGGCGGGCATAAACTATGAGCCAAATAGATTATAAATTTGATGTGAAGATGGGAAGTGATGGGAAGAACTCTTTAAAATGTTGAGATGATCTGAGTGCACGTTCGGTCTGTTTTTTTAAATTTTTGTGTGTCATAGTTTTACTTCATGCTTTCCGCTCTGGTGCTTAAATTGCACCACCAATTGCACCACAAGTTGCACCACAATCGTTCTGTTCAAGTAGATTTTGGCAACAGCCAGTGAAGTGATCTAACCAAGGCTTTTAAAAAAATCATTTGTCAGCATTCTAAAACATATAGCAAAGATGAGGAAATCCAACAGTGAGTTTGTGCTGGTGTTTGCTAATGTAGAGATTTTTAAATTTAGTCAGGAATAGATCCAGTTTATCCACCTTTTGGATATTTCTATTATTTTGAAATTCCATCCAAGAGAATTGGGGAAGAGCAGCTAACATCTGCGCCCCTCTGGCGCAGGTGCACACACACGAACACCCTCGGTTCACTCATTCATCATATTTAGAGGTATTGTCAGAAAGGTTGCTGAGTGTTAGCATTTTTCTACCCAAACCTCCTGTTCCTCTGATGGGTCTTCAGTGAGAAAAGCGCCTCTGTGTCTGTACCATAATCCTATACATTAACCTCGACTGGGAGCAGTGGTGGAGAGAGTAGTTTTGTTACTGAAGTACAGAAGTGTAAAAATAGCATTGCATATGAATATATTTTAATAGTAAAATGTACACTGTGATCTACTTGAAACCCTAACAATCTGCCCTTTTGTGCTGTAGGCTATCTGCAGAGGAATACAGAGTCTTCATGGAGCAAAGGGAGGAGAAACTTAAAGCTGATGCAGCTGCAGCTGTAGCAGCTGCCACTGAAGCTTCTGGGAAAAAGAAATGATTCAACGGTCACTCATGCCTGTTTATTTTTGTTTGTTAAAAAGTCATTTATCTCGACACTCAAACTGTAAGTTAATAAAATATCATGCTGTTTTTTCCACTTCTGTCGTCTTCATTTTTATGTTTTATTTTACTGTGTTTTGGTTTTGTTTTTGCCAAACCACTGATAAAATGCATAATTGGGCACATGATGTATCAATAATAAAACCAATTATCATTTCAATCAAATCAACCCTTCCAGGATATAATGTAAATATATTATTCTATTAAAAAAACAATATTTATTTGGATATCCCTAAATCGTTGTATGTGCTATTTGGCTCAGTTTTGAAAATCTGTTGGCCCCATGGATCTATGGTTTGGCCCCTAGACCGCGGCTTCTCTTCATGTGTCCCACACAGTCTATGGTCCCACCACTTCAGCTAAAGACTGAATGACTGTCTCAGCTTCACAAAGAGTATATTTCAAAAGATTCACAAGCTGAGCTGATTGTTACAATTATTGGTTCTGCACTGGCGTTCTAGAGTAAACCTCTCCCCTTTGGCACCCATTTTTCCTCTGTGTTTTACTAATTTATTAATTGCAGAATCTCTTCTGGCACACTTTTGATTATTCCATCGTCATCAAGTCGAAATTTTAAGTCAAGTTCAATCCATCAAGGTTAACCATATAGATCTCTGTAATCTGGAACCCCACATGTTTTGGCCATCCTGGAGAACCTCAAAAGCCTTTTAACCAACGCCGTGCAGAAACTATTAACAGATGTATTCAGATAATGAACATTGTGCACTCCCATCATCTCATCCTAATCATCACAGTGTGTTCCAGTTGGAGAACTTCCTATGGCTTTATCCTACACAGAAGAAGTGGGACACGATTAGATATGAATTTAAAATGGATTCGATTGTTTTGTAAAGTGACAGTAAAGTAACAGTGGACAGTGACGCAGACTCCTGGATGTGAGTTTTCTCTTTTCAGAAAGACTGGGGACAAACGTTTGCTAGCTATCGATTAGCCTGCTGCTAACTCTAACTGCGCTTAAAGATACACAACATTTTGGTGCTAATAACGTTGCTTTGATAACGGTTGCAAGAGTACGAGTCAGGTCAGTATTCAATTATTATTATTTTTTAAACCGACTCGACATATTATTTTTCAATCTTGTCCAAGATCAACACGGGTATATCAAAAACACAAACACACGAATCACATTCCGAATAAAGGGTTGTGATCCTGTTCAGCACAAACAAATGTAAGTAAGTAAGGTTTATTTATATACCGCCTTTTCACTGCACATCGGAGTCTCAAAGCGGTTTACAATTGTTGGGTGGGGGTGCCAGTACAGGAGGCACATGCCATACCTATTGTACATATTTTTAGTGGTAGGGGAAACCGGAGCACCCGGAGGAAACCTACGCAGACACGGGGAGAACATGCAAACTCCACTCAGAAAGGCCCTGGTCCAACCGGGATTCGAACCCAGGACCTTCTTGCTGAGAGGCGAGAGTGCTATCCACTCAGCCACCGTGCCGCCCTTGGTCTTTGGTCGACTAATATAGAATATATCCAGTTGATTGATTCATTTAAAGGGGTGCGAGGAAAATTGGTTATATCTTTAGGCCAAAAAATCTATGTATCCAAATTAAAAATGTAAAATAAACTTGATAAGTGAAACCAAAACGAACACCATATATTGGACACATTTGCATTGTGTACCATGTGTTTGATGGTAATCCCAAAAAACATTCAATTCAATAATTTGGTCAACTAGAATGCTAGACAGATTAATCGGCTTGTGAATATAATTTAATGCTAAAATCTGGAACAATCTTCCTGAAAATGTGAGACAGGCCTCCTCTCTGGCCTCCTCTCTGACAATGTTTAAATCCAGGTTAAAAGCAGTTCTGTTTAGCTGTGCATACAACTGAGGGATTTTAAAATTGTATCTTTATTTTTAATGTACTGTGATTATTTATGATTTTAATGCTATCTTGGCTTGTTCAGCACTTCTTTGCCTTGTGTATGTATTGTGCTATACAAACAAACTTGCCTTGCCTATAAGATTTTATATAGTCATAATCCAAATTAAATTTAGACCTAAAATCTCAAAGACTTTTCAGAACATTCTACAAATGAAATAATCAATTAACTTTGAAAGCCTTAATTGTATTTCATTATATTATCATATTATTTATTTTTAATTAGGGGGGGTGACAGTGGCTCAGTTGGTAGAGTATTGGCCTTTTGGCCTGAAGGTCGTGGGTTCGAGCCCACCACAAGACCTACTTCACGTCCCCCAGTGATGTCAGCTGTCGTTGTGTCCTTGGGCAAGACCCTGCTTTGCCTGATGCCCCCGCTGAAAAGATCAGGGCTCCTGTGGACTCACCACCTGCAGGAGGATCAATGAGGGGCTGGTGCTCTGTGAACTGGGTGCAGCTCTGACTGCCACCCCCCGAACCAGAAATGGATCAAGGGGAAGAAGATGGATGGATGGATATTATTAATTATGTATTTAGAGCTACACCATTCATTATTTTAAGCAAACAACCCCGACCCCCCCTTTGTAACAAATTAAATTTGTTCAATTTAATTTGCCTTAACAGTTTTAAAAGAAAGTTGTAACTGCTGCATCACTGCATCAGCTGCATACAAAGTAAAAAATGAATGCATTAGGACGTAAATAGCTGATTAAAAGGATAAGTATTAGGGGCCCAAAATTGATCCCTGGACTTTTCTGTTTGTAATGATGGATCTGGTTGTTGAGGAACCAACTACATTTTGGGGTCTTCCTGAGAGGCAACCCCTGTAGCAGTTTATGGTATGAATGATAGTCCACTTTTATGGAGGAGCAAACAACGTTTAACTTTTCTTTTGCTTTGTATTTATTCTAGTCAAAAAAGACAAACTGGCAACAACAGGAAGATCTTTAACTGTTAAAACTGTAGCTAAGTAAGCGTAGCTTCGAAGCTTGGATTGAAATCAACCCGCCACTAGAAGCCTGTATAGCCTTTTATTATTTATTAATCATTACTGATTGTTACTGTAGATGGACTGTATAATATTAATAATTCTTCCACGGTGTTGTAGAGTGTGTTTAGCACCAGAGGGCAGCACTTACCGTATATAGACTTTAATCCTAACAAAGACTGTAGCCCGGAGCCCATGAATACTCTTTTTACAAAAATGTGAAAATATCGATCAGTAAAGATATAAAATTCACCCGTTTATCAAGTCTGTAATTGAAAACTTAAAAATTATACATCCCTACAGTATGGATTGGATGTATTATGATTGTTCTTGATCCTCTCTATGTTTTGATCCAACAATATAATGCCTAATGTAGGCTTTCATTCACAGGAGTAGTCCAGAATAGGCTCACATTAACATTCTCTGCCATATCTGTTATACTGTAGATCTAATTTTAGCCAGCTCTCTTCCTTGTGTGCCCCCTCCCGCTTTTCTACAGAGCTTCTCAATGGAGGCTGAGAATAGCACACCAAACAGGAATGCCTATATATGGAGCATGGCAGACGCAGGTACATCAAGAGAGTATAGGTAAGTGTAATTTGTAAAGAGGATTGGTTCTGATGCTGCTGATGGGAGGGGGGATCTTATTGTGCCTACTATTATGCGTCGCATCATCATCATCATAAGTGGGAGGTGGTTCTGTGCACGCAAAACCTCGACGTCCAGCGAGTGCGTCAGTCTGACTCAGATAGTGTCTCGTCATGCGTGTGCGTCAGAGCTGTTGCTGAGCGAAACTGGCTCCAGGGCAGAACGGAGGAGAGGACGGGAGGAGGTGGAATGTGATGCTGGGGATGAAGCAGGGGCCTTGGCAATGACGACACAAGTGCATCAGCAGCATTAAGTGCACTTTATTATAAATGCATTTGTATGACAATCAAATACACTTCTAAGCATCACAATAGAACACTGGTCCACAATGTCCATTTGCAGTAAGTAGCATGTTTGGAATACAGTATCTCTTTTTAAATGATAAAAATCTCTCTTCTATTTACAGACCAATAACTCTTCATACAAATGTACAAATGTGTACAACCTTTCTGTAAATCACATATGCCCATATCCACAGGCATATGCAGTATGCAGTAACATTGTTTTCAAATGTCACACAAACATACATTTTACACAATATACTAACTTAGCCTTTAAAAGCTAGAACGTAGGAATCAATCCTTTACTTGACCGTAGACAACTCTACGTGAGTATGTCGACACCATGGGAATAGTACCATTCTCAACCCGTGTCGCTTGGTAACTGAATAGAAATAGCACCCCTTCAATGTTCTCATTTTTTTAAAACAAAACATTGTATATTATAACCCCTCTTAAAAAAGAAGAATCTCTCATTCACAAAGTCAGTTGTGCCTCAATGCACCGCACTCCAGTGGAGCAGCGATGCAACGATCCATTTGTCATGGACAAAGATGAAGAGTTCAGAGTTCAGCAGGTCAGGGGCGTTTCAGGCACAAGGAGCCGCTATATGCTGCCAGCATTGCAAATATTGATGCTGCGAGAATATCCGGCCGACTGCCCTCAGGCCCCACGAGACCTGGAGAGCCACATTCACAGTCTAATGTACAGTACAGCAGAGCGGTGGGTCATGGCATGATCAGAGCTCCGGTAAACTTGTAGACAAAGCGATGAACACTTGGACATACTGTAGCTGAGACCAACTCATGCCAGGATCTCTAAACCGTTGAATACATTTTTGTTTTGTTTTTTGATTTTGCACAGTACACAAAATAGACACATTTTAAGATGAAGTTGTCTGAATGGAATGATAAAGATTTGGAGCAGCAAACCCAAAACTTAAAGTATTTTATAGTCAGGTTAAATACTGTTTGGTTTTGTGAGGAACAAGACTGAATCTCAAAATAGTTTTGAAACATTTTAAAAACAGTGATAATGATTATCCTTCTGGATAATGTTTGTAAACATTTCACTTTTAAGGTTTGGATTTGCGCTGCTGCCAACCCAGCTTAAGTGCAAGAATTGTTCTGACCATTGACAAGAAATGTAATCGTTTTTCGTTCACAACAGAATTTTCACTACGAGTGAATACAATTGCGCATTTGGAAGTTAAACAGCGCAATTTAGTACAGAGAAGTTTCTCTTTTTCTTTTACAGAAGAGGTTAATGGAAATTGCACAAGCTCAGAACCCAGTCAGTCCTGAATCTGCGTGATTTTACCATTTCAAAATGTTACCACCAGTTTGTATTTGTTCTGTAGAGATAATGACTTAAAAAAAGCCAATCATTTTTTTCTCAAAGATATGTCAGAATTAGTCCTTTAAGGTATATACATTATGTATATTTATACACTTAATTGTTTTTTACTTTTCAGTAAAAGGAGCTCCATAAAATATGACAATATGCCATACTTGATGAAGTAAGTCACAGACTTATTTTAGAACGGAGGAACTTCCACTCCCATCTGAAAGACAAGAAGAAGGGAACATATTAGTTGCATGATGATAGAAATAGATTTTTTAAAAGTGATTTGTTGGATTTTATGTCTGCATTACCTTTGTGGAAGCACTGTGAGGATGGATGACATTGGAGTTGATACAACTCAGGTTGTTGCCCCAAGCCAGGGGTGATCGAGGCACCTGCCCCAAACATGGGTTCCAGGACAGCCAGCTCCTCGAGGAGGGACTGAGTGCGGGTCATGGCAGGTGGTGGCGAGGCGACGGGCGAGGACACACCAGGAGACACTGTGAGGATCAGGGGAGGGGAAGCTGGGATGGAGGAGCAGGATGACACAGGAGATGAAACCACCTCAATCTCCATGGGCTCCTCTGCTTGCCCCTCCCCTTCAGCATAGTCCATGCTCTCTGAAGTCGCACTCACCCCACAGCCTGCCATGGAGTTACGATGCGCCGATTGGACGCTACACATTTGGCCCACTCCCTCAAACTGGGAGGGTTGGTGCCAGCATACAGGGGTCTGAGGAGATGTGGGATCAGACAGCGTTGGTACAACAGGAGGTGACGGAGCCTGGAGTGAAGCAAAGTCATCTTGGAGGAGAGTTTCAAGAATATTCTCTTCAAACAGAGAGTTGTCTTCATCGAGAAACATGGGAAAGTCCAGTCCTCGCCAGGCCTTGATGGGATAGAACTCCCGAAGTACGTGAACTGCGTCTACATCACTGGTCTCTACTGCAGGAGACATAAATGGAGAGGGTGGGCAAGAAGAAGGGGACATTTTGGTCAATAAGGGATCCATGTAATATCCCTCAGCCAAAGAACTGATGTGTTGGGCAAGCAGGGAGATTTCAGCATGCTCCTTTTCTCGCTCTATTGAAAAGAATGAGAGATAGGGCTGTTTACCAGGAGAGGCCTCTGGTGTGAGCAGGCCCTCTGGGGGGCACTGAAGAGGGCCAAGGGGGACATCTACATAAAGTGGACCCCTCACTTCAGGCACTGTCATAACTGTGCAGTCACCATCTCCAGGACTGTCAGGGGTGGGGGGAAGTTTTTCATAAAGCGAACCGCTGCATGGCTCTATGGGAAAGAGCAGGTCTGTAGAGGGGGTGGGCAGTGCCAGGGGCAGTTTTGTGGACAGACTTGTGGGGGGCACAGGGCTGGATGCTGTAGTGGGAGGTGCGGAGGCAGGGGCAGTTGAGGTGGTTGTAGTGGTAGTGGTTGCACTGGGAGGCGGTGTGGTGGTGCCTGTGGGGTCAAAACTGAACAGAGGCTCAAATGGGAATGCAGCAGTGACCTGAGGCGTATATGGAGGAGTGCACACAAACTCTTTCATCTGAGTCCGGGAAGTGGGCACAGGGGGAAGGGGCAGTGGCAGTGAGGGCAGCGGTGGGTCAAGCTGGAAAGATGGTGGCAGGAGAATGTTCTGCGTGAGAAAGTCCAAGTCTTCCACGGTTTCCACCGTGACTGGTGTGGGGGAGGATGTGGCAGAGCGGATCTCATCTCGAACAGGGTTCTGTTGGAAGAAGCTGTCCTCCTCCAGGGATGAGAGACTGGAACGGGGGTCTCCCTCGAGCTGAAGGGGCTCTGCGGCAGAGCTGCTTGGCTCATCAGAAGAAGTCACACTGCATCCCGCAGTGCTGAAGTCAAACGACTGACCCGACAGGCCGCTGCTTCCCGGGGTGAACACTTGGTCTGGACTGGAGAGAGTGTCAGGGGACTGGAGGCTCAGACCTTCCTGCGAGGTTCCAGAAGTAAGCACGATATTGAGTTGTGTCTGTTCTGAACTCAGCTGCTGACGAACTGCCCAGGCCTCAGAGTCACTGAAACATAAGTCATAATTCATCAGGACTCACACTTTTTTTTTTCTGTTATTTGAATTATTGCTATGAACACCAACCTGATGATGTAATTGTTGCTTGTAACTGGCACCTCCCCAGGCTGTAGCTGTAGCACCATGTAAAGCCAGACCCACGTCTGGTCTTGAGCCTGAATGCGAACCACCATCTCAGCTCGACCTTCCCCACCTTCTCTCACTGGTAAAGACAGGAAAATGTGTTATTACCACTTGTTATTAATCTGAGGGCATTGTGCCTATAGGCTCTGTGTTGTGTGTGGGAAACATGTTTGTGTCATGTGAAGAGACACTTACATAGGCTGCGGTGCTGTGTTGAGGCATGTGACAGGTCCTGGGGGTGGAGGAGGCTGTACCAGGAACGGGATCGCAGTGCTGTCACATCAAAGCCCAGATAGAAGCTCACACTGCAGGCCAGAGTGGGCGTCATGTTAGAACATTTAGTTTCCACTTTAACACATCAACACTTGATGCTTTTACTCACCTCTCCTGTGCAGAATACAGCCTCATGTCCCGGCCATGCTGCGAGTAGAAACAAGCTACAAACAGGTCAGCATCTGCCAGAGGACACCCTGTGGTGCTGGGAACCTCCCTCTCACTGTTTGGTCCAGAGCGACTTGGGTGGGGCTCCAGAGGAGAGCAGAAACACACCCACACAGGGTTAGATGCCCAGTAGGACCCAGCTGTCGTTGATGACGAAGGAGGAGACAAGCAGCGAGCTCGTATCAAAACCAGTTTGTTTCCAGCACTCTGCCTCCTAACTGATTTTGATGTGTTGAAATGGCATCGCAGGAGACGATCTATAGCAAAGAGCAGTGCAAAGTTTAGATTACAAATAGAAATAGGAAATATTTGACTACAGTATTTATAACATCAGTTACATCCAATCTTACATTTCTAATCATAATTGTGTCGTCATTCTTACCATTCTCAAGTGATGAAGAAGATGAAAGGTTGGTCCTCATAATATTATGGTCAGATGCATCGATTATATCATACACGCTATCCCCTTGTGCCACTAGATCCACCTGTAAATGGCAAAAACACTTGTGATTACTTCTCACCTTAGTATAAATGCATTGTCATGGTCGTTTTCGTTTTAACTTACCATTGAATGTCCCAAATGCTCTGAGACACTATCTGACAGATATAACAGCTTGCCTTCCCCTGTTAGTAGCATTAAAAAACCGGGCACTGCTTGCATTAACTCTGACAGCTCATGAAAAGACAAGAATCCTGCAGACTCCTCCAGGCTAGAACTCCCGACTTCTGTGGAAAGACAAGAAAACATTAATGCCTTAGTTGCTTTCATGCCGCATTAAAATTACGCTGCGACGTTTCAGCACCACGGAGAGCGACTCAAGAATAGCGCATGAAAGCTATCTCAATCCATTACTTAATTGTATCAGGGACAATTAAATGGAAAAAAGAAACATTAATGTCTGTGTCGCATGAATGGACACCTGTTGATTCCAGAGTTGAGCATATCTCAACAGGTCCTTACCTTGAATGAAGAAGACGGACTTCCTCGTATACATGCAAGCCAGTGACATGATGTGCAGATATGACAGCCGCGCTTTATCGGAGTCCGCGATGGGTAACAAGTCTTTCAAGTTCCGGATCTCTGCGTTGATCTGATCCCTGCGAGCCTTGGACGCGCCTTTCGTTGAGCGGTACATCACGGCAGAACTGCGGGGGATTCCTCCGGTCGCAAGACGAAAAGACTCTTGACTGGAGCAGACGGGATTTGGAGGTGGTGGAAACTGAAAACTGTTATTGGACTTTCATTTCAGAGACAGGTGTGTAGGACGTCTGCCGCACACGTTTAAGTCCGCACCGGGCGACCACGAACCGTAAATCTGGTTGCAAACTCTGCTCGCTGGTCACTTATATAGCCTGGGACTCCCAACGCACCAACACCGACGTAAACGAGCGGGAGGGGTGAGTTGTACACAGGGAGGGGGGAGACTTCCACCGTTCAGAGCACACACACACAGACGCTGGAAGTCTCTCTCCATCCTCTCCTCTTGCCCTCTCCTCTCGGTGAGTCTGCCTTAGACGTCAGCTCTTCCCTCTACTCGCTCGTTACGTCAGTCTGAAACGGGGAGCTCCGGCGACGCAAAAAGCCCGATTTGGACAAAACCGAGAAAGGGGTGTGGCCAGAGTAACAACGTAAACGGAGTCACCGCCGGTGTGTTGGGGCTGGGGAGCCCGGTGCAGATCTATGCTGCTGCTGCTGCTGCTGCTGCTGGGATGGGTCTGTAACCTACATAATGATGCTTCCTTCTGTGCTGCTGTCTGGACATTCAATGACATTCTAACATAAATAAACTGATACTTGTGTTTACGAATTAGAGTTTGGCATTGTTTTGTTACGGACACATTTTTCATTAGAAGGAAATATGTGAAAATATTTTCATTGAAAAATTGATTACTATTTTTGTCATCATAACGAAATCAACGCGACTCATGTGAAACGGTTAAAGCAAAGCAAATAACAAGATTGTCAATGTTACTGTTGCAGTATACCTATAAACTCCACGCAAATGTCCCATTATGATCTGAATTGGATAGGCCCATTTAATGACATGCATGTCATACATGTGAACAATTTTAGGCAAAGCAATTGAGAGAAAGCGGCGGACCTTGTTTCGGTTGGTTTCGTATCTTTTAGATTGAAAATGAGAATAATTTGGTTATTTTCTTTGACATTTTTCCAATTGGCTCGTGTGTTAAGTATTGTGACGTATGTATGCATAGCTTGGTGCTAATCATGACGAGCTCCAATCTAATCTAAAAGACCATCCTTTAATGACATGTGCTGGTCGCTCGTGAGGTGGCTGCTAAAAATAGATCTCACCTGTGACCGACACAAGGAGCTCGACTCACTCCTCATGATGAAGACTATTTATAAATGACGTGGAAAGCGTGTCTTGTTTGCGTTCGTGTGTTTTGGGTTTGAGCTATTTTTTCACATTTGTTATATTTTATATTCATCTGTGTCTGGCATCATTTGCAAATCAAAACAAGAAACTCGCCAACAGCGTGGACTCTCAGCTCCATCCATCCTGTACACAAACATAGGAACACACACACGCGCGCGCACACACATGCACACACGCATTTTTTATTGTATTGCACTGAGACTTGAGCTACAATGTTGAAAAGGCTGATTATTTTCTGCTTTTTCTTAGCTTTTTTTTTTAATCATACAATCAAAAAACATGATTATAATTAATGATATACATCCACAATTAAACAATTCTATTTAAATTGTGAATTTATACAAAACATTGGTTTTATTTCTCTAAGGTTATTCTGATTTTGATTTAAGTAGAGTTTTATTCTATTTACATTCAATATTATAGTTTTTTCACAATATATCTCTGTAGCCACATTGTGCTTAAACATGTGTTATTGTGGCAGGTACACTATGACTTGGCCCTATGCAAAGTAATAGCTTGGTTATGACTTCCCCAAACTTTACCATTCGCCTGTATAATTTACTCAGCATCTTGTTTATTGCAGCCTGGTCACAAACCTGTTAGATTTATGGAAGTTTTGTTACTTTGAACTGTTAGACTTTTCTTCCTCACTGCTTTGTTCTCTGGTGTAATTTTAGCAGTTTTAGCAAAACTGTGGCATATTTTAAAATGCCAAGTTAAACACTTTCTTTGATGATTAGGTGATTTGGTGATTAGCTTGAATGCAATCCAAGGAAAATAAGTCCAATCTTATTGTCCAAGCTCTTGGTGGCATAATAAATGTTCTCTTTATGTTGTTATAATGCAGTATGAGTGGGCAATATTTTGATGACATTCATAATAATCTGGCAGTGTGTTCCAGTCTGACACCGGACCACTAGCACATTCATACATTATACATGTTTTTAGGGAATCCTACACATACATGTAGCCCCTTTTTTAAGAAACTAGGGGGAAATAGAAACTTAGGGCTTTGCAAAGTAAGAACAGTTCACATTAACAGTGATCCATTTACTTTTTTACGAAATAACTGCACAACAGTTATTATATCTGTAGTTGTCTTTATAAACTATAATTATTATTCATATGATTGAGGGAAAGTAACAGAGCAATGTAGCAGAATGTCTCTACACAATGTCCATCCTCCACAAGGTCCTTGAGCAAGTGCCTCACAGCCGACCACCGCTCCCAGCACTGAGGGCTTCTCCTGAGGGAACATTGGATATGCATTTTTTTATTTTTTTTTATTTAAACTAATTTAAAACGGTGTCTCGTGCCTGCTCTTACAAAACCTGGAATGTTCTTTGCCTGCTGCCGGTGTTCATTTGTGTCATATTTGTTTCATTTTTTACCACTTGTACTAATATACTGAGACTAATGGGGAGACCTGAAAATCAGTGATTTGAATTCTATTCATCCATTCAGGGAGGAGAGGTGAGGATGGGCGGGTGCTTTTATCCAAAACATTTATTTATTTATTTTAAAGTAACTTGTATTCAAAAGTTGTATATTAATCAATTATGATACAGTCGACAAATACATTTTAAAATCATGACATTCAGGAAGCCATCTGAGTTTTAAATTTTTTATCACAAATGTTGTATTGAGACTATACTGAAACTAGTTAGTATCTTGAACATAAAACACATGCAATGGAAACAATAAATAAATACTTTGAGCTGCATAGAACAAAACAGACATCACAAAGACTAAGTTTCCACATCAAATTATGCCAATCGTTGTTTATATTCTTCTTTTCCTCTTACCCCCTCCTTTTGTGACAACATTTCTGTGTACAGCTAATGCAATCACAGAAGCTCTGAATGGTCTGTAACACATTTTTATTTAGCCTGTGTGAATTTGAATGCACCGATGTGTTCCTTTTTTGTCTCATAGCTTTCTGCTCAGTGATTCATTCCCAAATCCTCATTAATTTCTATCACTCCCCAACTGTTTTATTCTTCAGCACTTATTCACCAACAGTTACGGTGTGTCACTATCTTCCCTGACAGCTGTAGAAAGGCCACAATTATTCTGGGTCTCTCTGGGACACTCAAACACATGAGTTTTATTTTTTGTCTGCCTTTCACCAACAGGTGTGATTTTCACAGCTTTGACTTTTTGGCATAGAGTGAAAGTGCGGATGAGGGACAAGCAGCATGTCCCTCCACAACGTTAGTCATCACATCACAGGGAACAGAGTGGACAGACACTGGCGACATCTCTGTGAGTTTGCAAAGTTTGCACTGACTTTGTCTTCTGCTCAAATATGCGATTGTTTTTTGTCAACAAAAGATTAGTCTTACATGACAGAGGTGATGTGCTTGTCCTCTTTCCCATAAGGCCGTCTTTTCTTTCACTGTTTATTTTTACACCCAGAGCGTCAAGGTCTGTACTCTTTTCTTGAAAGGATGGAGCTAATCTGTCGCCTAGCAACACCTCCCACTCCTGCATCCGAGCGCCAGCGAGAGGAGTAAAAGCGGAGTTGAGTGAAAAACTGGGTAAAAATCTGTGGATGTTTAGGGGATAATACTCGAGTGACAGACTGACTTCCAACTGTTTATTATGTTTCTGGGGGTGTATTTGGAGATGGTTTTATTGACAGAAAATAACACATCTCCTGTACAACGGCATCGATGGTTAGATTTGCCGCAATATCATTGTTGCAGGTTTATGTTTATTGAAATGCTGTAGCAGTCTATTGCTCGTCGAAGTGAGTGTTGTGACTGGCCATTATTTGTTCATTAAATCAGGCTGTTGTTATGTCAAAATGTTGTCATCAAATCTCATTGATAAGCTTATAGCTTTCTCGGGTGTCACAAAAAAGGAACATATTGTGAAACTCTGATGCTGTGAAGAATAAATAATCATAAAAAATCATGAGCAAAAGCTGCAGCAATGTAAAGCAAGTTTATTTGTATAGCACAGTTCATCCATAAGGCAATTCAAAGTGCTTTACAAAAAGAGAAAGGAAACTCCAGGAAAATTCCAGGTTGTAACTGGATAAATATGAAATGCTGTCTCCCCATAATTCTGGACACCAGCAATAGGTCAGACTCTGGGCTCCTGAGAGTCTGGGATGGTGCACTAAAAAGTCACTGATGTACTTTGGTGCAAGGCCATGGAGAGACTTACAGTATACAGTAAATGGCCCCTCCACTGGTCATATACTCTATACAGTATACAATATACAGTGGGGCAAAAATTATTTAGTCAGCCAACAATTGTGTAAGTTCTCCCACTTAAAAAGATGAGGGAGGCCTGTTATTTTCATCATAAGTATACCTCAACTATGAGAGACGGATGAGAAAATGAGTTTTAAATAATTTATGGTGAAATAAGTATCATCACAATACTTTGTTATATACCCTTTGTTGGCAATGACAGAGCTCAAATGTTTTCTAAGTAAGTAAGTAAGTAATCTTTATTTATATACCGCCTTTCACAGACCAGAGTCACAAAGCGGTTTACAATAGTTATTTTTGGGCATTTGTCCTCTCACTCCACAGAGATGGGAGCGGGATCACCAGTACAGGAGGCGCATCTGTACGTCTTTACAAGGTTTTCACACACTGTTGCTGGTATTTTGACCCATTCCTCAATGAAGATCTCCTCTAGAGCAGTGATGTTTTCAGGATGTTGCTGGGCAACACAGGCTTTAACTCTCTTCGAATAATTGGGTTGAGATCTGGAGACTGGCTAGTCCCTTCCAGGACCTTGAAATGGTTCCTACCAAGCCACTCCTTCATTTGCCCAGGTGGTGTGTTTGGAATCATCATCATTATGCTGAAAGACCCAGCCATGTTTCATTTTCAATTCCCTTGCATTTCTTCACCCGAAGCTGCTTACATATTGCAGATTCAGTCTTCACAGGCTGGTGCAGGTGTACAATTTTGTTTCTGGTGTCCTTTAACAGCTCTTTGGTGTTGGTCATAGTGGAGTTTGGAGTGTGACGGCGAGAGGTTGTGGACAGGTGTCTTTGATAACGATTCCAAACAGGTGCCATTAATACAAGTAACAAGTGTGGGACAGAGGAGCCTCTTAAAGAAGGAGATACTGGTCTGTGAGAGCCAGAAGTCTTGCCTGTTTGTTGGTGACCCAATAATTATTTCCACCATAATTTGCAAATAAAATCAGACAATGTGGTTTTCTGGATTTTTATTCACATTCTGTCTCTCATAGTTGAGGTATACCTATGATGAAAATTACAGGCCTCCCTCATCTTTTTAAGTGGGAGAACTTCCACAATTGGTGGCTGACTAAATACTTTTTTGCCCCACTATATTATCTCAAACACAATTTCTAATATCACTTCCAGACTGGGGCCAACACAACTAAGACTTTGCCTTGGTTGGTGTTCAACCAAATGTCGTTTGTCTGCTCAATCAGAGAGCTCTCGGTGCTGTGGTGGGGTCTAAACCCTCTTCATGTTATGAGTGATGGACATAAATCATCTATTCAAACTTTCCCAGGCCTTACAGTGGAGTTAACTTTAAGTATACTTATTGACACATGTTGCAGCTGTTGAATGTCTATGTTCCCATTGAACGTGATAGAATTTACCAAGTTTACCCTATCTTACAAATGTCTTGTACACAAGTTTTTGCTTTATTCTATTTGAGCCAGCCTTGACCTTGTACCTAGCTGCTGCTTTCAATATGAGGTTTATTTTTAGCTCCGAGAACAGGGGACACAAGTTTTCATTGGTGCTCATAGTTACGTTAGTGCTCTTTGTCTGCTCAGGAGTGACTCTAAATAGATGTTCTCACAGAGAATGACCATGTGAGGCGTTATTGTTGCTCAAGGATGGATTGGATCAGAACGGAGAGAATGATGGAAATGAGGGACAGGAACAACCTTCAGCTGTATTTTTAGCTCTTTTTTTATGTACTGTACATCTTCCTTTGTGTACGGGTTTTATTATCCACCATATGCCTTTTCTCCACAGTTACTTGGTGCTGATGCAGGGTTGCCATGACAACGTGATGTAGATGTGTTACATCATGAGAGACCTCCCTAGCAGCCGAGCTTTCACTGAGCGCACTTCACTTTTCTCCCCCGTTAATGCTTACCCCAGTTTCTTAACCGGCATCCATTGACAAGAAAACCAGATCCATTCTATACTTGGGCTCTCTTTTCCCTCTTGCGAAATGGCAGCTCAAAATAAACACCCCTCAACAATGTTTTTTATGTCCAGGATCACATAACCACATTGTAATATCACCTTTACATCATGTTGTCCCCCACTTCTCTCCCCCTTGTAGGTATTTATGAGAAATGTACTGTGTACCGATTCATTCATTCGGAACTTGTTCATGAATGGACAAGGTCAATCAACTATCATGTTCACATAGAAACCTGGCTTCTATCTATAGCACTTCTAAAAATACATTCACACTTGTGAAATCAAGTTACTTTCATTGTGCTGTGTTTTTGTGAATGCGGTTCTCTCTACTCAGGTTGTACTTGTATCAGAGTTCGACTGGAATAACTGTAGGTTTGTATTTTGGTTATTGTAAACAAAGACTAGAGATGAGATGATGAGGGCCATGTTCTCTTAAGTGCTTTTGGATAGCAAGAGAACAAACCTAACAGTTGGAAGTGAAAGTTTGGACAACCCAGAATGTGAGTTGTGAAGCCAGGTAAACCCAAGTGATGTCTATATGGCAGGAAGTTAGATGCATTCTCATGTCTTTTTTAGCGGATTAGAAAATCAATCTTAAAAAATGCATTGGTCCAAGTTAGACAGATTAAACCCTTGTTCACTGGAATGATTAAATTGTGTGAAATGTGTAAGTTCTATACATTACAATGAAAATATTCCATTTCAAAATGATGTCCCTTCAGATCCAAACAAAGTCCCACTTGATAGAAATGTCACCCTAGCTGTGTGCCATGTTGTGATATGTGACTCATCAATCGTTAAGCCTGACTGAGTTGTATTGCCCCTGACTTTTCCCAGCAAAACATTATTTAAAACTATCTTTGTATTGTAACAGTTTTTGATAATGCCATCTATCAATTTGTTATTATTAAAGGTACAAAAATACAGGTGAGTGTGTTTACCATTGAGCAACAAGTTTAACTGTTTTCAGTATCAGTCCGTTTGTTCAGTCCTGGATGTCTTTTCAGTGTGAGGCCTTAATGCTGCTCTACACCCACACCGCCCTAGCAACATGTTGTCAATTCTTGGTAACCATTTACGCAATAAGTTAAGAAATTGAAGATCGTAGAAGAGCATGCGGCCTATAGGTGCAGCGCTTAGAGCCTTATATAAACCAAGCATCTGGAAGACTAACTGTTTGTCATCACATTACCACAATTCAAATGTAATGTGATAAAACTGTCATAGGTCAGTGCAAAATGACACTGACCTATGCTAATGACCATACACATGGCATCACAAAGGGATTGTGTTACAGGGTGCACAACATTTACATGGATGGCCTTTGAGAAACCTTCTGAGGTCAAAGTGAGCTCAACTTATTTTCTTGAATTTAATTGTTCGTTATACACTTCAAACTTCATAATTCTGGTCTGTTTGGTGTATAATTATTCCATGGATACAGCATTTTTTATTGTTTATTCATTTGTATTTAAAAATGCAAAGAGCCTTTTTCCTGCCTCCCACTCATGTGCTCTTCCTGACCAGCCCTTGAGCCTTTCGATGTATTGTGCAGCTTGTTTTTGAAGTCCCACAGATTCCACTGGCCGCTGTTTTGCTTAATGAACTAATCTCAGCTCTCTGGAGGTGTGTGGGTGGATGAAATGGCCCTCTACCTTGTTCCTCCATTCATAAGTGTAATACCTGAATTGTGGTGAGGGGGAGAGCTTTCGTCTTTTGTCCTGCAATAAGGATCAAAGTAACACTGCAAATAATTGTATCCATAAACGTGGTTTCCATTATTGCTCTATTACGTATTCAATTACACAAACTGTAATATTGGACAAAAATTACCGTCTGTTTAGAATAGGAGCTTGTTCTAGCTGCATAAAAGAGCAGTCCTAGATAAGACTGAAGATCTGTAGACTTTAGTGAGCATCAATAGATCAACAACTGAATATTTATTAGCACCCTGGTCTTTTGGTTTAGTGTCCGTTCCAACTTGTTGCTCATTGTGAAATGTAGTAGTCTTTGTGAACTCTAGCTGGAAAACAAGTTGTTTCAGCCCAAGCCACCTGCCAACGCTCTCCTCCTGCTGCACTGTGTGGGCAATGCCAGGCTCCAGCACATGCTGCCTATGTAAACACCCACTCCCCCTCACTGCTCATGCCCACTGTGTGGATGAGGCTTAGTTCTACACTGGCGTGGCCACAGGGACCACACTCAAATCTAAAGGCCCTCAAGCATTCCACAATCTTTCCACACCATTTGGCCAAGATAAAACTTTGTACACACACCTAATCTTAGCTCTAAATCAGTTGTACAAGAAGATGTAACTTGAACAATGTGGAAATATATTGCACAGTTAAGTACAATAGTACTTTCTGCCTCCCAAACCTGAGAAGCTTTAGGGAAAAAAATGCAAAAAACACTCTTTGGGTTATAAAACCAGCGCTTATGTACTAGTTGATCTGTAGCGTCTGCTGCCCCCTGGTGGTACATCGATGTGCATGCGATGACGTAAAGAGTGAGTCATCGCCCCCAGTGAAGGCAGATGGGAGCTGTGTGGGATGAGGCGCTGTTCTATGGAATAAGGGCTTTCCCCTCTCTCTGTGTCTTCAGCTGACCATTTGCTCTTCTGAGAATTGTCACAAATATGATATAATAATCTGAGAAAAGTCTATTGCAGTTATTCACACTATGGAAACCCATATCAGTGACTTGCTTCTTAAGCTTACAACTTAAGTGTAAATGATGTAAACTATGTTTTGATTCTCTTGATGTATTTATTTGCTGGTTGTTGTGTAATCATTTATAAATTATTGATTAAACTATTGCAGTTTGAACCAGAGAAAACAATTAAAGCATACAGTCCAGTGTTTTATCAAATTAGACAAAAAAAGGTCTTGTATTTTATTTGAATTCCAATAGGAGTCAAAAATACAAAGTAAAACATACAGAAAAGATAACAAACAGCAAAGACGGCATACTTGAAAACGTGCGTAGAGGTCGTGAGGTCTGGTGTGAGTGGTTACTGGATCAGATGTGTCAAACGGAAACAGAGCTGACAATAATTATGAAATGACAAACAAGAAGGAGTCAAAGATAAGGGTGGAAACTGGTGGAAACAGACTATTGTGCTGACGCCAGTATGAATCATTTCACCTGGAGGCAGGAAGAAAAAATGCCACGCACATTTGCTCACACCCACAGCAGATGTGAGTAGCACCAGGGTCCAATCTGATACATATGACCACACAGCATTCAGATAGTTGTATTTGTGCTCATATTATTGTTTTATCTTTGGGAACTAGACATTGTGCTGTTATTATTATTATTATTTACTATCCATCGTGTGTTTGTGAGAAAGCTACACTTAAAGCATCACAGTGATATGTTCAGCTGATTGACGTCTTCCTCTTTAAAAGGTGTATGGGCCGACGTAGATGGACAGTCTCAAGGCGGAGCTGCTCTGGTAGTTGCCCTGGTAGCTGAGGAGTGGGTTTACCGACACCATCTCCAAATCCAGTGTGTACTCCCTCGGTCCAGACACGGCTCGTGCCAATACAAGCATGGCGCTGATGTTATTGATTTGCTGCAAAACACAGATTTGGGTGAGTATTTGCGAACGCTGGGATACTAGTAATATACTTTGAGGAGTAGACTAATTTATAAAGCAAGAAAACAGCAACTAATTGCTTGTAAATGTTTTCACTTAAATTTGATTTAAGTGACAAGTCCTTTTGATATACTTAATTTTAATTCGGAAATACTTGTTGGTCTGGTTCACTGTAACTGGACCAAGTCTGGTTCAAATAAGGAATTCACATATTTGTTGGAAAAAATGTAAAGTCTGTTTTAAAGACTTTCAGTCTAGTCAATATACAGTTCAATCTAGTTAGACTATGGTATACAGCAAAAGCCATAGACTATACAACCAACTATACCAGCGGCTACAATACAACTATATAAATAGTTTTGTTGCGCTGAAAATATTTTGGTTCTATAACTAGTTTTTAAATACATGTATTTTTGGCCTTTTTTACATTAGCTTTTTCAGTGAAAAAGAGCGTACCAGCCCACACTGGATGGAAAAAGGATGTATGTAAAAGACAAAATGATACTTAAACAAGTCTATTTCTCTTGGTACATGTATGATCAAACAACAAAGTTAGGTTCTCCATATTTAAATCTCTATTTATACTTTTACGACACAATAATTGTAACAGCTGTTGCATTATTTTCACTCGTAAGTCACTTAATAGCTTAAAGTCTCCTTACTCTAATGTAGAAATCGCTGTTGTCATCTCCGGAGCGGATTCGGAAGGTGTTGTATGCTCCTCGCGACACACTGGTGGCCTGGATTTGGAAGATGTCAGAGGGGACAGCACGGTCTGAGGTGATGGTCATGTAGCGGTGGACGATGGAGAACGGCAGCTCTCGACATGCAGGTTTGGTAATGGGGCACACGCAACGGCTGAACACAAATAGCACCACTAATTAGTATTATTGATGCCAACAAAACACTAATATCTGAATCTGCACCTCACAAATTAACCAGCAGATGGGGTAACATGACAAGTAAACATTTACTGGGCTTTCTCAGATTTCGAAGTGTTAAAGGATTTAGTGCCTACCAACCGCAAATCATGGATATGACTGATTAGATTTACAGGTTTCACTAAGATCGTAGCATTTGACTTAAAATCTTGGTTAGCTTCCCAAGATTTGAAACTGTGTTCATATTTACTTTCTGATGCACATGGGCAGCAGATATGACTTAAGTAACGGTAATCCCTAAACTGTTCACACCAAGTCAATAAGAGGCCACGCTTGTCTAATGAGACTATTATGGTGTCAAGAATTGTATGCCAATTATCTAAAATATTGAAGACTAGGTAGAGAGAATGTTAGTGTTACTTTCTGTATTTGTTTTCTTGTATTATATGTATTAACTAGGGACTGTGTAAGTACCCAGTAACAAGCTTCTTTAAGATTCAATAGATTGCTTAGAGCCGACCATACTTTTCTTTTCTTTCATTTTTGAATGAATATAATGGTTAACTCACTTCTCAGACACTTGGACATACGGGTCCTGACAGCGGTTTGCATCGACGCACTGGTAGCGTCCGTGAATATTCACACAGGTTTGTGACTCGGTACATTGGTGCTCACCCGTCTCACATTCATTGATGTCTGTGAATAAAGCAAAGAGTCCAACATGAGAGTGGGCGCATCTGCGTGGATTAAAGCAGGTCAAATGAACGCCTGTGCTTACCTTGACATAGCCGAGTACCTAGCAGCTGGTATCCTTCCGGGCATACACAGGAAAACTTCCCAGGTTCATTGACACACTGGTACTGGCACAGGTAACTTGAAAAACTGCACTCGTCAATATCTGAAGATATATGAGAGGCAATTATTCCTTGCTTGGAAACAAAAAAATGGAGCTAAGAGACCACAATATTTCTTACCATTGCAAGCAAAACCATCAGGTCCCACTTCATAGCCCTGATCACAGCGACAGTGGAAGGTGCCGTATGTGTTGTAACACCTCTGGGAGCAAGGAGCGCCCATGTCACACTCATTCACATCTGCAAAAGTCAATTTAAAGACACCCCGGTAATTTATAGATGATTTCAAGAATTGGAGTATGAAGTAAGGCAAGGCAAGTTTATTTATATAGCACAATTCATACACAAGGCAATTCAAAGTGCTGAACAAAATAAGAAAGCATTAAAATCATAAATAATCACAGAACATTAAAAAGAAAGCTAAAAATATAAAATCCCTCAGTTGTACAGTATGCACAGCTAAACAGAACTGTCTTTAACCTGGTTTTAAACATTGTCATTGAGGAGGCCTGTCTCACATCTTCAGGAAGACTTTAGCAGCATGAATCTGAAAAGCAGCCTCCCCATGTTTAGTTCTGACTCTGGGCACTAACAGGAGTCCAGTCCCTGTGCTCCTCAGAGTCCGGGCTGGTTCGTATGGTACTAACATGTCACTAATATATTTTGGTGCGAGGCCATGGAGAGCTGTTTTAAAGTCTATTCTCTGAGCCACAGGAAGCCAGTGCAGAGACCTGAGAACTGGACTAATGTGGTCGTACTTCCTGGTTCTAGTCAGGACTCGAGCTGCTGCATTTTGAATGTACTGCAGCTGTTTTACAGCCTGTTTGGACAGACCTGTGAGCAGGCCATTGCAGTAGTCTAACCTACTGGAGACAAATGCATGGATAAGAATCTCCAAGTCTGCTTTAGACACTATGTTTTTGATCCTGGCAATGTTTTTTAGATGGTAAAAAGCTGCTGATGTTACTGATTTGATGTGGCTATTAAAATTTAAGTCTGAGTCCAGTATTACCCCTAGATTTCTGACCTTGTTAGAAGGTTTTAGGGAGAGAGACTGGAGGTGACAGATGACGCTCTCTCTGTGTTTCTGGGGACCAAAGACAATCATTTCAGTTTTGTCTGCGTTTAGCTGAAGGAAGTTGGTTTGCATCCACTCACTGATCTGTTGGATACAGTGAAGGAGTGAGTCCACTGGTCCATGTTCTCCTGCAGTCAGTGAGACATAGATCTGAGTGTCGTCTGCATAGTTGTGATAGGACACTTTGTTTCTGCGTATTAACTGACCTAACGGCAGCATGTAGAGATTGAACAGAAGAGGTCCCAGGATCGACCCCTGTGGTACTCCACAGGTCAGGGCCATATGATCTGAGACACAGTTTCCAATCTCCACAAAGTACTTCCTGTCTTCAAGGTAAGACCTAAACCAACTTAGGGCGGTGCCAGCGACGCCAACCCAGTCCTCTAATCTCTGTAAGAGGATCTCATGGTCTACGGTGTCAAAGCCAGCACTCAGATCTAACAAGATTATGATTGAGACTTTGCCTGCGTCAATGTTCAGCCGGATATCGTTTGTAACCTTAACGAGAGCAGTCTCAGTGCTGTGGTGGGGTCTAAAGCCGGACTGAAACATATCAAATGAGTTGTTGATTATAAGAAATCTAGTAAGCTGTAGGTAGACAACTTTCTCAAGGACTTTCCCCATAAATGGCAGATTTGAGATGGGACAATAGTTGTTAAGTACCGTAGCAAGATTTTTTGATTGATGCTGTACTGTTTTTGGGTGTGGTTGTGTGCATGAAGCGAATGTTGTATATTGGTGAAACTGTATATAGAATTTAATTTAAACAGACTAGAGTAACGGAATAATTTTAAAATGATGTAGCCGATAACTTACATGAGCCTAGAAAAGTATAACCTTTAAAAAAAATATATTCATGGTCATTTTCCACACTGAGCTACTTTTTGCCAACTGTGGAGTTAAATTTAGCTTGGATTTGTGTGAAAGCCACATAATGATGTGGGATGCAGTCAGACTTACCAATGCAGGAGCGGTTGTTACCTGCCAGCTGGAAGCCCGGTTCACACTGGCAGGAGAAGGACCCAGGGACATTGACACAGCGGTGCTGGCAGTACCTATACCTGCACTCATCGATGTCTGTAGGTGAAAGACTCCTGTTTACTACACTCCAACAACAACATTCACGGTTACTAAATCTAGAAGACCTGTTAAACTCACCAATGCATTCTGTGCCAACTTTGCGGTAACCTTCGGGACACTGGCAGGTGAAGGCTCCAAGTGTGTTGATGCACTGCTGGCTGGGCTGGCAGTCGTCCTCATCCCTCTCACATTCATCCACATCTGTCCAATAACACAGACACCCGTGTGAGTAATTATCACTTTGTGAGCAAGCACAAAATCATCTAATGTGACAAAGCAGGTGACAGATGCTCTTGTCCCCATTTGCACTCAACAATCATTTACAGAAATTTCAAAACACAGCAGCTGCCCCTGTGTTAAATCCTTCAAATTCTTACTGTCTGACTGTGTGTCTACCCCCTTTGAACACTCACTCACACCTACAAACTCGCCGCCATGCTTCCCCCACCTGCTGCGGCCACATGTCCCTCACAAAATCACAAAAACAGGCCAACTTGTAGCCTGTCTCATGGCCACTTGGCTTCTTTGGCTGAGAGCAGACACCTACCGATGCAGCTGTCGCCTTGTGGCTCATAGCCTAGGGGGCAGGGGTTGAAAGGCTCTGTGGGCGTGACAGCAGCCTCTGGGGCAGGGATGACAGATGCTGAGCGGGGCAGACACAGGTATCCTCCATAGTGGTTAAAGCATTTCATCTCTCCTTTGCAGGCATCAGGGATACTCTCACACTCATTAATATCTGACAAATAAAAAGTGTTACAAGAGATGAAAAGAATGAAAATATATATTGTATTCCAATTGTTATCTTTACCTTTGCAGTGTTCTGTCTGAGGGTCCCAATGATACCCATCTGTGCATTCCTACGGAGAGAAGAGTGTGAGAAATAGTGGAAAGTTGCTCTGAGCCAAGGAGTTGCAAAATATGTTCATAAGACATAATAAATTCCTGTTGGCACGGCATGAAAAACAACACTAGCTCACTGAGGGGTTTGTTGTTCAAGTAGCAAAACTGAGCCAAAGTGAACTAGCGCCTGTGAAAGCTTAAGTGAATGTGGCGTTTTCAAAAAACCCTCCTTTAGCCAAAATGTCACTGTGAACAGATGTATTTTATGGCCTGTGTTCGGGGGAAAAAAGAGTTACGATAATTGAAAAGAAAAATAAACTGCTGCAACCTGCATGGAAAATTAAATGAACGACTGAAAGTACCATGGAATTAAAACTAAAATTACCCCCTGCCATAACTCCTAAGAACTGGAAAAGGTCCTGGAAATCTGAGCAAGATGATTATGGGGAGGAGGGCAAAAGCAAGGAATAATTTACCCCCAAACGTCAAATTATTGTGACAAGGTAAAAGGATAATCAGAGAAACAGTGTTACCCATCCTTACCGTGTAAGTGTCACTTTCTGTGGGCGGCTGTGAAATAGCACTGCGGAGGAGCACAGACACACACACACACACGCACCACACAGACACGCACACGCTCTGCATATTAATGAACTAACTGACAAACACAAGAACATACAAACACAAACATGCACACTCAGACGCCTGCGCTGACAAATAGATGAAAGGCAGCTCCTCTGGAAGACCTCAAATCTGCTCAGGCACCTGTTTAGTAGCAAGAAGAGACAATAACAAGGAAGCAACATTAGAATCAGCGTCGTAGAACGAATTATTGTCTTATATACAGAGACAAACAATGTTTGTTTGTTCTACACAGAAGTGATATAGTATGCAGTAATTTAAGCTAGAAAAGGTAGATTACTTTTGAAGCTTCATATCTATACCCCTGACTAAATTCTAAGTACCAGTATTTCTACTTTAAAATCACAAGATTTGGTTGCACTTCCCACAAGTAAGGCTAAGAGTGACAAAACAGTGGATTTTCCTTGCTTTGTGTTCTGAAATGATTTTGTTTTCAGGTCTGTCAGTCCATTGACAATATAATCAGTGCATATTTTAAGTATTTACATCCAAACAGTTGCCCCACTGTATCTTATCTTATCAAAACGTTTCTCTAAATACTGTTGGGGAAAAGAGTGACCAATCTAATTTGACAGAGGAAAGGTTATAATCACATCTGTCTACGTGCACACTGTGACTCCACGCACCACAGTTATGACACCGCTTATTGTTTTATAGTATGTTTGGACAAACAAAACACCACAGGGTGACGTGGACACTCTAAACATACTAACTAGATGACATAACCAGACATTTGTCATCTTCTAGCAATAAAAAGAAATAAACTATGTCCAGTAATCAGTATATTATACCAGAATGAAACCAGACAACCACATTGCGTGACCTCTTGGACTTGGCTCAGGTCTGGTCTGACTTCAGACTCACTGAGAGTGGACTCTTGGAATGCCCCGTGGTGAGGCTGTGGGTGCTGTTGTTTAGATGTGATGCCCGGCTACTGCTGTGGTTCCCACAGTATGTAGTTATGGAAAACCCCCTCAAAGTTCTCTTAAGGAAACAAATGGAGCCCCATCACGATGCCATGTCCTGGATGTCACCAAAACGGAATTGGAGATTGGATTCATTCTTTTTTTCTGGTGGACTATTCAAACACCTGCTGTTCTTATCAACTATACCAGATTCCTTCATTTACCTCTTAGTCATGGAATTCTACTACTATTCTAATTACTACTGCCTCGGGTTAACTGGAGGAGGGGATTTCATTGGAACTGGGGTTGCACTTGTGGTAGTTCATAAGCAGCAGGGAGTAGTGAATCTGCAAATGCCTCTGTCCCTCTGTAAAGCAGCTCAGAGGTGCTGAAATGCACAAAATGTGCCCTAACCCTTGTAGCACTAAACAACTTTGATTCATGTTTCTTAAATGGTGATCACCATCTCTATTGCTACTTATTTTAAATTACTTTGGAAGCCATTCAGATCTGCTGTTTGTACCAGTGTCCTACCAGACACCTGTACAAAGTAGAAAGATTAAATAAATGACAATGACTGTACTGCACCCTCCCGGATTGTGCTGGGAGTCAGTCACTTCCTGTCTACTCCATTGCAGTTCCTGAAATACCTCCTAAAAACAGACTGCAGACCACATTACCATGGCTCATCCCAAAATTCAAACATTCCAGGCCAGACGCTGGTACAGCTGTGACATGAACAAGGAGCATCTTACCTCAACTGCATTGGCTTAATCAGGGTTTCTTGTTTATGTGAATAACATCTATTTTATGTTGAATAAGAAATTACAACTCACAGACGTGTCCTTGGGGTCTTCAGTGGCCTCCTCTTGGTGCTGTGAGTGACCGGCTGAGTTTGCTCCGAAGTTCTCCCTGAACTCCTGCCTTGGCCCTGAGCGAGTGAGCATGGGGCACGACAGCTGGAGCAGCTGAACACAGGCTGGGAGGGAGGACGAGCAAGGAGACAGACACGGAGAGAGAGTGGGACGGCCCATTCTGACCCCCCCTCGGGCCCCCTGCACTGCCATCCTCCGCTTTCAAACCCCCTTGGCTTGACCCCCCAGGATGCAAATTCCTGGTCTACAGCCCAAATACCACAATTACGAATCTGTCCAAATCGCAGGCACAACAACTCTCTGATTCAAGCACAGTGCCCTGCCACATTCACCCCCCATCCTTTTACTCAATGCCCCTCTTCTGGTCCCACAACACACCTGGTTTCATTTAAACTAAACCCTTGCAAAAGCCCACAGCTCTCCCTCCTTGTACCAAGACTTACCCCCCATCTATCTATACTGCCCAAATGTCTCCCCCCTTTTTCCATAAAGAAACGTGGTCTCAATCTGACAAGCAGGATATTTATAGCTAGGGGACTTTATGGAATGTAGACAGAAATTAGACAGTGAATTAGAAACCATGGAATCTTGCCTTTGAAGATGTGTCTGTTTGGTGGAAAAATATATTAATGATGTAACATAAACCAGTTCTTCCTCATTGTTTTACTTAATAAACAATAGGTGCCAGTATGCTGATAACTTTTAATTATTTTCTATTACTAAATCACACTTAGTTACCAACCTTTGCCTGCTTAGCTACATGGGAGTAAGTTGAGTAATTTCCCCTGCTGCTTTTCACTGTCTGGGGGGTGAAACCTTAACTTAACCCCAAAGTTAATCTGTGGGTGATAGTCGGTGGCAGCTGCAATTACAGGGATTTCTTGTGAGAAATGACAGCCAAAAATGGCCAATTTACTTAAGTTATTTGGCATTACAGTTATAGTGGCAACTCTATTGATCTACAGGAATACAAATTGAGTCGATTCAAAATACAATTTTTAGTCGCACATTTACATGAAAAAGTGCCTAACACTGTCTGTCAAATTTCTTTGGGCTTAATGCTGATGTCTTAGCTATTACCTTGAACGTTCCTTAAGAAATCTTTATGGAACTTCCCAGTTTAAATGAAGGGATAGAAATGAATTCATTTTTAAGCACTACAACATAGCAACACAGCCCTTCAAATTATGAATTGTAACCCTTTTTTATATTATAAAGATTTGTCAACTATTCAGTTATATTGTAATACTGGAATGATGACTATTGATGACTTAAAAGGCCACAAAAAGAATAGTATGTGATTTAGTAATTCATAAATACATCCAACGAGTGTAAAGCTGATTTAATTTACAAATGAACAACAAAAGCAAAATTCAATGAAAAAATTAAAACTATGGAATATAGACATAGGGCAAACATGGGAACTCTAACTCAGTCATGATACAACTTGAAGATGCAGCTTTTCACAACGCCCATGTAACGGTCCCACACATTCTGGTGTCTGTAGGGTGAAAAACAAGTAGATTAAGAAAAAAACAATGGCGCGTTAATGAGAAATGTGTGGTTCTTATAATAAATGTGTGTGATTGCTTTGAGTGAGGCCTTCTTTGTCTGGCAAGTGATTGACAGTGGGGTCCATTTCTTTCATGAATATCTCTTTGTTAAGTGTGAGGTGGTGTCGGCCTGTGTAAACCCGTAACTACATTCCTGAGTGTTTGCAAGCGAAACAAGGTAACTACAGTTTAAGAAATAGGCCAAAATGGTGTAACACCCACTGGCAGAAATGGGGCGCCAATATTAGATGTTAAATATAGCAACTAATGTCAGCCAGCAAATTAGAGGCAGCCAAAGATTTTTTTCTTTTTTATTAGCCCCCTTTAAAGATCGTTAGCAGGAGTTTAAGCACTGCAGTCACACAGATATCACCAGTGTAAAGAAACTCACCATATTTTGACTGATACGCTAAATGGACTTACTTGAATGTGTCAAGAATATGCGCAGAGTTTGTGTAGTGAGTAAGGAATAGTCTCATGTCTGTAGCAAGCCACCGGTCAGAACGGCAAGGCTCAATAAACTAGAAGGGTAATCGAAGAAGAACAAACATTGAGCAACTAAGCACGAGAATGTGTGCTAAAATATTAGAAAGTAACGCACCTTTTCCACAAGGTCAATGAAGAAATCTCTTACATCTTTTGTGTTAGTCAACTTTGCAGCAATGTTGACAAGACCTCTCGAAAGATTCTACAATGGAAAATGTAAAATTATTGTAGAACATTATAATGGGATTGATTTAGTAAGTAAGTAATCTTTATTTATATAGCGCCTTTCACAGACCAGAGTCACAAAGCGGTTTGCAATTGTGGGCATTTGTCTCTCACTCCACACAGAGATGGGAGCGAGGTCGCCAGTACAGGTGGCGCATGCCAGACTTATTGTATATGTTTTTAGTGGTAGGGGAAACCGGACCACTTGGAGGAAACCTATGCAGACACGGGGAAAGGCCCCGTTCCGACCGGGATTCGAACCCAGGACCTTTTTACTGAGAAGCAAGAGTGCAATACACTCAGCCACCGTGCAATAGTATAGATATTATTTTTCTTACTTTGAAATTAGCCTCCATTTCTGTGAATGCCTTTGCTTTTCCCCTCAAAGCTGTACACACAAGACTATACATAAACAAAATTAAGGTTAATATTTGGAAACAATGATTTATATTCGAGTAGCTATTAGTTACATTAGGTGAAAATTACCTCTTGTGTTGATCGAGTAGGTCTTTATCTGTTATCAATATTTTCAGCTCTTTTAGCTCTTGTAGGAATTCCTTATCAAGATCAACATCCATATCATCTACCATGTTATCTGTGAGAAATGTACAGGGGAACTTTATTTCAGAAACGCATAACAAATAGGGTAAAATACTGTAAATGACATGGGAAACTAGGACATCTAGTGGTGGCTAACATATGAACAGTACTGCTCTACATTTTGACCTGTTCTTGGACTAAGGTTTGACCATACCACATATCGCCCAAAAAGTAGAAAATGCATACCGACAGCACCCACTGTCCAATTGTTGATCAGTTGCCCAGCACAAAAAGCAAAATCTTGAAAGTTTAGATACTGCAACTTTCTTTTGCCTGTCTCAAAACGATTGTTGGCAAAAAAAACAATGGCTGCATAATCTCTGTAGAAAAGAAAAAATCATAACTGCCATGTCATCATTGTACATACTCCACTTTAATCGTTATTAATAATCACCTGGCAAGTTTATCTGACAGAAGAAAGTGCTGCCGGATATTCTCCACTAGAGGTCCTTTTAGTTCCTCCACCACTTTGAAGACCCTCTTGAAATTGTCAAACTGGCATAAATTACAATAGAAAATGTATGTTTTATAAACAGAATTGCATAATGTTTATAATTATTGGAACACTCACTTGTCTTCTGCAGCTTTTTAGGGTCACATTGGTTTTGCTACTGATATCATCCAAGTCTTTTTTGGTTCCTTTAGATAGTTTCTTTCCCAAAACCTCACGGACAAATACATCATCAAAATTATAATACCTGGAGGAAAAATCTAATTAAGACACATTCGTTGCACATATTTCTTTGGAAATGCCCAATAATGTTACATGTGTACCTCTCTATGAGCATTGTTTGTCTGTGAGGAGGAATCTGAAACAGAAGCTGATTGGCCAGTTTGGGAGGACTGTGCAGCAGACGCTCACACATGTGAAAGGTCCTGTACTGGTCCATGGTGTCACTGAGCAGCACGTCCGCACTGGCCTCACACTCATCCAGCGCACCGCCCTCCATCCTCACCTTCACTGCATCGTTCACTGCGGAGTTATCACAAACTATCTTACAGATATATTTGATCCCCAACAGTATACCACGTCATCGCACTGCTCTCAATATACAAGTCACATATTAACACTAGTAATGAATTAACCTAGTTACCTGTATAGCCATCTAACCAGAGCTGATAAACCTCCTCGTCCATAATGGTGGTGTTGCCCACAAAAACATCCAGTTCCACGGCCATCTAAAGAGAACAAAACGTTACAGTCAGCTGCATCAGTAAATCACCAGATGTGTCAATACCTTCAGAATGCAGTTCGACAAGCTGGAAACACGACCTCCAACTTTGTTAAACTAATAGGTTTATGATTGGTTGATTTCCATGGCGCTAATTAGCTGCTACTGCGCGTAAAAAGCTAAATGCTAGCCGTCAGCCGTTTAGGAGTGCCGTCGTGAGAGTAGCTATTGTGCACGGTTCTAGCTGGTTCAAAAGAGTCAGAACGAGATAACACTGCGAGTACGAATGAGTTAAGATAGGCTTAAGAGCAATGTCAACAACAGCAGACCACTCTCAAGAGCTACTTCCGCATGTGTGACGTCACCGGGAAAGTAGCGGTCGAGGGCTGTTGCCTCGAAGGGTTGAGGTTATTTTTTATTTACTAAATAAATGCATGTTTTAATCAGTCAGACATTCACACTGCTGTAACAAATAGTTTTAATAAAACACGATCGTGTAGAAGGTCGACATTGGCTCAGTTGGTAGAGCATTGGCCTTTGAGCCTGAAGGTCGTGGGTTCGAGCCCACCACAAGACCTCCTTCACGACTCTCACTGATAACTGCTGTCGTTCTGTCCTTGGGCAAGACACTTAACCCCACTTTGCCCGAAGCCCCCGCTGAAAGATCTCAGCTCCTGTGGACTTACCACCTGCAGGAGGATCAGTGAGGGGCTGGTGCTATGTTTACTATGACTGCCACCTGACTAGAAATGGATTAAGGGGAATAAAATGGATGGATAATCGTGTATAGTGTATGTGTCATTATTATATTACCAACGAAAAAAATACAATTATGCCATGATGAAAAACCGAGTTAAAGTTGTAAAGTACAGTATGTAAATCAAGTTGTCTTATTGGCAAATTGTGAGTGGAAACATGAGTGTCTCACGTCTTCACTTGATCCACAAAAATATGTTGATATTATTTCTTTGAAGACCTTAATTCATAATTATGTTATTGTGAACTACAATGGAAATGGAAAAAGGGGCAGAAATGAAATGCTGGCTTGCCAGATCATGTGGGAAATAGTAGAATGATAATCAGACTCTACACCTCTGTCTATTCATATTATCATATTAGGTGTAGACCTATTGTAGTACATTCTCAATAAAAAAAATGCCATAATGAAGCTTTCGTATGACTAAATTATTATGTGTAATGTCGCACTGTAGTTGCTGCTGTACTGGAGACATTGGACTGGTTTATTGCTCATTGACGGGTTTGAGACTTCACAATCAAATCAAACCATTAAATTGATTTCGTAAATTTTGGGTGTGTGAGTAATGTAGACAACACATTACTTTTAAAAAAAGTTGTAGCCATTACAGACTATTCTCCTTGGAAGGCCCGGCTGGCTGACTGGACAGTAAAAAGTAGTGATGTGCACACTTTCTCTCCTCCAATGATTAATCCCGTCAAAATACTAAATCCCTGTCACTCTGCCTAATCCCTTCGCTAGCCCTCCCTGTTGTGCACGTGTCGTTCACATTTATTACGTAGTCTTTTATGAGTTGCACACACGGACAACAGCCACGACTCACACTTACCCGGTTAACACCCTGCATTGTAGTGGCCTCAGTGAAAACAATACGGTGGGACACAGGGCGGAAGGATGTGGCAGAATACCTCTGCAGAAGGGTTTCTCACTGGTGCTCACGGCACAAGTATATTCAACATATATTAAATAATTGGGTTGTGTGGTACATGAATATCTGTCAAACAACAAGCTTTACATTAGGCTCCCGGACATGTTTTGCTCAAGCGTCTATATTGATGATGATTATGATCACATAGACTGTGTGACGTCAGGATGTAGGAACGTGTGCCACCATTCTGCATCCTGGAAGGATGGATTATTTTTCAAATTAAATGTCTATACTTAATTTAGACCGTGACCGTGTGTTTAACAAAAACACATTGAATTAAAAATACTTTTAATTTATTGAAGGATTTTGTATTATATCTAACTTTACCATACTTGAACCAAACAGGTGTTTTGATTTTTAGTGTATTTTATTTTGAACGTAAGAAGCGAGCTGTCTGTTTCCGTGTTGTGGCACAAGCTGTCCGCTGGATTCAGGGCAAACTGGAGCAGGGAAAGTGGCAGAAGCGGACATTATCGCAGTGCTCGCTCCGCTTCGGGCCATCGATGTGTGCGGCTATTAAACCGTGTTGAGTTTATCTGGAAAGTCTGCGATTTATGGGGATACTTCAATATTGTTACGGACTGCGTGTCGAATAGCGGAAAGCGCCTAATGGCCTCATCCATCCAAGCGTATGCACGATGTCAGCCGCGTAAAAACATCTGCAGACGCTGTTCGCTCGGACTGTTGGATTAAGCCTTTATAGATCTTTTCCATATCGCACAGAAAAGCCATTAGAAGAGACTGAGGACAATCTCAAAAGCTTTCAACAAAGTCCCCTGCCGCTCTGCCTGGGTGGCAGGCTGACATTAACGTGTTTTTTGCAGCGTGTTTTTGCTTTCGGGACACATCAGGGATTTATATTGTGCGAATAAGGTTTGGTTCGCCATTGCAGTACAGGATCATATGTTTTGGCCTGGGGTTTGCCACTTGGGATCATTTCATGGAGACCTGGATGGCAGAGGGCTGAAGAAAATGACGGTCCTATGATGGCTCTGGCCTGCGCTATATTCTCTGAGGTGAAGATTTAGTGCATTGAATCTCAGGAACAACAATCCAAAATGAGCAGCGAAGGCGAGGTATTGAACAGGGAGCTGTCAAAAGTATCTGATGAAGACTTGTTGTCCTGTTCCAAAGAGGAGTTGGTGAATCGGCTTCGTAAAGAGGAAACAGAGAAGATTTCAGCACTGATTCAGAGAGGAAAGCTCATCAAAGAAGTGAACAAACAGCTGCAGGGACATCTTCTAGAAATCAGGGAGCTTAAAGTAATCAATCAACGTCTGCAAGAGGAAAATGTGGAGCTAAGAGACCTCTGCTGCTTCTTGGACGACGACAGACTCAAAGTGAAGAAGCTGGCCCGGGAATGGCAGCTGTTTGGGCACCATGCTGCCAAAGTGATGAGGGAGGATCTCGGGGGCTACTTGAAGAAACTGGCTGATTTGGAGCGCTTGCAGGATGGTCTGGTGAAGGAAAACGTGGACCTGAAGGAGCTGTGTCTGGTGTTAGAGGAGGAGTGTGTCAGCCGGAGCGATTCCAGTCCAGGGGGATCCACCGAGCTCAACTTGCCCTGCATGGTGGCCCGGGATCTGGGGGATGGCAGCTCCAGCACAGGCAGTGTTGGGAGCCCGGATCAGCTCCTCCTGGTCTGCTCTCCTGATGACTAAAGGCAGATCCAAGATGACACCAGAGCTCATTTTAACTATAATGCTGTTGTGATGGACAAGACACATTTGGTGCATTAGGGCTTTCTGAATGCTGCTCAATCGAGTGCCACCGTTTCATATTCAGGATTTTCCTAAAACATTTTGCAGATTATGTATCTTGAATTTTCAGTGTTTTTTAAAAGTATTTCCTCTGATTTATTAAAAGCTTCAGTTCAGTGGGATAACACAGTCAAATGAAATGGGACCAAATATCTGGGTCACATAATAATTTGTCTCTGCACTGGGCTAGTCTACACTGTTGGAAGCCTTGTTTCCTTATTGCACTGGATGATAGCATAGTACGTTTTAAGATCCTATTAAATCCAGTTTGAGCCATATTTATTCCACGAACAAAAAAACAGCAGTGGCATCAATCAATTGTGGTTAAAAAAAGAAGTAAATAAACGTTTAGTTAGCTGCCTGTTCATGTGTAAAATAGTGTACTCACATCCTCAGGGCAGGATCGGAGTGTTTGTGTGCATGATGACCACAGACTGTTTACACTGGATCACTTCAGGTTTACTGTCGGCGTTGCTTGGTGTGAACATTTTAGGATATTAACTGGACCTTCTCTATGTCTTTGGGCCTTTTATAGGAGTGAAGACTACCCAGAACAGAACATGCCTCTGACAAAAACTTTTGTATGTGTGATTTAAGTGAATTCTTAATACAGTATGAAGGCTTTTGGAGTTTTAACATCCACTGTACTGTAGTTAGGTAAATACCTGTTGGATTTTTTCTTAGATTGTTGTTGGGGCTAAAAGCTCTCACTGCTACGTTGCAATCTTATACATTTTTCTGTATTGTGCTTGTATTCCCTTTGTAATATTAGAATTATGTTGACCTCTGTTTCTTCTCATTTAAAATATTAGCATTGATAATTGATTTTGATAGAAGTCATAGATGCACATGAATTGGTTAAGAATATTGTTTGTTTGGTTTCTCATGCTGATAATTCTACAGAGCTTTAATACAGTGGGTGAATTACACTAACTGTCTCGTGTCTTTTTGTGTTAAACAACATAGAAATAAGAAAATTAGCCTGTGATTGTTTTTATGGGGTTTATGTTTACTGATTCACAATCAACAAAAATAATATAATAAGACAACTCCCATTTCACATTTGATGAGATCTTGTTTTTCCTTCCTTAAAAGTTAATTTATTGAAGTCACTTATAGTTTATCCCACAGCTGTTTGGTTTGATACATTAATCAAAACAGAAGTTTTCAAAATTATTTATTATCTAAAGATTGCACTTGCTATGAAGAAAATGTTCAGGCCCTGCCTATCAAGCATTTCATTCGGCAGAAAAGTCATCATCAAAAATATATTACAATCTGAAAAATAAATAATCTTACAGAATATTTTTCTCATCTATGGTCCAGCCTTAGTGTCAGTCAATTGTACAAAGACAATAGTAGGTTTCTTGGAACAAAAACAAAACAGATCTACACATATGAAGGCACACGAGTGTTGTCATTGACAGTATAATGCATCTATAATAACCACGTCATTGTCATCAAATGCAGCAATCCCTTCAAATATAATATAAATTCCACAAAAAGTGACTTCATGCCTATTGTAAAAATAGAGTAACAAATATATTCTATAAATCTTCTAGTTCTGAGTTGAAATGAACTGCTGTAAATTACATTGAAATGCTTTCTATTCCTAGAAAAGACTTTGTAAAAGGCCTGCTCATTAGTGTTGTAGTGATCATTACAAGATGGTCACAGCGTGAGAATAGTGGGCGAGTGCAGCGACTGGTCTGACTGGTCACCACCACTGCTGCTGCTGCGGCGATGGGCGACCCCACAGGACTGAGCGGATGGAGTTTGGTGGATGTACCCATGATGCGATGTACCGTGAGCGGAGCTGGAGCCTGCACCAGTATCCAATGCACTCGAGGGATAAGTGAAAACCATGCCGTACGTGATGGGAGTGAGAGAAGGAGTGGATGTCAGCACTGGGGTGTGGAGAGACTCTGACTCAGAGGCCACTGTAGAGGCCATTGGTTTGGGAGGAATGGTTATCTTAGGTTTGGCCTTCTCTGTCTTGACTGCTAGCTTTGACAAGGGCCGAGGTGTTCTGAGGTCATCTGGCTCCACTTTGATGCTCTCCAAACTCGACAGTGATGGATGCGGCTCAGAGTCTGAATCTGATTCCCCTATTTTACAGATTGGACGGTGAGCTTCTAGAACTAGCTCAAGCTTATCTTTCTCTTTCTGTAAGTCAGCTATTTCCTTTTGTAAACGGGATTTTTCATCCTCAAGCTGATCCGTCTCCTATAATAACATACATACAAATAGTATCAGTACCAAAACACTTTAAATGTATTTGTGTTGGTCTTACATTTTGCAAGGAATCAGTCAGTTCTCTTCGGCGATTGCGACATTTTGCAGCAGCCAACTTGTTTCTTTCTCTTCTAATTCTTCGTCTCTCATTTTCTTCATGCGATAACTAAGAACACAAACACACACAATATTTGGTTTGCATTTCAGTACACTCCCAACACTCACAGCAGGGCAAAGCACAAATGGAATATGATGCCCATTACTACTACAACCATGCGTCATCAGTGATGGTGTTGATCAAATTCGTGCTTTTCAGTCTTCTTATGAACCAGACTTATTTAGCACAGTGGCTGATACAACATTTCCCGCCATTTTCTGATGAGTCACTCTGGACCCCTGCTGTGACTCAGGTATGAGTCATTGGCAATGACTCGCCCAAGTGAGTCACATGATATTGAACTTCCTGTGCCACATAATGATAATTTCAGAAACGTGCCAAGGTTTTTCTCAATGTGTCTGAGGAAATTATTGAGATGATGAAATTGATTTGATAGACACAGAAAGTTCTCTACTTGATTAGGTATGCGCCATAGGCATGAATAAATCCCTCAAACTGTAATTCTACATTAAAAAAACAAAAAACAAATGAAAACTTGTTAATATCACTTAGTTAGTATAAATAAAATTAATGTTAAATTAACCTAGAATAGTCCATACTTACGAATAGACTTACGTGTTCATCATTCCTACGCCTGGTGGATTGAGTGGTGATTGCTGCTGCTCTTATGACCCCTGGCCTGTGGGGGTCTTGGGACTGTGGGACAGGCCCCAGAGGCCGCACCCCAGGCAGGGATGGGTACGGAGGCACTGGAGAGCGTGAAGGACCAGCTGAATGCATCAAGGATGGCTGGACCATCCACTGTAGACTCTCGTTGGTTGTAATTGCATTCAAGCTGGGAACAAACTGACTGCTGCCAGCCATTGTGAATTTCTGTCAAATACATAGAAATATACCGTAAATTAATTTCAAATGATTGTAATTATAGATAACCCTCTAAGAGTTCGTTCTCAAATTTAATGTGAAACAGACACAAGGTGGGGCCCTGAAACTTAAGGAGGACTACTAGATGAGATGGAGGAAGCCAAGTTGCCGTATGGAAAGAGTCCTGTATTCCTGAGCTAATGTAGAAATTCCTCTAGTTGGTAGGTTAATCTAGCTTTGTATGATATAATTGAAAGTGTCCCATATATAGAGATCCCACATGACCTCATAGAGACCATAAGAGTTTCAAAAAATAAGTCTTATTCAATGAGTTAATTGAATTACATTTTAATATCTAGTCTAATCAACATTCACGGTTGTGACCTACCTGCTGCTGCTGTGGTGTCGATGTGCTCCCCAGTGATACAGAGCTGCCTCCACTGTAGGCTGGTTCTCCTCTCCCTTGGTTTCCAAAGTTTCGATACATCCTTACTGTTTAATGTAAATGGAAATTATATCCAGACGGAACGAGAAGTCAGCTGTAATAACTTTCAGGTCAAGTCTTGTGTGTCAATTCAAACTTTGGGCAAGCCCACCCTATTGCGGTAACACGGTAGAGTCTAAAAGTCCTCTCAAAGCGGGGGGACCAGAAAGAAACCAAGCACGTTCCTTTTCCCAAAATGTCTATCCACGTCCAAAAATGATAGTCATACCATCTTCTTGTCTTTAGTCATAGACCAAAACGCCGGCGTCTGGAAATGATTGTAAAGTTATAAACTCTTAAAGAGCTACGCCACTTTTACCACGCCCCTCCACTTTTTACGGGAAATAGTGCTGTCTGGAATCTCTCACGAACTCCACCACGTGGTGTGACGTCATTGACCATATTTGGGGAAAGCTTCCTCTTCAGAACAGCGAGAGGGATTCCTCAGTTTTACATGAAATGAATAGTAATGTAATAATACGGTATATATATCCAAACATACACAGGCTATTGGGACAGAGGCTGTAACTTAGATTTGACTTACTGATTCACATGGACATTTTTCTTTGGACACTATTAGACATAAATAAGTATAATATTAAACAACAAAAAATAACTATAGAAACATTATCGTATTGCCAATAATCAGTTTTGTCATCTTAAAGTGATGATAGAAGTGCTACTGGAAGTATGTTTTAGATTTTCTTTTGGTTTTGTTACCACATCAGAGTGCATACTTGTGGTAATGAGTCAGGTCCCTGCCATAAATTAGTTTGCCAGCACTTTCTAGTTTTTTTCTCCAGTAGTAAACCAACAAAAATGTCAATAATGAAGCCAAAATTGTGCTCCCCTTCGCAGCTGTCCCTTGGGACTGAGTTACTGGTATAGTAGCTGTTCTCTCTGGTGCTGCTTATTAATTATTAACCATGTAAACCAAGTTCTCAACTATTATCTGTCTTCATTTGAAAATTATAAAATGTAACATAGAGGTTTGTTCATCAATGTCAAGTACCTGAGCACACATGCTGATTTACAAAATAAAATGGTGACATAAGAAACTGAAACAGCCCGTGGGCCCTACCCAGCGTATCAGTCACTTCATTCTCTGCTATCACATTTCAGATTACTACAACACACCATGTAATAAGAACGGCACATGTGGGATGTTTTCTTTTGTGGTGTACTTGACTTTATCAAAAGAATAAATGTGGGATAAAGGTGAGCGTCATTTGACTAAAGCTCTAGGAATGCAGTGATGACACACTTCTATCAGGACAGTACGTTAATGTATGAGTCTGTGTCATAAAAAGGGTTTATACCTCTTTTCACTTGTCGTATTTGCTTTTATAGATCCAGTAACAGCCTAACCACTTAGTCCCTTTTGGGGTAATTTATGATTTATGTATACAATTCATATTTATTTTATATTTAGATGTATTCTGACTTTTTTATTTGTTTTATTTCATGGAATTGTACAATAATGAAGGAGATCAAGTGAAGACTCAATATATTCTAAATTATATCTCAATATCTGCTGATGAAGTTTAGAATTGTTTCATTCAATCGCCTGAAAGTTCTCAACTTTTCCCTTAATATTTTTAACTTTTCTTTTAATGATAGATGATGGCCTGTATTATTTTATATTTTTTCTGACCTTCTGTTTATTCCCTCAGGGGGGGAATGTCACTGCTTCCCCACACATCTCCACGCAGAACAGTAGGAATGAAAGAAACACTCAAACCAGACAAATTTGTCTGGTTTGAGTGTTTCTTTTTATTTCTAAAATTTATTTCTAAAATTTGCATTTTAGAAATAAAACTTAAATAGCTTTGGTATTTAGACTCAAATCGTTGTGCCTGAAGATCTTGGTTGAGTATTTATTATTAGTAGTTATGGGAATGCCTTAAATAAGTTAACTTAAAATAAAGAAAACAAGGAAAACCATGTTGTTGTTGTTTTTTTTAACTTCTAATTGGAAATGGAAATAAATGTTTAACATTTGTTAAAATGTTTGGTGGCCGTATTTGCCTTTCAGAAGTTACAACACAAGAGCCAAACAAAAAGTCAGTTTGCCACGCAGGCACAGTGTTGTCAGCCAATCATGTTGCAAAAATACGTTCTTTAACCAATCACTGCTGAGAGAAGGCGGGATCATCCTGCAGTAGCCAAGAAGCTATCAGAGCGTTAGCTGCGCAGGTAAGAGTCCGTCTGTATTTACAAAATAATAATAAAACCTGGGTGCTCATCATGTGTGTTTTATATTAAATTATCTACATCTATCTAGAGATGTCATAATATATGTCAGGGTTGATATAGAAACTTCTGCCTAGTGCCTAAAGTGGATAGCACTTCCCATGGTTCCAGGTTAGCGTTAACTAGTTTTGTCTGTTGTTTTAATTAATGGTAATATGAAAGCATCGTTGTTATGCCAAGTCATTATAAAAACATTTTTCCCTGTGGGCAAAAGCACGAGCTTTGTTTAATTTAAACCGTTTAGATGTTTGTAACATATTGATATGCTAACGTGTCACTTCACTTTCAGCTAACTCTGCATTCGTCAGAATGGACTTGCCACATCATGGATATAGATCGAGTAAGATCCTTTATTTCCTCAAATCTTTTTGATGTCTAAACTGCTCAATTTTATCTGGACATCTGTCCATCCTTATTTCATGTGCTTAGATCAATTGTTTGATCAAAAGCCAGTGATACCTTTCCCACAAAAACATACATACTTCTACATTTGTGTAGGGATACTATTGTATTCAATAATATTCTGTTTTTGCACTGGTTTTCTATAAAAAAAACAAAACCTGAGCACAGCTATCTCTAACGAACGTGGAACGTGTTATGTCATCATTATTACTTTCAACAAAGCACAGTTAAAGTATTTAAGTATTTTCAAAATTTTAAATGGTCATGCATCTAACCACCTCACAAAAATAAAACAGGCACCATAGTTATTCATTCAAGAGGAATTATGCGACACCCTATTTTATCTAAATCAGGGGTGTCAAACTCATTTTGGTCCAGGGGCCAAATACAACCTAATTGGATCTCAACTAGGCCTGACTCGAAAATTCTCTACAAAAATACCCAAAAACAGTACAAAGACCAACTTTTTGTACACATAAACACATTAATTCTAAACGTCCTTTAAAACACTGTCTAATACTCACTCAGTTTTAATTGTAAATCTGTTACTAACTTAATGCTTAATGTAACAGTGTGTTTTTCATAATGCAAATAAAGTATTTACAATAGGGTGTAGTAAATGGCATTTCACAAGATTTATGTTATGATTTGTGTTTTAGCTTTTAGTGCAGGTTTTATTAAGGCTCATTACAGAGAAAAGTTGCTCACAAAGGTGCAGTAGATAGATAGAAAAAAGCTCTTTAACACAGCACCTCAGCTTAACCATCTTCAGTGTTATAAGGAGCAGCAGCATCAGCAACAGCGCTGATAGTGTGCTCAGCTATTGTGGTATCCAACACAGGCACCAACACTAAAGCCTAGCGTACATCGACAGATAAACTGGGGACAACTAGTTGCAAGGCGGCTTTTGGCAACTGAGAGGAGATGGTGGGAGATGATCAGTTGCCGAAATCGGTCGATGTGCGCGCTCTTACAACTGGAGATGATCAGTCGATCTCCAGTTCCAGTCAGTTGCCCGTGTTCTACTTTTCGGCAACTAGTTGTCCTCAGTTGCCCCGATGTGCGCGCTCCATGCGCCGCTCCAACAACGTGTGTGTATTGCGTGTATTGCGAGCCCGCAACAGTTTATGTCAGAAAACACACTGTAGTTGAGGCCAGTTGCTGTCGATGTACGCGCTGTTATTCAAGAGACTGGCCTGCGACTCAGAGTTGCCCGTTTTCGCCAGATTGTCGATGTGTGCGGGGCAGCAACTCAGAGGCGACGGATATAATCAGTTGCCAGTCCGATGTACGCTAGGCTTAACATCTCCTCTGTGATAGTCAAAGTTTCAGTAACGCCATGAATGAATATGCGACATCAGTAATATCAGTCTCTTATCAACGGCAACAGAAAAAGCCACACGACCTCAGTGTGATGCTGGTAAAAGTGTGTTGTTTCTCAGGACACATGTCTGCAGCCTGTATTAGAGTTTGGACAAACCTCACTGTGCAGCTGCGATGCTAATGCTATGTTGTTAGCACTCATGTAGCTTCCCTTTACAGCAGCATCACTAACCTCTTGCTCTGGCCACAAACAGACTGCTGTTTCCTCAGGGCCAGACACGATTATCTTCTGTCTTCTCAATTCTCCGCTCAAAATACAGTCTTTTTTGCAGAGTCTTGTTCCTTCAGCACCGCCACTTGTTGCATGATACCAAGCATACCGGTGTTTCATTCACCTCCGCGAACAAATAAGAAAAACTCCACTTATTTTGAAAAACCCGACACTCAATCTCCTCAGAGACATTTTGCTGAGGGTGTCAGTCAGAGAGCACTCTCTGGTGGGAACCACTACAGAGGCACTCAACTCGCTGCTGAGCGCGTTGCGGAGCAGATGTTTTTTTAATTTTTTTTATAATGTTATATAAATGAACCGCGGGCCGTATCAAATCTCTTGGTAGGCCGCATAATTGACACCCCTGATCTAAATGTATGTTAAAACTTACTATTAAACTAATAACCTGGTAAGATTTCCAACATATTAATAGGCTGATATTTATTGAATGAAGAGGTTACATGTAATGGTTTCAAAATAGCTAATTGTGACGTTGTTCTTTCTAGCTAAACAGAGGACTCGTGGTGGTCCTCCGTCCGACTCTGTGTTGTTTGATGACACAAGCTCCACTGCCCCAATGAACAGTCAAGGCTACTATACACCTGGATATAGTGTGGGAGGTCCTTCAACAGACATGCAGGGTGGTCCCGACCCAAACAGCCTTTTCACTGACCCAATGGCAAATGTTGCAATGATGTACGGGTCATCTTTAGCCAATCAAGGAAAGGATATGGTAAACAAGGAGGTAATTAAATTGTGGTTATACAGACCTCTATAAACTCTTGTATTATACAGCTATTGTAATCCAACCAAGCAGGATGGGCTTTTGCTTTTAACAACATGGTGCTGCTTTCATTATCTATGTGCTGCCAATCTGTGACTAAATAATTGCACAGTTGCTAATTTAAATTATGTTGTTTTACTGGTTGATTTGACATACCTTGACATACTCAAGCTATTTGTCCTGATATTTTTTGTACTTTAGTAAGATGATATCTGAATCTCTGACTCACCATTTTGCCCCAGGCTTGCCATTGATAAACACTTCCTTTTTCTTTACAGATCAGTCGATTCATGTCTGTGAACAAGCTGAAATACTTCTTTGCTGTTGATACCAAATATGTAGTAAAGAAGCTTATGATCCTCATGTTTCCCTACACCCATCAGGTAAATTGTGAATTTAGATTTTCAACAACGGTTTTACATCATTGAATAATCGTTTAGGATAGCATGTCGCTCTCCTGTACACTGTAAACACCCAGTTATGTTTAAAGAATCTATACCCAATTTTTCTAATGAGTTCATAAAAATGTTATGAACAGGCTGCCTCCTACCCTCCTCTAGTGTCTGCACTGGGGTAAACACAGCAGCAATGCTAACATTTGCATATATATAAGATCGAAAATGAAACTAGATGGCTCTGTGGGAGGAGAGTGAAGGGGAGAGTAAGAGGGTTTCTCAAAATGAGAAGCCTGTGATCGAGTTGGGGAGCGGTGTTAAACATTCAAACAAACAAAAAACTTGCAGAAACTGTTATAGCTCCTTTTAAGATGCATTTTTATATTAGGGATTGGACCAGATATGACCTGCATAAACATAATTGCTGGTTTATATTTCTGTGTCTAGCTCCTCCTGTCACAATAGATGCACGGCTAACTTTAGCTGCCATGGGAATTCAAACTTTAATTAAAAAATATTATTAACAGAAGAAGGCTTGGCACTTTGTATCTTTTATAGGAGGAGCACAACCCAGAAATAAAAACTCTTCAAGCATATTTAAAGGGACAGTATTTTTCATTTTAATGTAACTTACAATACATTTGTTTTGTCCTCAGGTAATGGGTCACCATGTATGAATCATAATTAAACCTAATACAGAAGTACCAGAGTTAGTCTTAATTCAATTTAAAATGACCATGATGTCCATAATATTTATTGTTATGTTTTTCAAGCAGGTTATGTAATCAGAGAGCAGAATAAGGTTCTCTATTAGTTTACCAGTTTAAGTTAAATGTTGCTGTTTTTTAAAAATAAAATAATAATAACACAATGCATATTTGAATTAAAGCACATACTAAAATAATCTGTAATACGAAATAGTTTGTACAGTTTCTAGCTAAACTCCAACGAGTTGTTTGCATGAGTAATCCGTGTTTAGAGCTGTGTCAATGTCCCACTGGAAGTGGTTCTGGCAACAAAAGTTGGTTCGTAATGCTTTATTAGACCACTAATTGTACATAATCACAAGGCCTATACACAGTACTTATCTATTGCATATACAACATTTTCACATTAATGTAAACTACCTACTATCAAATGCATAAAACGCAAATGCACACATAAGGGATTCTTCAGCATAATAATTTTAAACCTGCTCAAGATACTTTCCTATTAACATGACTATGAAGTAAAAATATTGATGTCACTGTTAAGCTATTCCAGATAATTTTTAAGTATGAATATTGTGTTTTGTATTAGCATTGAACATAAACTGGGAGTTATGCACTGTGGTTGCATAAGAGGAAATATTTGATATTATGTCAAAATCCTATGTTGTTCCTAAGGCCTCTTAATCCGCTTGGGGCCATATCTCAGGGATATAAATGACTGACTTTTATGACTTCTGCATTCACCAGGATTGGGAGGTTCGGTACCACCGTGATACCCCTTTAACCCCGAGGCAGGATGTCAATGCACCAGATCTGTACATACCAAGTAATTACAACTAGAGCCAGAAGCTGTTCATTCATAGGACTTTTACTGATCCACTGATATATTGATACTTTTTCTTTTAGCAATGGCTTTCATCACATATATTTTACTCGCCGGAATGGCCTTGGGAATTCAAAAAAGGTTAAGTGTTGTGTTTTTATACTTTGTTAAATGGATAGAATGTAAATGTGTAAACCTTACTGACTTTGTTTCTATAGATTTAGTCCTGAGGTCCTGGGCTTGTGTGCCAGCACTGCCCTCGTGTGGATCATCATTGAGGTGTTGGTGATGCTGTTGAGCTTGTACCTACTCACCGTCCACAGTGATCTGTCAACATTTGATCTAGTGGCGTACAGTGGATACAAATATGTTGGGTAAGTATACTAGTCAAAGAATTATATTTTAATTTGGATGAAAAGTGTCACATTGTATTATTTGCACCACTTTCACAAAACAATTTGTCAATGTTTTTTTCTGTCACTTTGTGCAGAATGATCTTCACGGTGCTGTGTGGGTTAATCTTTGGAAGTGATGGTTATTATGTGGCCCTGGCCTGGTCCTCTTGTGCCCTAATGTTCTTTATAGTAAGTAATTATATTTCCTTTGTTTGTTTGTTTGTTTTAGAGAGCATAAGCACCTAGAGATGAAGGATCTTCAAAATTGCACCAAAATGAGACGGCTGTTATATTCTAAAGTAAAATTTAACAGAATTCATAGAGAGCAAGACACACGCGCACGCAAACACACTCTTTTATTGATATATTTTGTATAATAATTTACTGGGATTTAGGATAGTAGTACGATTATTAATTGTGATAGATGACATCATAGGAGCTGATAGACAGATGGATAGATAAAGGGTTCATTGCTCAATCACTGACAGATGAGAGCAGATTGATATCTGTTGTAGGGTGTTTCATTCAGATGCCCATAATACATGTCTTATAGGGGGAGATGTTTTACTTTGTCAACTTTAACAGTTTTTTCAAACCACAAAAATTTTTTGGTGTTATCACAAAATTTCACAACTGTATTTTTTAGCCTCTGTCACACTTTAGATCAACTATTTCAGGCAGAAAAATGAAAAAAGAGGACCACCCTCACTCAACAGTTAAATAGAAACTTTTCTAACATATAAGATAATATAAGATATTCCTTTAGTTGTCTCACAGTTGAGAAATGTCAGTGTCATCGTTGCGCACAATATATTTACAATTAGATGAGTGGATAGCACTCTCGCCTCTCAGCAAGAAGGTCCTGGGTTCGAATCCCGGTCGGACCAGGGCCTTTCTGAGTGGAGTTTGCATGTTCTCCCCGTGTCTGCGTAGGTTTCCTCCGGGTGCTCCGGTTTCCCCTACCACTAAAAATATGTACAATAGTTCTGGCATGCGCCACCTGTACTGGCGACCCCGCTCCCATCTCTGTGTGGAGTGAGAGACAAATGCCCAAAATAAACAATTGTAAACCGCTTTGAGACTCAGATCTGCAGTGAAAAGGCGGTATATAAATACAAATTACTTACTTACTACTACTACTACTATCCATCCATCCATCCATTTTCTTCCCTTTAATCCATTTCTGGGTCAGGGGGGTGGCAGTCAGAGATGCCACCCAAGTCTCATAGCACCAGCCGTTATAGACTACTACTACTACTAGAATAGAATAAAATAAACTCTGGAGCTATTATTGCACGTGGTTCAAAAGTATTTACAGATGTATATATTTTACATTAGCAGCGGAGAATATGAGCAGAAAAAACATCAATAATAATATCAACAGGTAAAGTGACTAGTGAAAGGAAGAAGTATCAGATGGATATGTAATATTGCAGTAATGATAGTAACAGGTAAAGTGACTTGTGAAAGGCAGAAGTATCGGATGGATGGATAATGCAGTAATTATTATAAAGTGAGTAGTGACTAAGATATGCAAAAGATAACATGTTTGTGAACAAGAGAAAGGCACCATGATGTGGGATGATTGTTCACAACATTTTACTTTTTAAGAGTTGTCTGATGGACAAACAGAAATATGAATTATTTGCCATCTTTCTAACCATGGTATAATTGTCATTGTCATATATTTATCCACTCTATGCTGTATTGATTCATGGATCTGCTTTCAATACCATTGGTCTGTCCACGTTTATATTTCCACCGGTTTTGCTCATTTTCTTGCAGTATCCGAGCTCAATTATGATGATGAAATGAAAATACTTTCACATTTATAAAGTTACAATCAACTGGTATCCATAGTTACTACACCGCAGACAAAGGCTGTTTTCTTTAAGGGAGGGAGCCCGCACGGGTTCAACATAATAACACATGTTTGATCTAAACATGTAACATTTTCTTTTATAGGTTCGATCTTTGAAGATGAAAATTGTTCCTTCGACGGACTCTATGGGGATGGGAGGCGGTAAACATCAACTTCGACTTTATATTACTGTTGCCACTGCGGTTTTTCAGCCCATAATCATTTACTGGTTAACCTTCCACTTGGTCAGGTGACTGTAAAACTCCCAAAATCTTCAGTGCAAGTTGTATTTGTACAATCACTATGTTGAAGTGGGTGATATTTTAATAGTTTCGCCATTTACCATTCTTATTTTATTATGTATTATAGTATGACTGCCAAATACAGTTGGGAAGTGGAAAGTATTGTTCTACGTGTTTTCCCATTCTTATTTACTTTACCAAATATTTGAAATTGTTTATTTTCTAACCCCCTTTCATTTCATAATGTTTTTCTGCATAGTGATTTTTGTAACAAGAAAATAAACTTGTAACAATTATATTATGCACATTTTTTCATTTATTGCGTTTAAAAAGTGACTGAAATGTGTTTTGTCGGGTATTTCATTCTTTATATTAAATGTAATGTTTAAGTGACATCAATGCATGAAGATTATTAAACTTGTGTACATGTAGAATATAAAAGCATTTTTATAAACTTGTTTCAACTCGGGTCCGTTGTATTTATTATTTTCTATTATCATTTTTTTTATATATTTTGATGTGGCGAAGTCCTGTCGGGAGCGTGCTCTCGTGAACGCGCGTCTGCCAGCGTCTCTCGCGTTTCCATAGAGACTGCAGAAGGCAACAAACCCCGGGCTGCGCGAGGAGCAGACGCTGCACTCGTTTGGGTCATAACATAAGCTTCTGCAAAAGTGAAAAGTTGTATAAAACTGCGCGACTACAGCCTGCTACGTCTGCTCGTCACACTTGCCAACTGGTAAGTGCACACGAGCTGTACTTTGTGTGAGCGATCGATCATCTTACCTGTGGCGGCCCCAATGAAACTTTATATTTTACCGCCATTAGCTCTCTGTTTCCTAAAAGCCATGCGGTGTATTCACTTGAGGGAACGCTATCTGTGGTCACCTTTCTGAGGTGTTTTCTACGTTCGGCCGCTCTACTTACATGAGCATTCACCACTGGTATAACTGGACTTTGGACGTAGATGGATGTCATTTTTTAGCAAAGGGCTTGGCTAACATTTAACTTTCTGAAATACGTGGTAGTTTATGTTAAAATTGTGTTAACTAGGGACATAGGATTGTGCATGTAACACTGCAGCTTATACAGTTATCCTAAAATGTATACATCCAAGTAGCAATTTTGATTTGTTTGTTTTTGGGAGACATATTTTGGAGAGTATGAATGATAACCATTGCTCTATAACCCAACACTTGTTTTCAGTTATTCATTAATAGTGGTTTTGTTAAGCCATATACTATGTATTAAACATCCATTTTCGACAGAATCCACTCAAATTGTCCAGGTTAGAAGTTGACATCCCTCGCTCTTTTTAATGACAGCTTGGAGTCTTTTGTGGTAGTTGTAGATATGGTTTTTTTATTATATAGCTGTCCATTCTATGCAAAACAAACCCTGTTAATTTAACAAATTCTGTCACACATCCACTAATCTCCAAAATATGGCCATAACTACACACTTTTAAGCACAAATTATTACTACGTTGCCCTTGTTTTGCAGGTGTCCTCATTGGTCAGCTTGGAACAATCCTATCTGCGATGATGGAGCCCAGTGCATATTCCCTGCTGTCGCTTTCTCCAAATCCCACGTCTCAAACGGAGCCTTTCTCCTCCTCACCGCACCACACCTGCCCCAGCAGCCGACTGTTGCTGCCTCTATCCCCCATCTCTTTCCCTCCATCTCCAAACTCACTTTCTCCAGCTGCTGCAGAGTCTGTGCACTCATCCTCCCTCCTTTCTTACTGCGCTGCTCAGGCCATTGAAGAACAGTGTGCACAGAACATGAGTCCAGCTTCAGACCAAGATGACCTGACCTGTCTTAGTTGGCTGCATCAACGGTGCAACCTGTTACCCTATCAGCCTCTGCACAAAGTTCCTCTACTCCCCCTAAATGAGTCGACTGGATCTGCACCCTCGGCCTCGTCCAAGCCTCCTTATTCGTTCAGCAGTCTTATATTTATGGCCATAGAGGACTCACCTGGCAAAAAGCTACCCGTAAAGGACATTTATGAATGGATTGTGAAGAACTTCCCTTACTACAAAACTGCCACTGGCGGATGGAGAAACTCTGTTCGCCATAATCTGTCTCTTAGTAAAAGTTTTTGCCGCATCCAGAGAGACAAGAGTCAAGTGAGTATTTAATTTTTCCATATAATCTTGTGAACGTTTAGTTTAATTTTGCAGGTATTATTCTGCTATATTTGTATTTCAGTCCGTGGGAAAAGGTTCTCTGTGGTGTGTTTGCCCTGAGTATCGACCAGGACTTCTTGAGGTGTTAAGAAAGACTCATAGTTATCACAGCACTAACAGTAACTTGCTGAATAAGCCTGAGTTGTGAGTATGACCCCTGACACTACAAAATCGAGAACTAACTGTAATTTTGTGAGTTCTCGGACTGTTTTAGGCATTAATGTACAATTTTTCCCTTAGGTTTGAAGAGGGTGACTATAGTTGTCTCTCTATTTGTGACACTGTGGAAATATCCGGTAAGTTAAAGAATGGACAATGTATATTTTGCATACATTAGTAACAGCCTTTCTTGACATTTCCCCCTCTTTTCTCTATTCTCACCATCCGACATTGTTAATGCCTTTGTGTTCTGTTGTTATGGCAACAACCTTTTTATTACCTAGACACCCCGGCAAAAGCTTGGCGAGTTGTCTTTGTCCTCTATATATTCTGACAGCAGTCTGACAGAATGATGTGTACTTTTAGTATCATTGTTTTAAGGACTGTTCTTTTTCATATTTTCAGATTCTCTTTCAAATAGTATTCTTCTATCCAACTCTCAAAGCTTGAGCACAGACATTTCAAGCTTTTCTGAAAGTCACACTTGCCATTTAAGCCCAAGTCACGAGGAGCTGGTCACCATGGAGTCTGTAGATTATCAACAGGAGGAGGTGTGTGAAGAGAAGGACCCACTGTCCGATTGCGGTTACATTGAGTTACACTACTACCACACTCAGGAGTACCTGGTGCTGCCCGGCGACCATGAGCTCGACCTGGAGACTGTGGAGATCTTACAGCTAGATGCCGAGGCCCAAGAGGCCGCCGGCTCTTTATTGGATCTGGCCGGAGGAGGCTATTAGAATATCTTTGAGTGTAAACAGTTTGGTCAAATCCACCTTCCCTAAGGCTGAAGTATTGTAAGATGATGGTGTGAGATATTACTATTATTGAAATTTAGTGCATCCATGATCAAAATGCCATTATGAGTTGGCAAAGAAACGGTATTTAGGCACTTTAAGTGCTGTTTTTATAACACTTTTAATGTAAGTTTATTTTTTACTTTGAACTACACAAATAATTAATACAAGTTTCAATTGGTTCATTTTAATTACTGAAAGTGTAATTGCATGTATGGGATGTATGTGTTGTTCTCAGGGTTAATTATTAATGCTCTTATATTTTTATATCAAGTTTTTGAATACCTAAGCAGTTTCTAAAACCGTGAAGAACTTATTTGTCTGTAAAGGAAAATGTATTATAATTTAAACTTACCATACAGTTCTGTTACTTTTTGACATTGATCTAAACATTACTTGTTAGAGCTTTATCTTTTAGATTAGAATTATGTTTGGTTTCAGGGGAGACTTCAATTTCTGTTTTAGAGATGGTGACGTTGCTGAATTCACTGCCATTTTTGTTTTGTTTCTCAAGTGCATTGTTTGCAAATAAAATATATTTTTAATCTAACTATGGTGTCTGTTGCTATATGTATTAATACTCTACACAGTGTGTCTCAACAATGGGAGCAAATGTACATAATTTGGATACATGCAAAATCTGATCTGCTTGTCCACGTCATGTGACAAATTTAAACTACACATCCATGTGGTATGACTCTAACTCCCATGGTGCACCGTGCTCCCTCTCAGGCAAAAATACGGAAATAGTTTATTGGTGGAAAAAACTTCTCATCGCTTTTTCATGCCAAACACACAGTAAACGTGTGAGTCGTTTCTCGACTTTGCTGAGTCACCGGCGACACAAGGTAAACACTTTAGCGTTATTGGTTTGTTTTTGTAATCCTACAGTCATCATTTTCACATTTACTGCACAAGATCTGCAACAGATTGTTTTTATGCTTGTTCGTTGTCACTTCACACGAACTATGTGAATTTACATCGATATGAACTGCTGTGGTTTAATCGATCTTTATTCAAAAGAGAATCATTCACTTGTTAACCCTTAATTTTGTCTTTAAGTTTGAGTTAACGTTCTTGTCTCCAGTATCTGGTCAAAGCTGTAGTTTTGGATTTGTGTTTCAGGTGCGGTGAAATATTTTACATATTTTTCTAGCTAAATGCCACGCCTTTGGGTGTTGATCTTGTTTCAAAAGAAAGACTAGATGGATTCAACTATCATTAAAAGTTATGATGACGCCTCCCTTTGTTGAATAAAGATGATCGGATAGATTTTAAGAGCCAGAAGCAGAGCAGCATGATCTGCAAAAGAGTGTAGCACACAAGTCTGTTTGTTTTAGCACATGACTTCTTAATCGGCCTACTTACTCCCTTAAGAAGCTGACGCGTTTTACATTTGTTGTATACTGCAATGGTGTTTTTGTTTCTTGTTTTGTTAAATTGAACTGTTTTTTTTTTTGTAGGTAACCATTGAGGCAATATGGCAAGCGGCAGACCAGTGCAGATTGTAAACGTGTGCAAGGAGGATCACTCCTTCACTTTAGATGTTGACGCTTTGGCACAGGTTTTGTTGGCCCCTGAAGTCCGAGACAAACATGTGGTGGTGGTGTCTGTGGCTGGAGCGTTCCGAAAGGGAAAGAGCTTCCTACTTGACTTCATGCTTCGTTACATGCACAGAAAGGTAAGTCGTACTGTCATTGTAACCATCATGGTCTACTACTACTACTGTGAGTGTCTGTCTGTTTCATAGTTTGGAACAAATAACATTTACAAAAAAAAATTAAGCATGCATATCCATAAATCTGAAGGTGCTGAAAGACACATTTGTGTCTCTTTTTGGCTTTGCAACAGTCCAAATGCTGGTGGGAAGTGGTTGACTGACTATTCTCCAGATCTCTGACCATTTTTGAGGCTGTGTCTGTAGGATTAATTTGATTGTTTGAATTTGATTTAAATAATCATTTAGTTGTAATATTGTACAAAGGGTACAAGATTATTGTTTTGGTTCTTTTGAAAGATAAGTTAGATCCATTACCTTGTTAACATGTTTAGGCTGTGAGCCATCTTCAGAATGGCCTCCCGGCTTGGTGACGTATCATTTATCAGCTATTGTTAGTTCCTAGGTGTGGTCAGTCTGATTGATTCGACAGGTTGCTCAGTGAGTGTCCCATCTGTTGGTTGATATCGTTATTTCCCTGTCTTCTGATTTCAATCGCCTTCTTGATCCAGATATTGCAAGGCAAGGCAAGTTTATTTATATAGCACAATTCATACACAAGGCAATTCAAAGTGCTGAACAAAACAAGAAAGCATTAAAATCATAAATTATCACAGAACATTAAAAAGAAAGATAAAAATATAAAATCCCTCAGTTGTATGCACAGTTAAACAGAACTGTCTTTAACCTGGTTTTAAACATTGTCAGAGAGGAGGCCTGTCTCACATCTTCAGGAAGACTGTTCCAGATTTTAGCAGCATGAATCTGAAAAGCAGCCTCCCCATGTTTAGTTCTGACTCTGGGCACTAACAGGAGTCCAGTCCCTGTGCTCCTCAGAGTCCGGGCTGGTTCATATGGGACTAACATGTCACTAATATATTTTGGTGTGAGGCTATGGAGAGACTTGTACACAAGCAGAGCTGTTTTAAAGTCTATTCTCTGAGCCACAGGAAGCCAGTGCAGAGACCTGAGGACCGGACTAATGTGGTCGTACTTCCTGGTTCTAGTCAGGACTCGAGCTGCTGCATTTTGAATGTACTGCAGCTGTTTTACAGCCTGTTTGGACAGACCTGTGAGCAGGCCATTGCAGTAGTCTAACCTACTGGAGACAAATGCATGGATAAGAATCTCCAAGTCTGCTTTAGACACTATGTTTTTGATCCTGGCAATGTTTTTTAGATGGTAAAAAGCTGCTGATGTTACTGATTTGATGTGGCTATTAAAATTTAAGTCTGAGTCCAGTATTACCCCTAGATATCTGACCTTGTTTGAAGGTTTTAGGGAGAGAGACTGTAGGTGACAGATGACGCTCTCTCTTTGTTTCTGGGGACCAAAGACAATCATTTCAGTTTTTTTCTGCGTTTAGCTGAAGGAAGTTGTTTTGCATCCACTCACTGATCTGTTGGATACAGTGAAGGAGTGAGTCCACTGGTCCATGTTCTCCTGCAGTCAGTGAGACATAGATCTGAGTGTCGTCTGCATAGTTATGATAGGAAACTTCGTTTCTGCGTATTAACTGACCTAACGGCAGCATGTAGAGATTGAACAGAAGAGGTCCCAGGATCGACCCCTGTGGGACTCCACAGGTCAGGGCCATATGATCTGAGACACAGTTTTCCAATCTCCACAAAGACTTCCTGTCTTCAAGGTAAGACCCAAACCAACTTAGGGCGGTGCCAGTGACGCCAACCCAGTCCTCTAGTCTCTGTAAGAGGATCTCATGGTCGACGGTGTCAAAGGCAGCACTTAGATCTAACAAGATTAAGATTGAGACTTTTCCTGCGTCAGTGTTCAGCCGGATATCGTTTGTAACCTTAACGAGAGCAGTCTCAGTGCTGTGGTGGGGTCTAAAGCCGGACTGAAACATATCAAATGAGTTGTTGATTATAAGAAATCTAGTAAGCTGTAGGTAGACAACTTTCTCAAGGACTTTCCCCATAAATGGCAGATTTGAGATGGGACGATAGTTGTTAAGTACCGTAGCATCGAGACTGCTCTTTTTTAGCAGGGGCCTGATGACTGCAGTTTTCAGGGCCTTTGGGAATATTCCAGAATGAAGGGACATGTTTACTATCTGTGTGAGTGAAGGTAACAGACTGCTCAGAACAGACTTCAGAAATCTAGTGGGTAGTACATCCAAGCTGCATGTGGAGGAGCTCAAACTGGAGATTATCTCTTGGACAGTTTTATCATTTACAGGTGCAAAGTGAGTTAGCTCAAAGAGCCTTTCTGGCTGTTGGATGGTTATCTGTGGATTGGAGACAATGGCGTTTTTGATGCCTTGAACCTTGTCATTGAAAAAATTAGCAAACTCATTGCATTTACGTTTGGAAGTAAGCTCTAATGGCATTTGAACAGGGGGGTTTGTTAATCTATTAACTGTTGAGAACAGAACACGCAGATTGTTGCTGCAGCCTTCAATCATTTCAGAAAAATACCTTTCTCTCGTACTACGTAGCACCCGGTTAAACTCGCACAACTTATCTTTGAAGATCTCGTAATCAACCTGGAAGTTGGACTTGCGCCACTTCCGCTCGGCCCTCCGGCACTTTCTCTTTTGTGCCCTGACCGAGTCTGCTTTAGCCCACGGCGCCTTCTGCTTATTTTTCACTATTTTAACCTTCACAGGGGCAACGGTATCCAGAACATTCAAAACACTAGAGGTGACAGAGTTAAACAGTTCATCTACAGTAGAATACGATGCATTCTCAAAGTTTATCATTCCCATAAATAGTTCACTCGTATTTTCATTTATGCGCCTTCTTCGAACAGTTGCAGAGTCCACTGGTGGTTTGTTAGTGAAACACATGTCAAAAAAAACACAGAAATGATCCGAAAGAGCAACATCGACCACGTTTACATTTGAAATATTCACCCCCTTTGTAACTAACAGATCTAGAGTGTGCCCTCTGCTGTGGGTGGGGCCACTTACGTGCTGAGTGAGATCAAAGGATTCAAGTACAGAACTCGGCTCATTTGCATTTCTGTCATCAACATTATCCACATGAATATTAAAATCACCTGTAATAACCAAACTATCAAAATCTGTGCATACAACTGAAAGCAACTCGGTAAAATTATCAATAAAACTGTGACATGACTGCGGTGGCTTGTATAGGACAATGAAGAGTATTGGAGGAGATTGTTTTTGTTGTATTTTAAAAGACACATATTCAAATGACGAAAACTTCCCAAGAGACATTCTATGGGAGACAAAGTGGTCTCTAAAAATGGCAGCTAAGCCTCCTCCTTTTTTGTTTTCCCGTATTTCAGATTCAAACTTGAAATTTGGTGGTGATGCTTCTAAACTGCATTTTCTGTATTTTGGTCACGCCAAGTTTCAGCCATGAACATAAGATCAAGATTATGAGAACAAATAAAATTATTGATTAAAAAAGACTTGTTACAAAGAGATCTGACATTAAGCGTAGCAAGTTTCAAAGTTTCAGTATCAGCGGTTGCGGTCGGCTGATTCTTACACGGAACAAGAATTAGATTTTCCAGATTAGACTGATTAACTCCAGATGTTTTTCTGTAATGTATTCTTTGTGTTATCACTAAGGGAATGGCACAGGTGGCTTCATGACAGGGCCCCAGCCGGGTCTCTCCTCTAACTAGACTGCCAGTGGCTGCGAAGCAGAGACCCTGTGCATCCTAGTGTTTAGAGAAAAGAGGGGAAGGGGAAGGCAGGGGAGGAGGATGGAGAGGTGGGTGGCTTTTGGGTGTTGAACGAGGGGGGCAGGGAGGTGGAGGGGTTTTAGGTGATGGGTTAGGGCCGGGGTGGGCTGAGGCAGAGGTTTTGGATGTTGAACGAGGGGGAAGTGGGGGTGGAATGGTCATGAGGTTAGGGGAGGGACTGGCTGAGGTGGTTTTTGTAGGTGAATTGGAAACCCTAGGTGGTTTTGGAGGTACATATGGGGAGTGGTTTAGCATGTTGGACAGGACTCTAGATCGAGCTAATATGGGTGTGAGAGGAATAGTCTTCATGGCCGATTTTATTAGCCCTGCAGAGTGTTCAGGTAGGTCTAACAGTGAAGGCGGGGATGAAAAACAAAGGGAGGTGTCCCCATTCTCTCTTGATAGAGTGGACGTGGCAGGGGGGACCCAAGACAGGTCCATGGAAGGTGGCGAGGGAGTCTTTGATGGAGGGGCAGGTGGTTGAGGAAACCCCAGCACAGGCCTGTCTGCTGTAGGCTGGGGTGAGGATGGGGGCTTCAGAGGCGCTGTAGATGAAGAAGGCGTGGCTGCTTTGGAGCAGGCTGGGGATGAGGATGTTGGTGGTGGTGGTCGTGCAGCTGGTGCTGCTACTGGTGATGATGCAGCTGCTGCTGGTGATGATGCAGCTGCATCTGATGACAGTGGAGGTGTTGAGATCCTTTGAGGCGGTGATGGTGTTGAGATCCTTCGAGGTGGTGGTGGTGTTGAGATCCTGCGAGGTGGTGGTGGTGTTGAGATCCTTCGAGGTGGTGGAGGTGCAGAGACTTTTGGTGTTGGCTTCCTCCCTTTCGATGGCTGCACGCGCTGCGCAGGCTGAGGTCTTAGGGCAAAAGAAAGGTTATCCATCAACACTTTTACTCCGTAAGTGTTCAGATGTGGCCCTTTCCCTTCAAAAAGCTCATGCCTATTCCAGAACAGATAAAAATTCTCAATGAAGGCAAGTCCTCTGCGTGAACATTCGTTGAGTAGGAAAGTATTTAGCTGATACAGACGACTGAATTTCACTTGCTTCCCGTCCACATTTGGTAGTGGGCCACTGATAACGATTGTTGTGTCCATTTTAGCAAGGTCGTCCAATAAGAGAGAGTAATCCCGTTTCAACTTTTCACTTGTGTTGTCATAGACGTCTACTGCCCCCACATGGATCAACAATCTTTTTACCGGTCTCAGACAGAAGCCTCGGAGCCAACCGCCTTATCTCATCCACTTTGGCAGAGTGTACTGAGTGAACCTTGAGATTACGCATGTTTACATGTCTTATCGCCGAATCCCCGATAAAGAGCGACTCAGCTGCATTTGACCTTGACTGAGACTGAGACTGGGACTGAGAGACTACTGCTGATTCATCTTCCAAAAGTGGTGAAAAGCGGTTTCTTGTAATTAAAGATTTTTGCTGTGGCATTATGACACTCTTGTTATCATTAGCTTTGCCTTGTTTGGGCTTGGCACCATATGTGTTCCAACAATTGTCTCTGTTGATTTTGGGAAATCATCATAACTTACGTGCTGTCCATTTGGTCCATTTCCTTTCACTGGTATTGTTGTGTTCAGCCCCAATTCTGATTCAAGCACAAACATTCGGTCTTGAAGAAGTTTTAGCTCCTGTTTGAGTGAAAAACAGCCGTCGCAAAGTTTTGTTCTTTTTTCCCGTCCTCCCGACATGCTGTAAGTTAGGTAAATTCCACAAGTCTTGTGTTGAAGTTTGTAAAAAGGAGTAATCCGTGTTTTGTGGAATAAAAATGTAAGCAAAAATGATTAAAGGAGATAAAAAAAGCAGCAAGCGAGGAGCAGCAAGAGAATGCGACTGCTCTGTCCAGAGCAGGAAGTGTATATGCCCTTATGTATATATGTTCTTTGGATATGATCATGAGGACCCCCCCACAAAAACGAGATGATACATCTCATGGGGTTTATCCTCCAATAAAATGTCCATAAATAAATAAATAAATACATTTGCAGCTGAAACATGTTAACAAAATTATACAGCTAACTTGCCTTTCTAATAAACCAAAAAAACATGACTTTTCAGGATTGTCCTTGGGCAGAAAGCTTATTGGTACTATTGTAATTAATTAATTTCAACAAATAACAAATACATGTGTTTCAGGGCGATGAGAACTGGCTGGGTACAGATGATGAGCCGCTCCTTGGTTTTTCATGGAGAGGAGGCTCTGAGCCAGAGACTACGGGCATCCAGCTCTGGAGTGAGGTTTTTCTTGTCCCAAAAAGTGATGGCACAGAGGTAAAAATGTTGCTGTTAAACATTTGTCCTTATTTTTTTTTATGCTGTTTCCACAACGCACCTGAACTGCACTAAACGTGATGAAATTCAAACGTCATGTTGCACCACAAATTATTATTTCCTTAAACTATGCATTTTGAGATTTAATGATGGGAATTAAGATTAATCCAATTGCTGCAGAAACTCCACATGTGCTTTGTGGATTTGGAGAAGGCGTTCGACCGTGTTCCCCAGGGTGTCCTTTGGGGGGTTCTCCGGGAGTACCGGGTCCAGGGTCCTCTGCTGAGGGCCGTCCGGTCCCTGTATGACCGGTGCCAGAGCTGTGTTCACATCGCCGGCAGTAAGTCAGACCTGTTCCCGGTGCATGTTGGCCTCCGACAGGGCTGCTCTTTGTCACCGGTTCTGTTCACTGTCTTTATGGGTAGAATTTCTCGGCGCAGCTAGGGGCCGGAGGGGGTCCGGTTCGGAGACCACAGGATTTCATACCTGCTGTTTGCAGACGATGCTGTCCTAATGGCTCCAACGAACCAGGACCTGCAACATGCACTGGGACGGTTTGCAGCCGAGTGTGAAGCGGCTGGGATGAGAATCAGCACCTCCAAATCTGAGGCCATGGTACTCTACCGGAAGAGGGTGCCATGCCTCTCCAGGTGGGTGGAGAGGTCCTTCCTTAAGTGGAGGAGTTCAAGTATCTCGGGGTCTTGTTCACGAGTGAGGGAAGGATGGAGCATGAGATTGACAGGCGGATCCGTGCAGCGTGCGGTACCGGACCTTCGTGGTGAAGAGGGAGCCGAAAGGCAAAGCTCTCGATTTACCGGTCAATCTTCGTTCCCTCCCTCACCTTTGGTCATGAGCTTTGGGTAATGACCGAAAGAACGAGATCGCGGTCACAATGAACTTCCTCCTCAGAGTGGCTGGGCGCTTCCTTAGAGATAGGGTGAGGAACTCAGTCACACGGGTAGAGAGGCAGGCTGCTGTTGAGGTGACTCGGGCATCTGTTCCGGATGCCTCCTGGATGCCTCCCCCGGGGAAGACCCAGGACACGCTCTAGGGACTATGTCTCTCAGCTGGCCTGGAAACGCTTTCGGGTCCCCCCAGACTAGCTGGAGGAAGTGTGTGTGGCTAGGGAAGTCTGGGTGTCTCATGAAGCGGAAGAAAATAAATGGTTGGATGTTGTAAAGTGCCTGTGTGTACTCTTAAAGGTGGGAGATGTATTTATCCCCACAAAGAGAAACTATATAGAAAATGTTGAACAGATAATGAACAAATCAGGCCACAAACACATCACATGTCAGAATGTATGTTTTTAGTTCAATTTTCTGTCCAAAGAATATGATCAATGAGTTTTACAACATGGACGTCTAGTGTTCAAAGCTCTCAGCTGTTTGAGCACGAGCAATACATATGGCTTATACATACATAGGATAGCTATATGGTAATTATTATGGTATAGATAGAAGATATACTAATCTAGATACAGGGGACTTCAATATCTCTAGCTTCAAATACAAGATGCAAGTGTACATGTGTATGCACAGGAGAATATCCAAGAACCAATGTGTAATTCTATTCCACGTTATTTGGTTTAAAAACAAGGTAATTAAACGTATAAATTACGGATGAGCTGTAGGAAGTGTGTCTCTGCCTAGACTGCTGACCCGGCAACGGATGAAGTGGAAGAAAAAGGAATACAATGGAAAATATAAATGTAAAATAACAATGTAATGTAAAAGTACCTAAATATGTGATGCATTTTTAGTCTCCTTGTTTTATGCCGCGTTTTTAATTACTTGTATTTGTTCCTTAAATGATTTGTCTGTAATCAATCATCAATCATTACATCACATTTATAAATCACAACTGTTTCTCTCTGCAGTTGGCCGTTGTGCTAATGGACACGCAGGGTGCGTTTGATTATCAGTCGACTGTGAAGGACTGTGCCACCATCTTTGCACTCAGCACTATGACCAGCTCTGTGCAGGTGACTAAACCTGCTCTTATAAAAACTATCCTGCAGTATGCGCTGCAGTGACTGATGACATTTTGTTGTAGATTTACAACATATCTCAGAACATACAAGAGGATGACCTTCAACAGTTACAGGTCTGTTCATAGCTTTCACACCTTCCTTCAGTAATACATTATTATATTATAATATTATGTACATAATGTTGGGTGCAATGCCCCTTATTGTTTCTAAGTTTAAATTGGCTGTCCTGACATTTCTAATTTACGGTTACCGTTCCTGCCCAAGTTTTTACCTCAAAGTTTTCCAGACCGGAAGGAAAAACAAACTATGTTTTACTAAAATTTGGGGTCTGGAGAATACACGTTAACACTTTATACTGCTAAAATGTGTTTTGTCCTCAGCTTTTCACAGAGTACGGTCGTCTTGCTATGGATGAAATCTTTTTGAAGCCCTTTCAGGTGACAACAATTTTCTGATAGACTGACCTATGATCTGTGTGTTCAAACAAGTGTTTTTGTCTGTATAGTCTTTGATGTTTCTGGTCCGGGATTGGAGTTTTCCATACGAGTACAATTATGGCCTCAAAGGAGGCAGTGACTTTCTGGACAAAAGATTACAGGTACTGACCATTGTCTTTGATACATGTATCGTCTGTGGGGCTCCCTGCATCCACTTAATTTAAATGTGTGCAAATGTTTAAGGTGAAAGACGCCCAACATGAGGAGCTGCAGACCGTGAGGGAGCACATATACTCCTGCTTTACCAACATCTCATGCTTTTTGTTGCCTCATCCTGGACTGAAGGTTGCCACGAATCCATCATTCCAAGGACAACTCAGTGGTACTAATACTACTGCTGCTACTTCTACTACTATGAATATTTGAATAAACTGCAGTATTATATTTATTTTTTCAAACGCACATTGTCTTTTGAAGAGGTGGCCACAGAGTTCCGAACACAGCTGAAGGATCTTATTCCCACTCTCCTGCATCCTGATAATCTGGCTGAAAAGGAAATCAATGGGAACAAAGTCACCTGCATGGGTTTGGTGGAGTTTTTTAAGGTAATGCTTTATTCCCTTTCACAAATATTTGTTTGTTTAATGTTAATCTTTTTTTCTTCTTTATTCAGGCGTACATCAAGATTTACCAGGGAGAGGACCTGCCACAACCAAAGACTATGCTCATGGTACTTTGTTCAAACTTAGTTTATTCAAATGAATGTTTTGAATTGTTTATGCATCTGGACATTTCAGGCTACTGCAGAAGCGAACAACCTGGCAGCTGTCGCAGCTTCAAAAGAGCAGTATTATAAAAACATGGAGAAGGTAGGTCTTTTTTTATCGGGCATTATTTGTTTTTTAAATAACTTCAGAATTTCATGTTTAAGGAACATGAAATTATACATGTTTAAGATGAGTAGTCCTTACAAATAACTTTTATTTAACATGGGTGATGCTTTTTTCCACTCCTGATTAGTTTCAACATATTTTCCTTTTTCTGTTTTTTTCTTTTTCTTGAAGGTATGTGGTGGAGACCTGCCGTATGTGTCTCCTGAGTCCCTGGAAGAGAAGCATGACTTTTTATTCAGAGAGGCACTACATAATTTCTCCTCAACCAAAAAGATGGGTGGCCAGGAGTTTTGTGACCGTTACCAAGGCCAGCTGGAAAAGGAGCTAGATGAAATGTGGCAGTCGTACCAAAAGCACAATGAGGTACAATCCGATGAATAAGAAGAAATATGAAAATATGAATTCACACAGATTATATGTAGTTTAACAGTGTTTTTTCTTTTTGTTTGAAGTCCAAAAACCTGTTTAGTGCCTTCCGCACTCCCGCAGTGCTGTTTGTGCTGGTGTGCATCTTGTACATTCTGTCCGGCATCTTCCTCTTCCTCGGGATGGCCACGTTTGCACTGGTGACTGACTGCACCCTCGGCCTGGTCATGATGTCCATGCTGGCCTGGGCTTTCATCCGCTACTCGGGCCGCTACCGTCCACTCGGAGGGGCCATCGACCAGGCGGCAGGCCTTGTGCTGGAACAGGTAACCCTACAAAGGTCTTGTTTGTGTGCAGCTGCAGCTGTAGCCACTAGAGGGAGCTGGTGCCTTTAATAACTCTTCAAAACTGAGAAGCGGTAGTTCTATTCTTAAACTGGAAACAAAAACTGCTTTAAAGCTGGAGTAGCTTTCTTTGAAACCACAAGCTTCCATCGTAAACATTTTGGTTCTATTACTAGTTTTATAGTTCTATAATTACTTTGATTAGATATTTCAAAGAAAAAGAAGATCAGCCCTCACTCGGCTAATCAGCTCTCAGTATGTAAAAGACATTATGCAGCATGTTGTGGTCTGACTTGTTCACTAAGTGTTGCTTAAATAAGATTTCCCAATGGCGCAAACGGAATATATTTATGAAAAACACACACGTGAAGTACTCTAACTTCTCTTTTTAGCCCTCTAAAATGAAAAAATAAGTCAGTCAGTTAATGGAAAATAAGCCAAACTTTTGTGTCTGAGACAAAGACCCACCATAGTCTACTACTTAAACATTATTTTACTCTTTTGTATGTTGTATTATAATTTTAATATTAGAATAATAGAATTGTCTTGTTTGTGTTGATGATTAGGAGATAATTGCATACCCTCATAACTTCATGAGATACACAATGTAATTGAATATTTGTAATGTTTGTTAATGAAGGTGACAGTAAATGCCATTCTGCTGACGGAACTGTAACATCAAAAACAGAAGTCAAAGATGTTGCAAGAAACACTTAACTGTTATCCGTTTTGTTTGCAGACGACTGAGATGTTGAACAAGTCAAGAGGAACAAACACCGCTGAGACAAAAAAATCCCATTAGAAGATCTCATGCTCAGTTTTATATTCTCTGCTTTTGCAAACTGCACATTCATGAAAACATTTATAAAGCACAGAATCTATTTGACCAAAGGTTTGACCAAGTGAGGGTTCTGTGTGTCTGAACCCGACAGCTATGCAAAGGTGAGCCGGAATAATGTTACATTATTTCTGCAAGGGGTTTTTTGCAGCATAAACATGTTTCTGAATATTTTAACATTTCAGATGTTTTGTTATTAAACGTGCAATTTATTAGATGACAGATGCACTTTTTATTCCTTCTGTTTTGTATGTCATGGGCTTTGTTTCATGTTTTTGCTTTGATTTATCTCCTCCATGATATTATAATAAACTAACACTACATTTGGGTATGACCAAAGCTCGCACTGCTGCACTATGAGAAGACTCAACAGTTAACAAGTCAGACCATGTATATTTACTGTGGCCAAATACTAAAGTGGGAATATGATGCTTTTTTGTTACTTTGATCATTTTGTATTTAACTATAACAGATGTGTATTTTACATTAAGTTTACTGAAAACTGCAACATACATCAAACTGCTCAATAATAGAAATGCGAAATGAAAAACTAAGCTTCTGTGTGATTGTTATACTGGACTCTTGTTCCTTTTGTAAAGATGCAACATTTAAAACTTTAATAATGAAAACAATTTGCTCAGACACACTGAAAAAGTGTCTATTCTCAAGACAATAACACAATGTTTCTTCTTTGTACAAATTACAGTAGTTTCCAATTTTGAATTCTGACCACCTATAGTTTTATTATTGTGAAATGGCTTGGTAATTAATTGTACAAAAACTAGTAGGGGGGATTGGGGTTTATACGTTTTCAAAATTTTCAGATATGTATTAATGAAACACATTACAAAGCTTATACAAAAAAACACATGAAAAATAAAATCAATTTGTAAAAATGCTGTCTTCATGAAAATATAAAATGAACGGTTCGTGTTGGAGTAACGTAAATATTAGGATGCAGAGTCAGGTCTGCGCTGCACTTGCTGCAGCATCAGTGGACGGAGGAGATGGATCGGCGCTTATCCAGTGAAATGTCTTCATCTCGACACTGACCTATGTGTTTCTCTAAAACCACAGAAAGCTGCCATAGTGAATTTGGCGTCTCATGTTTCCTTATATGGCGATGTGCGTCGAGGCGCGTGCACTGACCGCCGCCGTTCGATGTTAACTTCCTTATTTGGAAGTGAGTGCAGATGACTCCGCCCACCAGTGCGCACGTTACCAGAGGTTGGCCGCGCCCATCACAGCGCCTCGCGCTTCTTACTGGTGCAAATGTCGGTCATAGTCACAATGGACATCCGCTATTTTTTATTTATCTATCACTGCTCACATAATAATGGGCTTTTGCCATTTTACCATAATTCTCTCAACAGAGTTAGAAATGTTTAATTACAAGTATACAATCTACTATTAATGAACTATTGTGGAATAACTGTTTCATGTATTGTAATGTACACAAACTTAACATAAAGCAACGGTTAGGCTAATGTCCATGCTATTCTCATTATGTCGTGTCAACTACTTCAAAAGGCGTGACTTCAAAAGTCATTTCACTGAATTTTTCCAAGTAACATACAGTCGGAAATAAATGGAGCCGAATAATTATTACGCACGCTCTCGTGCGCGCGCTCGTATCGGTGCCGCGCTTTAGGCGCGTTCATGTGACGTATCAAGCGCGTGAGACACATTCATCATCTGTCCATTCAATTTGTACTCAGCTGCTGACCCTCGCACAGCGCAGTCATGGTAGGTCTATTGCTTATCCTCTGTTTTCTCTGCATGCTGACCTCTTCTTTAACATTGTGTAACATTTAAAGAGCGCATCTTTCCATTTGTGTTAACTTTAAAATGTTATTCATCAAGATTCCCTACAATGCCGTGTACAATGCAGCCTTCTTAACAAAAGACGGGGGTAACCAATCTATTCCACACGGACGCTTTGTGGAGTAGCCTGCATCCAATACAAACTCAGATTTTACTTTGTTAAAAGTAAACTCTCGTAATGCGGAATGTAATAAAAACCGTGTGGCGCCATTTCGTATTCTCTGTTCTTGATTGTAACAGGATGTGCTGCTCGCAGATTGTACCTGTGTCCGGACTGAGGCAGTCGCTGCTCTGTTAGCTACAGTTCCGTTGTTCGCACAAAACACTGCAGGTGCAGCGGCCCGGGGCTGTATTGTTAGCATTAGCCGCTTTAGCATTGGCTGAAATGACAAACTAAACCAATGCTAACGCTGGATGTGCTGTTCTTTGTCTATGGCCGCCCACAGCTAACGCAGCATCACAAACACGATGTCAAACTGCTACGAGGCCATGTTTCCTCAAACTAAATGTGCGATGAGGATGTGAGTTCTAGGGCAGTCTCCAACAGACTCTAATTGTGTATTTGAGCCCAGTTTATCCATATATAGAAGCTAGCGCACACATGTGCCTATGCTGCATTCATGACCCCACCCTGAATTTGGTGCAAACACCATTTTGTAATTTAATAGTTTCAAACAAATGAGCTATCCACCCCGCACCCACTTGTTAAAACGCAGTTCTCTATTTATACTTACTTTTGAAGGTAAAAATGTGGTCATGTTTTGTTAAGTATTTAGAACATTGGTTATAGCTAACGGGACTCACATTCTTGCGTAGCATCCTCTTTGTGCGCCATCCGCTGAGTGTCCAAAACGTAAGATGGTGAACATTACGGAACAAAATGACTTTACATTTATATCCAAACAATTGTTATATCAACATGACACTATACACATGTTTAGACTGAAATTCTGTGGCCAGTGACAATTAGCTTTTCACGTAAAACTAAAACGATAATCAGTGTCCAGCGAGTATTTTAAAACTAATTTTTAAGAAGTTTGTTGAGCTAATAAAAGAACCATCCCTAGAGTGTGCTGACCGCTTTCACAATAGGTTTACGTCGAGAGAACAGTGTGTGTCTGCCTGTGCACTTTCCTGTTTCCTCCTCATTGTTGCCTGTTGCTCGCACAGCACGCTATGCGTCTTGTCCTGAGGTTGTTTTCCTGTGATGACTCTAAACGGAGTCAGAAGACCAGTCTGAGGGACTTAATGCACCAACACAGACTGTTACAACAGGGGCCTCATTGTCTGTGAATGGAGCTGGCATCACTTAATTTCAAACGGCCCTACTGTCACAAACATGGTCATTCTTATGGTTCGATGCACAGTTTATGTAAGTCTCTCCACCTCCTGTCATGGTGCTTGGACACACCTATTGGCACTCATCATTATAAGTAGTTCGGAGGTGGACTTTGAACGGCCACTGAATACTTCATAGCTGCTCAGATTCGCTCTGTAAGAGGTGCTTGTTTTAGAATGTCCTAGTGAGCGACCATAACTAAGTGTCACAGCCCACCTCTGCATGCACAGGAGTTAATTTCTCCTGCCTATGTCACATGTACCTCAGGCCAGTTCATAAGAAGGCAGAGATACAAGAGTACATTTATATTTAAAAAAAAAACGTATGCCAAACTATGCATTTTTTTTTTTGCTCAGGTGAATTGTAATGGTGCTTTATCGCCTACTTGCATTTGTTCAGTTTGTGCAGTTTTAAATAAGTTACCTTTGTCTGAATTGACAAACAAGCTGCTGAAGATGACTAGTTTTAGGCCTGTGCTATTTTAAGAGATTCTCAGATTACCATCATTCAACTGAAAAAAAACATCTCTCAGCTGTCTTTCATATCCAATCATGGCAATTAAATCAAATGGTTTTATTTCAATGTTGTTAATCAGATTGTGTTTTTGAAAACTATAGTATTAAGTTAAAGGTTTGTACCTGAATGAAGAGGTTAGGCCACCCGTACAACAATGTTTGTCTGGAGCTCTTGTATGCGGTAGCTTTGGGGTAAAAACCTGACTTAGTAGTTCGAGAAGGCCGCAGTGACATCTGTCTTGATGTATTCTTGCAAATGAATGGTCACTTAATTCAGTTTTAACCCACAACACATCATGCGTATGATCAATATTGTTTTGTGGTAAGGTTGTATTCTTTGCTGATTCCGAATTTTGTTGCAGGCCTCCGGTGTAAAAGTAACAGATGACGTTATTGCTGTCTTCAATGACATGAAGGTGCGTAAGGCTCAGGCCAATGAGGAGGAGAAGAAGAAGAGGAAGAAGGCCATTCTCTTTTGTCTCAGCAAAGACCTCAAGAACATCGTCCTGGACGAAGGCAACGAAATTCTGCAGGGAGACCTGGGCACCACTGTCCACGATCCCTACCAGCACTTTGTGAACATGCTCCCACCACAAGATTGCCGCTACGCTTTGTATGACGCAACCTATGAGACCAAAGAGACAAAGAAGGAGGACCTGGTCTTTATTTTCTGGTGAGACGACTTTCATGCGAGTTGTCACTATTGCCTACATTTCTTGCATTTAAATGTGCATCTGTTTTATTTCCAGGGCGCCAGACAATGCCCCTTTGAAGAGCAAGATGATCTATGCCAGCTCAAAAGATGCCATCAAGAGGAAATTTGAAGGTATAATCCTTATAGTAGTTGTGTGATAAAGATTCTATGAAAATTGTAACTTCAGTTTTGCATAAAAAACGCCAAGTCTCAAAAATACCATAACTGATTTTTAGCTTTTGGTTCTGCTCTGGCTTCACAAAGTGGAAAACGCTTTAGATACTTGTTTGTTCTTTTTTACACAATTCTTGAAGTGTAGACTCTATTCCCTTCATTAATAGATTCAGTAGAAATGCTGCACAGTGTGACATTCAGATTGAAAAATATAATTTGCTATTTTCACTAAAGATCCTGTTTATTTAGCAAAATTATAAAATACTGGCTCATTGTATTTGACCTCAAGCTTTAAACTGCAAAACTTGTTTAATGTATATATGGTGTTTTTTGTGATTGCAGGCATCAAGCACGAGTGGCAGGTGAATGGCTTGGAAGAACTGAAAGATAGACACACCCTCGCCGAGAAGCTGGGCGCGGGGTCAGTAGTGAGCTTGGAAGGATGCCCTTTATAAACCGAGGCCTTTCAGACACATCTGTTGGCTTTAGCTGTTCATTCCAGTGGTTTGGAGAGGGGCAAGTGCAGAACCAGCGTTGTTTATGGGGGGGGCATTATGGGTGGGCTTTGGGAATATGAACAAATGAAGACTGTCAAACAAAAACAAATATAAGATGAAGTACAAAACCTTGACACAAAAGATTGAAGGAATTTTGAAGTAAATTTAAAAGTTTGAAGGAATTTCTTTTGTGTTGAGTTTTAAAGGGACTCTGCCTCATTCCAACCATTAAATCTGAAGAGTATTGTTCCAACTGCATTATTATTTTTGCCAAACTTCTAGGTTAGTGTGTAGTTGAGGTTTAGAAATAGTAAGATTTCACTCGTGATTGCACAAAAATGAAACCATAATTCTCTCGGGGGAACGGGCGGTTAAATGATTCCTTTTCTTATATTTACATTGTTGACATGCAAACTCCAATACATTTCCTTTTGTTCAAGAGTAGGTCACACAGCATTCTAAAATGTAGTAAAACACATTCCTTGTACTTGTAAAAAAAATATTATAAAAAATCAGGATCTCTTAAAATGTAGTGTTCTGAAAGTCTGGTGGAGAGTGAAGAGTAAATGAAGGCCCAGCCATCTGAGCGGAGGCTGAAACTTGACTGATGGATGTTTTGTATCGTCTCCTTGTATCTAATAAAAAGCACTAAACTACTGAACCCGTTGTTTTATCACCATTGCACTCCAGATGTTTGATTACTTTAAATTAATGTAATAAAGTTATTTGCTCAAAAATAAAAATGTATCTTTATTAGGACACATTAATTTGAGCTATTTTCTACGCCTGCCTGATTGAAACAGTTTAATGTAACTTGGTGCCAATCCCTTCCATCTCTGATTTAAAGACTTCACAATCAGTGATGATCTTTTAAACCAATATTTGCTTTTGAACAGGTTTGTGTACATACCTTAAAGCAACACAGTTCAAATTCCTTCCTACACAAATATGCCATTGTCATCACTACCTTTTACCAACGGGATCAGTCTAAAACGGTGTGTTCGACATGAGGCTGTTTTCTGTGGACCCAAAATGATTTTTCAATTATTCTAGTGATGAGCAATACAATAAAAAAGCTTTGCACGGAAACACCTAAACTGTGAGACCTCAGGCACCAGACATAATCCAGTCTGAATGGTCTGTGTATGAAAGATTGGGGGTAACCAATGGCCAAGATTGGTTTTTTGACTCCGGCAAGCTAACCCAGGCAGCTGTGGCAGTAGTTCACTACTACTGAGAATGGAGTAAATTCATCAAGCCATGATGTGATGAATTTGAATCTAGAGTCAAACACTTTAAAACATTTAGACTGATACAAACATAAGTATTAAATTTTACACCCCAGTACACCTGTGTTTTTACCATCAAAATAAGATTTTTTTTACCTGTGGAGACGACAAAATATGACATCCTTGGTTAAGAACCAGGCTTTTAGCATTTTTGACTCAACAAATGAATGTGTCTAATAATTTCTTGATTCAACTACCTAACATATGAGAATGTTATGTGTTTATTACAGAACATGAATCACATTAATGTAAAGTGTGATTCTTTCGCCCGTAATTCAGTACCACAGGTCTTCCTTATATCTTTACCTTACACTACAAAACTGCTGCTTCTACTAGCTACCACAAGATGGCAGCATATTGCTTCCAAGAAAGTGCTCAAACGCAAAGGCTGAATCTCTTTATTATAAAGGATTTGTAACAATATCCCTGAAAAGTAGTTACAGCATACTATTATTGTCAGGTATTAATAATCAAATACACGTAACAGCAAAGATTGGAGCTCCCATGTCCCTTTGAGAAATATAAACCAATGAACTGTGGACGTGGGATTAAGTCTGTCACAATACCGACTTTTCAACGCCCAATCAATAAATGCAGGTACATCATATTTTGGAGCTCAATGTTGCTTTTTATTGGGAATTCAGAATAAGAAGCAATATGTTTGAATAAATAAAAATATAGACAAATTATAAACGTACATACATGTTATTTTGTAACCCTTCCAAATATTATTATGCGTGTCCTTCTTTATTGTGTCAGTGGAATTTAGTAAATAGTATACTGTTATTAGTTATGTTTTTGTAAAGGAACTAAACAATTCGTGACAAACCTCAGGGGCAGTGGCGACTCAACCAAACTGAAGTAGTTGGGCCCCAAAGCCACCAGAGGGCCCCCAACAGTGCCAAAAATGTGATTGCAATTTATAAGAAATGTTGCACACACATTTTCAGACAGGGACTCAAAAACATAGATAAATATTATCCAAAACACAGATTACAGATGTGATTATAGCTGTGTGTCATCGCGGCAAAAGTTGCACATTTTGCATGGGGACCAGCAGACGGCTTGGCCCAGCACTACTAACGGGCATTATTTTTTGTCTTTTTGAATGTTGTCAAGGGTGATAAACATGTTTTCATGTGTCTGTCTGTGAAAATAAATTAAATGGTTGAATCGTTCATGAAAATAGAATTACTGAACTACTTCAGGGCATGCCAACGCGGTATGATCGAGATCCTATTCCCTATAATTATGATCCAAAACTGCAGCGAGACCCAGAATATTGTGTTTCTATTGGGTTAGAAGGTTATATCTTCAAGTCTCTCATCCGTGAACACAGTCTAGTCTGTTCCCATGCACCCAATAGCAGATCTGCGCAAACTTCAGTGGCGTTATCCTCACAGCCACATTATAATCCCGGTTCTCTCCATCTATCTCCAACCACTGATGTCCCGAGAAGATCCCAATGACCTTCCTCTCCCACCTCTCCAGGGCGTCATCCCACACTCTACCGTAGACACCCGAGCCACTGGCTCCAGGCCGTGCGTCGCAGTGTTGATAAATGAGGTCTTTGGACTCCTCTTCAACAGGACAGAACCGGTACACCAATTCTCCAGGCCGGTCGCTGTCAAAGCCAGAAAAGTGGATACGTTTCCCCACTAGATCATCGGAGGATGGCGCCACAGATAGACGCATAAATGGACGGCGATGGGGCCAACGCAGTTCTAGCAGGGCGTAGTCAAAGTCCATGCTGACTTCCTGAGGTCCTAGGATCCACCCTTTGGGCACACGGGTTCGCTTCACCCTTACCCAGCGAACAAGGGGCTTCTTGGGGGAGGAAAGCTCTAGGTTGGTGCTGTTGACCACTACAGGGTTGATCAGAAATCCCACCTTGAGTTTTCTAGCTCCCTTGACATAATCTTTCCCATCGTGGACGCAGTGGGCTGCGGTCAAGACATGAAGTTGCGACACGAGAACCCCTGTGCAGCCTGTGGAGATGCGAACCGCTGTGGAGAAAGGGTAGTCCAGAAGGAAGTTGTCGCCTTTGATGTTGAAGCGTCCGTCCGCGCCGTATATCTGCCGTCGTATTCTTCTGCGTCTAGGCCTTTTCGGAGACGAGGCAAAGTCTTTGTCTTCAACTTCTACTGTGGTCAAAGTGCGTGAACCGTCTGAGTAAAGCGTCTCAAAGGCCAGTTTGTCAGACAGCGCGCCTGCGAACTGGGCGTTGAAGCAGGTGGAGTTGCAGTGGGTGGTGAGGTCCAGTTGGGTCTGGGCGCTGAACTGGGAGCGAGTGAGTGGGGTGGGTGTGTGTGGGACCAGGGCAGGGATGTGTGGAGGCTGTTGCAGCGTGGACATGGCCCGGGACACGAGGAGGTGAAGTAGGTAGAGCAGCGTGTGCAGGGAGCGATCATGTGGAGGCATTGTGGTGATGGACGCTCTGCAAGAGAAGAGAGAGGGACTTGTTTAAGATACAACTGTACTTCCCTCACCTGCAGTTTACAAGTTTTAAGAATGATATGCTTAAATTTAAGACTAAATTGACAAAAAATATTCTTGGTTTAAATAAAGAACATGTTTGATAAATTGGAGAACAAAGCATATTACAAAACTCCCCTGTTATCTAACCTACGCTGCCCCTATTCAAGATAAGCCAAATATACTACACCTATAGAGAAATAATACTGTATGGTTGATAAGGTAAAGAAGTATGTCAACAGATCAACTCTTGATTCTACTAAAGCAACCCACTCTTTTCTCTTAGCGGAAAAAACGATAAAAAGAGTTCATTATCAATTACCAATTAAGAATAATCAAAATGGAGTCAACGTTCCGACCTTTTAGTTTGTTGTTTCACACTCCCCATAATGTGTACTAGCCTTTCACTAGACATTATTCTGCTTAACAATACTATTCTGAGAGATTCTTCTGACACTTGAATTATCATCAGGATAATACCAGTTTTGAAATACAAAACATTAAACTATTTTTCATTTAAAAAGTATTTGAATACAACTTTAAACACACGTACATAAAATGTTTGCAAGTAGCCTTTGAAAGTGCATGTACCCTCGGGGTGGGCTGCGACACAATTTACATTTTACTGCTCTTTGTGTGTTTAAGTCATTGATGTTATTAAAACATTTACAAGCTGTCTGACAAACTCACAAACAGAACTGTGTTTCCAAATGATACAAGTGAGGTCAGCATTCAAACTTAAATGTTGCAACGGAGTTTCATCTGGCAAAGCCGGGCAACAATGAGCCCCTTGTTTGCCAAATACACAAAAGTAGGTTATAGGATTGCTATAGCTCAAAGGACTGTGTTTTTGAACCAAACTTCATACAGAGAGATATTTACTCAACAAATGTGTTCAACTGAGAATTCTATTATGTTTTGGCTGTAGATTTTCTTATGTACATACTCTGCATATAGTTATTATTAATATGCAGAGCAGGAGTTGCCTAAAGTGCTGTTGTCATGAGAACATCACAAAGTCAGTGATGATTATTGTGCACCTAATTGGATTAGTAAACTATAATTAGTATAAATATAGTATAGTATTATTAGTATAAATATAATTAGTAATAACAGATTCAGTATTGTGCTGATTTGTGTGAGTAATAATTTAAGGCCTGTCATAACACAATAACAAGCTATTTCTCAATCACACTCTTCATTTGAACCCAGAAAGGGTGAATGAGAGGACTTTACAGTAGGTGTGTTCCGGTATGTGTTACAACAGCCTGGCCATCAAACATTAACCCGTCTTCGGCTTTTCGGGCAGATTAACAGGGAGGAGATACTTGATCCTCTTTGCAGACCACAGAGCCCGAGGGCCTATGGCAGGAACCAAGCAGGTGTGTAAAAAGTGAAGAGCAACAAGTCGGGGCGCAGCTCTAAAACAAGGCATTATGTCTGACAAAAGCCAGGGCGGGGTCCATCCAAGGGCTTTAAAGTCTTTAGCCCACTTGAGAATACAGTGAGAATAAGAGGTCTGAAATCTGCTGTCTCAGGTTCCTCTCGACAATCAAAAGAAACCATTGTAAATGATCAAAAAGAAACATTCTGACATATTCTAAACCTTCGATATGTGATCCACGATGAATGACTACACAGTATATTAGTGTATTCTATCTGCCATTATAGAAACAGTAATAATTACCCCACATTGTATTCCACAATGGACTGAATAACTTGGAAAAGAAATGACCACGCTTGAAATCCAATGCACATCAAGATGCTAAAACACATATTTTAATGTGGCATCAATACAAAAGTGGTACATGGCTTTACAGGACAGCATGGGCAGGGGTCCATGATAAAGGGAAAAACTGAGATTCATTTTGAAACAGAGAGGTGCTGGTGAAAGCTTATTTCTTTATTTCGTCTTTTGGTGCCCAAAGGAAAGCAACGATAAGACCTCACGCGACTATGTGACGCTCTGTAGTGTAGATGGATCTGAATCATAGACTGTAAATATGTATTATCTGAACAAACAACTACAGCCTCTGTGCAAGAAGCCAAAGTGCAGCTCGAGGAAAATAACACACAAACCATCTCATGAATGTGCGTTGAGAAAAAAAAAACAGTTGCAACGCGCAGTTATTGAACGGTTGGATAACAAACAGACAAGTCCACCGTTATTTAATCTTTGAAGAGTTACAATGCAGAAAATGTGTTAAAAAAGTATTTAAAAAATAAAAAATAAAAATACCGTTACAGTATAGACAGCATTACGCGGGCATGTTTACCTCCTGAACTGGGTATGTCGTGTTCACATCGTGGTCACTCTCCAAACTGGTTCCACTGAGTGATCGCCGCTCCCCGCGCTCTCATCCTCCCGGTGACAGGTTGCGCTCCTGTGGGGTCCTTTTCGCAGAGGAGCGGGAGGCCGGTCGCGCACGCTTTCTCCCATCAAACAAACTCAAAACGGTGGTGTTTGATGGCTGAGCGCAGACACTGACACAGATGCAAATAAAACAGTGGTGTCAGAAGCAGCAGCAGCAGATACGTGTGGTGAGTGGAGAGCGTCTGGTCCGGCCTCCCGCCCCGCCTCCCGGGGTGCTCAGTGCGTCCAAGCGGGAAAGACCCAGAGCCTCCACACGGGCTGCTGAGGTGGAGGGCTTCTGTGTGGGTCAGTTATCCAAATCTCCTTCGCTGCCCTCGATATGTATTGGGGTTTTTTTTAACGTATATACACAATAGACTGAATTTTGTGCAAGAGACCTGTAAAAGTGAAATGTTATGAACAGACCACAGCATGTTGGATTTTTCCTATTCGAAAACATGTTATCTTGTATACACTTGTAGGAAAGAGCCCTGTGAGTTGCTAGTTGACGCTTTGAGCTTACAGAGACCGGATTGGCTGAGTGAGGGGTGGTCCTCTCTTGTCACTTTCTGTCTGAAAAAGCTATGTGAAGCCAAAAAACATACATGTGAAAACTAGTGATAGAACCAAACAGTTTTAAAAACATAGGAACGGGTTAGATTTTATTACTTAGTTCTTTTTTTGCAGTTTGAAAGTTGGCTATCCCAGGTTTAAAACAAAGACTGATTTGATGTTTATTGTAATTTGTTTTTACAGTTTGCATCAGTGTGGCACAACACTTTCCTACTGTATATCTCCACTGAGAACGTTCTTAGTATTTATCTTTCCATTTGACTAATTCCTGCACAAACATACAACCAGCGTACGGCATCCATTCAATTTTAACTGGTTTTCACTTTTTATATCCATGAAATTAGAGCCACTGGGGGCTCCTGGAAAATGTGAAATGGGTCAGCTATTCCGTAGATCTTCAGACATTAATGTATGGCCTTGTATACAAGAGTCTGCGCCTTGTAAGAAGCCGTTGATTGAATTTCTGTAAGATAGAACTCAAAGGACAACATTTTGCGACTTGTGATCTGCCCATTACTTCAGGTGTGGCACAGGGGTCTGTACTAGGCCTGCTTCTTTTCACATGCAAAATAAAGCATTCGTGTTGACATTATTATCTATGCCTTTGTCTGTACATTCACAGATACAACAAGATGCTTTAATGTTGTTTGCTAAAGCTTTCTATGCAAACTAAATAAATCAAGGAATATAAGAATGTTCCTTTACTTGTTGCACCTGATGGTGCACCAGTTATATAGCTTTAGTTTTGGGTTGAAAATGCCTCTTGATAAAGCTTCAATCTTTGAAACGTGTGTAAAGTCCTGAAGAAGATGACATATCTGGGATCGCGTCTTAAATTCAAACAGAAGACATGTTTTATTGTCGATGGTAGAGACAGCACGAACAAAGCACACGATCACAGAAACAATAGAATGCAAGTGTATTATACAGAGCGGAGGCATGGAGACCTCCAATCAGCAGCTTCCACGGTGTGCTTGTAGCTTGGCCTTCAGATAGACAAAACAAGGGAAAAGTACAGGCTTCTGCACATTGATAGAATGATGACTTTAACTTTAACAAAAGTTGCTTCAAAGTGTTATGAAATCTCATATTCCCCCCTCTGGTCATACATTCACGTGTGACCATCAGGATCGATAAACAGCAACATAACATCATAACTCAATACTTCAAAAACTCATAAACTCGGTACTTCAAAAAACTCAGAACTCGGAATACTTCAAAAACTCAGAAAACTCATAAAACATGTTCAGATCTTTCATAAAACTTGTCAACAATCTTCAGTAAAATACCAAACTTCATCAGTCGATGGTGGATCCAGATATTGCTTTGAAAACAGTCTCTCCCACTTCTCCGTGTTGGATTCTTCAGGCTGCATTTGTGTCGAGCCATGAATTCTTCTGTGACGTGTCTTTCAATCACTCGTTTCAGCTTCAGTGTCCAGATTCAGCAATTCAATTCAGTCCAAATTATGTCCAAATTCAGAAATCCAGATTGTTCCAAATGATGTCCAAATTGTGTAATCCAATGGTTCCAAATGGTGTCCATGCAAAAGAGGACGCTGGTGTTGTCCATGTCTCAGCAGCTCACAGCCTGAGTGGAATCAGGGGCTGTGCAGATTGTCCATGTGTGCTGGTCCAGATGCATGGTTTCGCTTGAGGTTTCTCAGTTTTGGCTTAAAAAAAAAACACATTTTTTGTGTAAAAAAAAAAAGGTCTTCTGTTCTGTAGATGTTACAGACAATGCCCGCATCCTCCACCACCTGAAGAAGATGACATATCTGGGATCGCGTCTTAAATTCAGACAGAAGACATGTTTTATTGTCGATGGTAGAGACAGCACGAACAAAGCACACGATCACAGAAACAATAGAATGCAAGTGTATTATACAGAGCAGAGGCATGGAGACCTCCAATCAGCAGCTTCCACGGTGTGCTTGTAGCTTGGCCTTCAGATAGACAAAACAAGGGAAAAGTACAGGCTTCTGCACATTGATAGAATGATGAGTTTAACTTTAACAAAAGTTGCTTCAAAGTGTTATGAAATCTCATAGTCCTTTTGTTAAATTTATAACTCAGGGGTGTGAGTTTTGTACTGAATATAAATCTTTACAGCTTTTTAACTATGTTCATACAGCAAATGTTTTGGGGTTAGATCAGAGCAAGTGTGATCTTGTTCAATTGGCATCATCATGAACAGAGCCCTGCAGCTGGCAGAGGCCGGGACACGTTGGCATTAGCACCTCTCCTCAACTTCTTTGTGCTGCGTTCAGGGTTTTTATAAGGAAGAGGAATTCTTCTAAGCACTGTTTTTTGGGGAGTGATGAAACAGAGCTCTCAGTCACTGCAGTCTATGTCCAGGAATGCTGTGGAATCTCAGCACACGTCACAATGCCTCCGCTGTCCCATGGTCTGTGGTCACCTACACTGACCTGTGCCTCGCTGCTAAATGCTTTTCTGAGTGCAATAAAAACTCCAGCTGCTGGTGCCTCTGCGCTGAGGGAGGTGCTGCTGACAGAACAAGCATAAAGTATATTCCCACATAACACGTTTAGTGCAATAACAGAGTATCAGGCTGCAGCGAATACAGCAGCAGAGACAGCAGCAATGTGTGTGTGGTAGTGTTCTGCGGGAAACATCAAAGTGTTTGAATACTGATATTTTGTATCACTGAATGGCAAGAAGATAAGATAAGAGAACCTTTGTTCATCCCACTGTGGGGAAATTTCAATGTTGCAGCACACATACAGTAGTATGAGCACACAGGGAGCACACAAAATATACAATAAAAGTAGCTGATGTTTCTTAGCTAGGGGTAAAGGCTTCAAAATCAATCAATCAAGCTGATCAATCGCCCACATCTGTCTAGTGTGCGTCTGTGCATATTGGCAAAGGATTGTATCTTCACTCAGTGATTATTTATGATTTTTAAATGTCTTGTATGATTGATTCTATATTGTTTTGTTGGGTACTTTGAGTGTGTATGAACTGCGCTCTACAAATAAGCATATTTACAGGACTAGTAACCATCAGGCAAAACCATCTGAATCAGCCATTCAAACCAAATCGCTTTAGTTGCAGAGTGTAAAAATTGATCAGTGCTGTTTTTAGTTTAACCAAGATTTGATTAATTATTCTATTGGTTCAGTAAGTGACAGATTTATATGAACCACAACCAAAAGGATAAGGCATGGATCATCTGTTTTATTCACAGGTTTCACACCCTTTTACTAACGCACAACTGACTGTTCTTAAATTGATTGTTTAAGTTGACCGTTATTTGTTATTTATTATACCGTCTGCGAAGCTGCTGCTTTGATGCACTCGATCGTCAGTCAGTCAGAGTGACATTTTATGGAAGGACCTGTGTTTTTAAGGTTCACTCGGGGTTCAGCCTCCGGAGGCACCAGTTAAACATTTCACAGCTCATAGGAAAATCCATCCTTTTTGGGTCAAAGCCACCTGCACATTGTAGAATTTCCTCCAAAGCCACTTGTACAGCCTGACAGTGTACACTAAATTCAATTACTTAAGGATTTATGGTGCATGCTTATTTATGGCCACGTAGAAATGAATCTACAAGTTCCCAGCATGTTCTTGGGAGAACTTTCTTGATCACTGGATTAATTTGAAGCAGGGCCAAGGGGTATAAAAGTAAAGGTGAAGGAACATTCCTACACTCAGCCCCGTGACATTGAGACACTGCCTCCTCTGTTTGTTCTTTTGAATGATACGTGTTTTCCGAACCAGGAGCTACGCGTCACAAATTGTTCTCATTCCTAAAAAAGTTATTGAGGTATCGACCGTTTGAAAGCTGTGGCTAATGGTCAGACAGCAGTAAGTATGAGATGTGGGTATCTGTGTGTGTACAACATTAAAGTACCCCTAAATGTCCCAAGGTAGAGGGCAGAGGGCTGTTCGCAGGAAGGCCTTTCATTTATAGATTTCAAGTCACTTGTTTGAAGATGGTAATGCTCTTTGATCAGAATGGGAGGATGGCATTAGGAAGACCTTTTGTAATGAACATAATCCTGAATTCAGTCCACATGCTGGTCTTATAATGAGGAGTAAGTCATCTGCCACAAGAGGATGCATTTGAAAAAGAAATGTTTAATCACAAGCCTTCTTTCACAGCCACCAATCAAATTTCACAAGGCTTAAACTTTACACCGAAACTGCTAGAAACTCCCAAAGCAGTCATTTTGACGGTTCAAACGAAAATGAAAGGAATAATGGGGAAAAAAATCCTAAAATACAGTTTTAGTTTTTCACTTATTTTATTAATGAATACGTCCTTTTTTATCTTTAATACATGCTAAAACTGGTGAACACATCTGAAATACAACAACACTAAATGCTAACTGCTGCGAGTATACAGTGTGTTGCTATGGTAACCAGCATTTGCTCCGAGCTGAGGTCGGTCTGAATCCGTCGAGGACCAGTCTAGGATCGAGTTAACTTTATCAACATTATGACATAGAAGTAAACTACATACATAAACAGAAAAAGACACAAAGTTATGAAGACAGAAAAGTACATAAGGGGAGTAATTCCACTTCAAAAACAAAAAGCAATCAATTTGACTGCTCTGGGAGTTCTAGTGGTTAAAGTATAAACTCACGATTTCACCTGCTCCTGCTCTTTCAGGATGTAAAGACATAGTTCCAAACCAACCAGAGCCTGACCGACAGAGTTGCCCAAAGGAACGCTCATGCTCCCTATATTTCATGCTAATGGAAATGGAATAATCTGATTAGGCCCTGTTTCTTTTGGAATCCTAAACTTCCCACAGCTGTGTCTCGACTTACATTCTCTGTGCTTAAATGTACTCCACCTGACAAAGTAACGATAAAGTGGTGCAAATGAATAGTGTTTAACTACTGGACTGCTGTGCCAACCGAAAACCATAAAGTCACCATACCTTCCATCGGTTTTATACGACCAGAATGAAGAGCGCACAGGATGAGGCTATTGTTCACTTCGAGGGGAGGGGGGTGAGGAGCAGCCAAGTTAAGCTTAAAAGTTTTGGAAAACTTTTTCCAAAAAGTGTCATTCCTCCAGCTACAAACTCAATATGTTTTGTTATTGGAATTTGTTCAAGAAAGGGCGAAACTTTATGTGTATGGCACTAAAATAGAAAAATACATGTTAAAGGGCAAATCATAAGCCTTTCAAAAAATGTTTGAATGGCACTCATCTGCTTTTGCAAATAAACTAGTCAAGTGGCTATAGGATGATCATATTCATATATATAAACCCTGTAATGATAGTAACACTCACAGAAATAAACGTCTCCAGTCTTCTGTAACGAGCCATATCCCGCAGTGTGTGGAGGTTTTCCTGTCAGACTGATCTATGCGTTTGACTCCTGTGTCTTGAGGGTCAGTGACATTTGTGCTGATCCTATTCGTCATCAAAACTTTTGCTCACCCCCCAAAGACACGCTCACACATTTTCCATGATGATTCATTTAAGAAAACAGCAGCACACAGGCCTCACGTCTCCTGCTTTGTGTCTGTGGCTGTTGAGTTCATTAAAGGGAAGCACATTATTAGCTGTCGCGTCACTTGAGCTGCCAAGAAAACTAAAAGGGATCATTTAAGCAAGGCCAGAAGGTTAACAGCAGTCAGTCACTTTGTTTGGTTTTCATTAAAGAAGTCAGTATTTGTTAATATCTTATGAGATGTGTTTACACCATGTGCAAGCTGTCATAGCCATGTCCTATTGATTTCAGATCTCTTTTGGCTTGTTAGTAGAAATATGTTAGAAGTTCAAATTGATGGGTAATAAACCACGCTCAAATATTGCATGTCGTATGCAGGATGAAGGTATTGGAGTAATGAAATTGCGAACACCCCGGGGCCTGAACTCTCCCAGGTCCAAAACCCTGGTGATGAAGGAAGCTGAATAAATGAGATGACGATTCTGCACTAAAGGAGAGGAGGTGGGTTCCTGCGCGAACATCAGCTTGATTCAAGAACTGAGAGGCTCTGCTTAAATGTAACAGGTGTGTTGCAGAGGCAGGGCCAATGACACGTGAAAGTCTATAGTGAAGAGGCTGTGTTTGTCGTAAAGCAGTGTTAATCAAAAAAAAAAAAAGTGGTCTGGCTGTTTCTTACCCCCTGCACTTTTCAATCCTCTTCTATAAAGTAACAAAACTACAAGGCAAATTATTATATTATCCTTATATTAAAAACAAAGGAAGGTTGCTCACCGATCTGATATTAACACTTATCATATTCTTATCATAACATGTTCTATAGGTTTCTATGTCCTTTGTAGCAGCATGACATTGCAGTCTCTGATAAAACGCTGCACATACTCAACTGCCACAAAAACAGAACATTTTCCTTCGCTCAAAATTCCTATGTTCCACTTCATCCAGAAATAATTAAGACACTTTCTTTCTGTTCCTTTCATCAAAACGCTTTAGTTTCATGTGTCTGTCATTGTTGGCCAGCAGTTCTGAACACATAAGGACATTCTTTGACTTTCTTTTTCCACAAGCTCTCATAAAAGCTACATCTGTGCAAATGGTTTTTTTGGTAAACTTTCAAATTCTGATATTGTCGCATGTACCTGTCCCTCCATTGATCCCTGCTCTTCCAGCGGAGCCCTCTCTGCATTCACCATGATGTCATCTCACGTTGGCTGCTGCTTGAGGTGAAGAAAAAGCAGGGGAAAAGGGTTGGAAAACAGAACCGAGGAATGCAAAAGAAATCCGCAGTGAATGGAGGAGGGCAAAGGCTTCATATCTGCAACCGCTGTGACGCTCCAAAAGCCAGTCGTCAATAATACTCTCAAGACGTGCTTCTGGCTCCGTGTTTGGAGACAAAACTGAACTGTGCAGGACCTGTCCATTTGGAATAGTTTAAACAGATGATGTCCCCAAAGGCAAAATAAATCCACTTATCATCATCAAGTCGCTTTTCCGATTAGAGTCAGATCAGTGAAAATACCAAATAGATGAGGCTCCTGCACAAAACTGAACCTTCTGTCCTCCCATTCCATACTATATTCATTTTATTTGACATTTGCAGTAAAATCACATTGGAATACATTTGCAAAAGTCCCCAAAGTGCTCAAGACAAGTATTAAACAAGGTGACAGTACAAGAATAAAAAGTGTTGGAAACAAATGCCACTGTGAGATCGATCAACTAAAACAGTGAAGATCATGAAGTTGTCTAAACTGATAACAGCTGCCCCGGGGCACACTGACAGAAGCAGGCAACCAGTGAATGGCCTCACACACACACACACCAGACTCATTCTTGGCAATGTGGGTGAAGTGTCTTGCCTAAGGACACAACAACAGTTTGGCACCTATCAGCCGCAGCCGCCCCACTGTGGCACCTTGTGTTCCCAGAGGTCTCCCATCACAGTACTAACCAGAACCTGCGCTGCACAGCATTGTTTTGCATTGTATGTTACAGTAGAAATAAAGAGCACACAAAGAGAGAGGGAGACGCAGATCAATGGTTCTTTAGCTTTAGCTGTGAAACCTTCAATGAATGTAAAATATATAAACCTCTGATGACACTTCAGGAGTAAATTATAATATTTAAGAACATAAGTAAGTTCACTAAATAAGAACAAAGGCAGAAGGGGTTCAGATCAATATTCACAGTGATATCAGCAGAGTTGAGATCTTGGAGAATACAAGTGACGAGCAGGACAAGGTCAGAATAAACAAACAAACAAGTAACAAGTGGACACTCACAGCACAATTATTGCATTCTTAGATTACAGTGTTCCACATGGTTCAGTGCTCACAGAAGTATCACATGTACAGCAGTTCTTGTCTGACAGGACCAGTTAGTATATAATTCTTATATATTTTAGACTATTATTATTTTTTACTATACCAAAAATATGAAAATCCGTCCAAAGTATTGTGTGTTGGCATTGGATAAACATGATGTAATCAGTCCCATCAAAAGGCCCACCACAGTCACAGCCTCAAATCTCTGTGAGCTGTTTCCAAGGAACAGACACAAAACATGCAAAACATTTGTCTTCAACACAACAAATATTTACTGCCTCTGTTACCACAGTGTCACACTGCAGCACCGGTCCACTGCTCGTGTTGGTCCAAGAGGTAATGGTCGTAGATAAAAAAGTTTTTTGTATGATCATATATACAAAATATGTTCCTCATTATGTCTATTATGTAGAATGTTTATTTTCACATTTAAATGAAGAGTTAAACAAACTTGTGCTGTTTCTCACAGTGTGAGCTGAAAGCTGTAAGAGGAATGTCCTGGAATGTGTCAGAATGTTATCACAGCAGAGGCCTGCCCCTGACAACAGCCCTGTCGCTTCACTCACATAGTTACAGTTACCTGCTAACGGCTGCACCTAAAGCCTCTTCATTAACCACTTTTTTTCATTCCATCTCAACAATTATCATTTCATTATTTTAAATGGTGTCTTCTCTTTTATAACTTTTATATTTCACTTCATATTTGTTAGATAATTACATTTTTATTTATTTGGTGAATTGGTAGTCATTTGGAATCGGATTTATTTCATCATCTGAATCACTGACTTCAAATGCTCCATCCGCATCAACACAAGCATGGACAAAGACAACCCCGTTTCCTCTAAAGTTTACTGTTTTCTGGTGGCCATTGGCAAACTTGTGGCCTTTCTCCATTTGTTGAAAAACATGCCACTCAATTGTGTGCACAATATTAAGCCCTGAGTCTGTCCATTGCCTGTGAATAATAGTTTCCATGTCTTTGTCCCTTTGCCTGCTCTGCTTTATTTTGGTGGACAGATTCATAATTGGACTGAACCGTGGCATATCTCCACTCTGCGCTCAGCGGGTGTCTATTGTCTTTGCATTCTGCGTCCTGATTGGATTTCATAACTTCACCAGGCAGCGGATCCCATTCTCATACACAGACATATCCACGCACACACACAGACACAGACACACCACACAGAGTTCCTCGCGGGTACATGATGCAGAATCATCAAAAGTCACCCGCAGTCATGAGTCCTACAAAAGAGCAAAGTCAGTTAAAAATAATGAGCTCAATCTAAAACAGTGTGAAGTACAAAGCCAAGGAAAACTCTTAAGATGTGGCACAATGGCTTCCACGAAGAACCCATTTGAACCTCAAAACAGCAAGATGTTCGTATAAAAAATAGCACCATGTCTGCATCTATAAATGTACAGTATTGAAGTCTCAGAATCATTCCTGCCTCTTCTCTTGTATATCTTTAGTGACAAGATGAAGGACCATGAATTATAACAAGTGAGAATGTGTCAAAACAAACTTGTGCAGACGAGGTTGGGCCACAGCTGTGTTCTCTACATCCCAGCAAAAAAGATTTAAAAAAAATACACCAAATATCACACACGCTCTGTTGAACTCGTCACTTGTATGGACTCATGTTATGATTTAACAGCTGTGTAATTACTGTGTTTTTCTCTTTGGAAAGAATTAACAGATGATTTAAAACATGTTCAAAAATATGAAAAAAACAAAAGGTGAATGTAGGAAAGAGAGTGCTGCCCTTAGCGCAGAGCAATGGGGAGAGGTGTTTGGTCAGAGAGTGTTTGGGCCTGTGTGAGTGTGTGAGAGTGCGAGTGTGAGTGAGAGTGCAAGTGAGTGTGAGTATGAGTGTGAGTGTGAGTATGAGTATGAGTGTGAGTGAGAGTGCAAGTGAGTGTGAGTATGAGTGTGAGTGTGAGTATGAGTATGAGTGTGAGTGTGTATGTGATATGATCAGTGTTGGGCACGTTACTTTGAATATTTCTCCCAAAAAGTAACTGAGTTACTCCACTATAAAAGTAAATAGTTACCCGTGAAAGTAACTATTGCGTTACTTTTTCGTTTCTCGCCCCCGAAATCCCCCCTGGCCCCCACCTTCTCAGAGCGTGTTTCAGAAGCCAGATGAACAGAGTGCACGACAACAAAGACAAGTACCTGCAGAGGTTTGCATTTATTGCAACTCGACAAAAACAACAGCAGATGGACATACACTTCTCAAAACTCCACGTTCACAATTTTACCTTTAACCTCAGTGAGTTTGAAATAGTGCCGATATTATCATCTGGAAAAGGCTGTTTTGCTGCTGGAGTCCTCCTCACCACTGTGAATGCGGAAACACCCACCTACCCAATTTCTCTGATTGGCTGAAGACAGAATCTTACTATACATCAGCCAATCATTGCTGAGAGGTTTTCTCATCCCCCCTTCTTTCATGACAACACGTGCACGAGTCCTATCATGAAGTTTAAAAAAATGTCATTGTGCGACTTGAGTAACATGCAGTAACTATAACAACGTTATAGTTACAATCAAAGTAATTAGTTAATTAGTACCCATCACTGGATATGATATATGGTAAGGGTTGGAGCCCACTCCTCTTAAAGCTGTTTTTTTATTGTAAGTTTTAAAGAAAGAATTGCTTTCTTGACTTTATTAGAAACAGGTTCAGTGACTTCCTGTCCAAATCTTGAATAGTAAAGTTCAGCCATTGTATAGAATCATAATTGTCATTAATTTAAGCTAACATAGCAGTTTTTGTTGTTGGATTGTGTGATTTATACTATATTGTACGTACTGTACACATAGGAGGGAATATAATGGGAGCATAAAACACAGGACAACACATGGTTAATAAAACATACGTGCTACTCTGAGTCATGCATGGATTCTATCAAATCTGAAACAATATTTTTGCAATATTAGTCATGCTTTCACAGCTTCTGCAGGTTAATCTCCTAAAACAACATTTTGAAACCCATGCAACAGTAGTTTTCTCATCCGTTTACAGTTCATGTTGGATAACTAAAATGAGGGAGAAATATGTGTGTGTGTGTGTGTGTGTGTGTGTAGGTGATATGTGTCTGTTATAATAAGTAGTAATATTAATAATGGTTGTGATGATAATAATAATAACTTTTTTGAATTATATTGATTACATATTATTGTGTTATTATTTATTTCTAAATTATTGGAATTAACTTTTTAAACTAATTAAGGCTAAGACTGTGCGTAGTGGGCCTGCTGTCCTCCCTCTCCTCTCAGTCCTGTTCCTCCAGTGCCCGTCACACCGGCCATGAATGTTTTTAATGCAACACACTAGTCAGGGCCGTAGAGTGAGCTCAATGCTTATTTTAATGCACAAATAAAAGAATATAGCTAATGCAAATGGATCTGGTGTCCTGGGACGTGCTGGGGGAGTACCAGCAGTACCATATTTATTATTAGTATTAATAAACAAAATATGAAGATTTAAAAATAATGTATGTGTGCGCATGGGTGTGTAACTATGTATGCATGTGTGTGTATATATATAATATATATGTGTGTGTGTGTGTGTGTGTGTGTGTGTGTGTGTGTGTGTGTGTGTGTGTGTGTGTGTGTGTGTGTTTATACATATATAGATTATTGTATTGATTATTCAATTGTCGTCATTAGTTTGTATATGAATTAAATGTACAGTAACAAAAAAGGATTCTATTTTCCGAGTTTGAGTTTACATGTAGTTTTAAAATACAATGTTTTGTATTTTTGAATGCAATATATTTTAATAAAAGATTATATAGAATATTTGACACATTGTCCCATGTTTCCAGAAAGCAGAGGCCCGTGGCCAGAAGTGTGATTTGGG